TTATAGAAAAGAAGATTTTAAAATAAAGTAAAGAGGAGTTTAAATGCTTTAAAAGAATAGATATTAAGAATATTAGATATACTAGAGAATAGTAAAGTTTCTTTAAAACGCGTTGAAATTATTTGATATTAAGAATAAAAAAATTTTTACTATAAAGCCCGAGGGATATTTCTTTATAAGAATTTAATATACTTATCTCTTAACTATTTAAGATATTAAGAAGACTATAAATACTTTAAATAGTTACTTTTTCGAGTATACTTGCTTCGTCTAAGAGATTTCTTATCTTATAGAGAAGTTATATACGAGAAAATTTATAAAAATTTTTTTATAATATTTATTTTTTTTTTTTTTTTTATTTTTTTTTTTTAATTATTTTTTTTTTTTTTTTTTTTTTTTTTTTTTATTAAAAAATTTTTTTTTTTTTAAAAAAAAAATTTTTTTTTTATTAAAATTTTTAAAAAATAAATTAAATTATTTTTTTTTTTTTTATTAAAATTTATATTATTATTTTTTTTTATTTATTTTAAAAAAAAAAAAAAAAAAAAAAAAATTTTTTTATAAAAAAAAAAAAAAAAAAAAAAAAAAAAAAAAAATAAAAAAAAAAAAAAAAAAAAAAAAAAAAAAAAAAAAAAAAAAAAAAAAAAAAAAAAAAAAAAAAAAAAAAAAAATAAAAAAAAAAAAAAAAAAATTAAAAAAAAAAAAAAAAAAAAAAAAAAAAAAAAATAAAAAAAAAAAAAAAAATAAAAAAAAAAAAAAAAATAAATAAATAAAAAAAAAAAAAAAAAAAAAAAAAAAAAAAAAAAAAAAAAAATTATAAAAATTTTATAAATTTTTATTTTTTTTTTTTTTTTTTTTTTTTTTTTTTTTTTTGTATCCGCGTCTACGCGTAACAGGCTAAGGTATTCTAGCGTAAGTTTACCGCCAACCTTAATTAGCCACCCTTCAAATCTTCCGAATGCATATCACGGCAACTTTAATACACAACGTAAAGTACTCATCATTTATTTGTACTATTTTCGTATAATCTTCTCCGCTAACATAGCATCTTGGTATAACTGCTTATTTCTTTCACGTCATAATTTAACAAACCTCGGGCTTTCATGCCCTCTTTCAATACATGTGGGTACGTCTTAAGAGCCGACAGGGCTCATTCATAGAAATTCTCATGCAATCGAGACTCTAGAATATGCTACAAGGCCTGCTGGTCGCGGCCACTACTTTTTTCCAAGGCGGAGCATTTCTTATTTTTTGGCTTTTGTTGGAGAAGCTTGCAGCATGCCAATTGCAGCACTCCCACCGAACGCCGTTCGAGCCATCGGCTCTTCACAAGCGCTTACCGATTCTGCTTCTGTGGTCAAGGAATTAGTAGACAACGCTATTGATGGTCGGGCTACTACCATCTCTATTGAAATATCTGCAAATGCACTGGACGACATTCGAGTTAAAGACAACGGTCATGGCGTTGCTCCAGACGACCGTACCATGACGTGCACAAGACACTGTACGAGCAAGATAAGAGATCTTCATGATCTCGAGAATATCGGAGGGCGCTCTTTAGGCTTTCGAGGGGAAGCGTTGGCGAGTGCAGCAGAGATGAGTGGGAGTCTTACAATTACCACCCGGATAGAGGGCGAAGGCACCGCTGTGGAGCTCAAGTTCGATCGCAAGGGTCAGATCTCGGGGTAGGTTAGTGGCACGCGAGGCTTCCGGATCCATGCTAAGTCGGTCTCAGTAAAAAGCGCACATCTCATCCAGTGGGAACGACCGTCAGGGTCGAAAAGTTCCTCCAAAACCTGCCCGTCCGCAGACAAGCTGCTGAGAAGATAGCGGTGAAGATTCACGCAAAAGTCAAAAGGATGCTACAAGCTTATGCCCTAGCACGGCCGCACCTACGCCTGTCGCTAAAGATTCTGAAGGCTAAAGACAGGAAAGGGGACTGGACGTATCCAAAAAGCGGAGCAATCAGCGCTTCACGACTGGAAGCCAGCTTCAATGCCGCCGCTGACATATTTGGCAAGAAGCTCACGAGCCAGTGTGAATCGACATTTTCGAGCTGGTCAAGCACTGGAGAGCAGATCGACGAGGCCACGAGTGAACAATTGGGGCCTAGCGCTAGCAGAGACGAAGCGTATACTCTTGAGGCTATAACGGCCAGACAGGACTGCGGTACCTATTTTCTCGCAGTCATTAGGCAGTAAAAAGAGACCTACTAATCTACTCGCCATCTAGATTGCTCAGTACTGTCCAACGCTGGCCAGTATCTATCAGTGGACTCGAGACCGGTTTCATGCACAAGAGGAACTTTGAAGCAGATCATCTCATCATATAAATCTCATTTACGTTCTGCTACGGTCGGCGAAGACAATGCAAAGACTGTGGACCCTTTCTTGTGTTTGAATATCGCTTGCCCGCCAGGAGCATACGATGCAAATGTTGAGCCAGCCAAGGATGACGTTCTATTCGCCAACTCCGAGTTGCTTCTCGAAATAGTTGAAAGATGGTTCCATAGCATTTACGGCGAAGTCCAGCCTAATTTTTCCAAGCCGTCAGCAAAAACCGTATCTGCGCTGAATCCTCGCGGCATTGAACTATTGCTCGCTCGAACAATTGCGCCTGTCGAATCTGCTCCCGTGGGCATTTCCCGGGTGGGAGGATCTACTCTTCCGGCGCCTCGGTCAGCATCTAAGTTGACTACTCACCCTCAACCACATTCAAGTCCTCTAGCGACCTCTGCCTTCGATCCATCGGCTGCAGCACCTCCTTGCCAGAAAAGTGATGGAATCTCCGGAGCAATCAGCCATTCAATCACGGAACCTCCAGCCACTGATGAAACCCAAACAGGAGCACCTCGCAGTCCCCCATCGAGTCACGATTTCTCCACAACTATGCTGTCAGAGAAAGCTGGCCTAAGGCCCTCTAGCAACATTGTTCCTGTTGAAGGGAAGCCTGGTTGGATCGGTTCCATGTACGCAGAGGATGAAGACGACGCAGAAGACCTCGAACTCGATTTGCGAGGACCCCCCAGATCATCTGCGGATATTGACCCGGACGGAGAGGAACATCTGCGTGATGTCAACGTATCGAATCCATGGGCTTTCGCTAAGCTCAACGCAGCAATGCGCCCCTCAGGTCGTAACAAGCAATTCCACACGCCAAGACGACAAATCGGCGATGTTGGCCAGTCCCCTGATCCATCTTCAGACGATCTGCCACGGGATCTAGATCCGTCATTGGCGGAAAAGCCTTTACGTCGCGTTCACCAGGCTCACTCTTCATCTGAGGCAGCTTACCCAACGCCAAGCCCTTTCCCATTCCCTCAAAAAGCTCGTGGAAAGCGCAAGGCCGGCGATGCTAGTGTCGACGCTTTATTAACGCCTGCACCATCAAAAGGGGAGCGTCACAGACGTGGAGCGTTGGATACTTGGGTGCAGAAGTCGCTTGGTGGATATGACGAGCTTGGCGATACCTTTAACACCGTGCAGAGGTCGCTCGGTGGCTATGACGAGCTTGATTATTCTTCTAACACTCTGCAAGAAGATCCAGGTGCACCAGACCAGCCATGTTCCCGTGATTTTGTCTCAGCAAGATCCCTGCCGCCAGGTGGAACACCGCTCAGTGAGATCCCAGACGCATCCCAACGAGCACGACGGAAACCCAGGCCACGGAAACAGCAACAAGGCAACATCGACAAACCATTCATATTTCCTGTCAATGACCCCAATCGCGTCTGGTTCGACACAAGAGAAAATCCACTACAAAAGCGACCTCAAAGACTACGCCCAAACAATGACCATCAAGACATACCTACAGTACCCACCCTCATCCTTCGCGACGATGAAATCGAAGAAGACGAGCCAATCATATCAGCCTCTGCAGAGCGCTCACTACCACCTATACATCCCGACTTGGCAATAACGCTCGACTACGAAGCCCGCAAGCAAAAGGCTGGAGAGGCACATAGAAAAGTATTGCGGGAGCAAGCCGCTGCCGCAAAGCTCGCCAGCAAAGCACCGGCAGATGGACCCAATCCTCTTCACCCTCAGCACGCCACCACGTCGCCTCACAAGAACCGCCAAGCCAAAGCAATCGCCGCCTTACATAATTCAGACGGGCCTTCGCCCGCAACGCCATCGCTCGGAGCGGAAGGGACCGCAGCACTCGAACCCTCCGACCCCCGCGCCTACCTCCTGCGCATGCAGCAACAGGGAGAACAAGCACCAGAGTCACTAAGAGGGAGGTCGAAGAGGCAGAAGACGGCTATGTTGCCGTTAGAGACTGTGCAAGAGGGGAGTTACATCGGCGATCTGAGTCTGATGGTCGAAGACGTCAATGTGGGGGATGTGGAGGAGGATATGAAAGACAGTGGCGCGTGGGATCATTATGTCAAGAGCGGAGAGGTGGGTGAAGCATTTGAGAAGGTGAGCATGGAGGAAATTAAGAGGTGGGAGGGGAAGCTGAGAGACTCGGTGAGGGGGATGTATGCGGTAGAAGGTGAAGAAGGAGAGAGAGCGGATGTGGATGTGGATCTGTCTACGATCTTGCGAGCTCACTTAGCTGGACATGCGTGATGTACACGGACCACGTTTTGCTTTTTGCGTTGGCATATAGCACCCTTCCGTGAATTTTGCATTGATCGGCTTGATGGATTTTTTTTTGGGGGGGGGGGGTCAAGCGATCAATGAACCTGCGTAGCGCGGCCTTTTCGAGCTTTGGCGTCAGATAGATACCCATTTGCTTACTCAATGCTATGGTTTGAGCGATGCTCTGCAACAATGCTCGCGGCCGTGGAATGCTCGACCCAGACACGGGAGAAGCTCATCATATCCTGTCTATGAACGACAAACAAACACCAGGCCGGATCATTGACGCTCGCTGCATGATGTCTGTCCAATGTGGTACTCATGCTGTGCTAGGGCTGCTCAAGAGGACGATTCGAAAATGAGACATCCAATCATAGACGCTATACAAGACCTGCTCCGAGGCACGGTCGATGTGGCTCAAGTTCCTGTAGCAGGCATCTCATATCTCGTATCCCCACCCTTCGCACCAACTGTAACCCATACCAACTTTCCACCTTCCTCCAACATTCCCTCCCACTTGACACCCTCCTTCCTCCCCATACAGCCCAAACCACCCTCTTTAGCCCAGAGGCCCACGACATCCCTCACAAACGCCGTCTTAGCATCGAGTTCGTTCTCTCTGACCAGTTCTTTGAACTCGTGACCGCGATAGGAGCCGCTCAGCATGACGCTTGTAGGGTAGCAGAGGACGCTTCGAGCAGCCAGTGCTCCTGCTTCTAGAATTCGTCCGGTTTTGAGAGCCTTCGCCGCTTGAATGGGGAGGTGGTAGAAGTCGAGCCATGTTCCATCGCCGGAGACGACAATTTTGGTGTGATCTGGAAAGTTGAATTGGAATGATCCGTCGCCGAAGCCCCAAATGCCTACATTGCCTAGACGCTGGTAGAACTTCACGAATGGGCCTGCAACATTGTTACGTCTCGACCTGCTCGAGTCCGCCTCTTCGGGCGAGTTTACGTCTATCTCTTCGCTCTTTCCGAGGCTTTGCGTCATGTATTTGCCGAATTTGTCCCAAAGACAAAGCTTCCTTCTTTTCTCATAATCGTGGATGTCGCGTCCAGGGGCAAGTTTATCTGCAACACCAGCATCGCTCACCGGGACCTGATATTGAGACGCCGGAACCAGGACACGCTTGAGACCATCCAGGCCGCAGTTCTCGATAAACTCAATCGGTGCACCTCTTGCGTGAACCATTTGCTTTTTTTCGCGATACTTTGCTACGTTGCGCTTCTTCAAGTGGTCTTCCGCTCCTGCGACAACGACGCAGGTTGGATTGCTGGTTTCATCGCCTTTGAAGACGCAGCCGACGGTGCCATTAGCCAGGATGTAGCCGATGCCAAATTTATTGGTGTAGTCGACCCACTTCACGACCACTGGGCGTTGCTTGAAGTTCTGGCTTCTAACATCGAAGTCTTCAAGTTGGGAATGAGCTTTGCCCCTAGTCAATTCTTTCAAGCTTATCTCAAGCTCATTATGAAGTCTTTGCAATTGACGAAGAACATCGTCCGGCTTAGATTCGGGAAGGCATTCCAGTACCTCATCGGGTCCAATGAGTGCATTTTCTGGCCTTGGGCTATCAGACCGCTTCCTGGCGCGATTCGATGTCATCTCTGAGGACATTGTCCTGGTGAGGGGCACGACATCAGCCATCTCTTTCTGCACGTTTGATGCGATTCTGGCTCTTGATCGGGCAGCCATGTCATGTGTTTTCACATCGGGGTTTGAGTATGCGTGATCAACACAGTGATCCTTGGTTGGCGGTCTGCGAGCTTTCGGTGCCACTGGCGGGTCTACCGTTTCTTCATCCAGTACGTGGACTTTCTTCGCTCGAGTAGCTCTAGGGTTCCGGGCTAGTGCTTTTGCTTCGAGACCCCCCGCACTGGATGCGTTGAGGGTGGGACGAACGGGCAGCTCGTTCAATAGTCCTCGTCGTGCACGGACAGAAGCATTAGCCGAAGCCTTGGTGCGCACGGAGCTGTCATTTGGACCGGCATGCTCCAAGATCTGCTTCAACTGGGTTCCAGAGCTGACATGAGCAGCACGGAGAGTAGCAGCATGACTTGGAATAAGAGCTCTTCGTGGTCGCTCAGGCACTGAGCGATTACTCATGGTCTCTGCCACAGCGGTGGACGATTGAGATATGGCCGCGGACGATCGAGACGTGTCTACGTCTTCCATGACGTGCGAGTTGATCAAAGTTGATTGGCTGGAATCGTTGGCTTCTGAGTTTGGCGAGCTTGATGATGCGAACTTGGAAGTGTACACCATGTCTTTGGGCAATGGTACGACGGGCGCGTTCCCAGAGTCTTCTTCTGCCTGGCACTCCTTGTACAGAGACAGATCAACATCCCCACCAACCGCTACTTGAGGCTCACGGTCGCCGGGTAAACATCCCACACCACACTGTCTTGCGAGAGCTCTTAGACTCAAGCGTTCGGTACCCTTCAGCATAACATCTCCACGAGGAGAGGTTTTTCTATCAAGGTAATGCGGGAATTCACGGCAGAAGTATTCCTCCATTACCATGGGCATTGCGTCGCCACCGTGCATCGAGAAGAAAGGATGGCCGACAACCTGATCTGGATCAGGACGTTCTTCCGCATCTACTTTCAGCAGCCGAGCAACTAGGTCTTTTGCTTCCTCGGGTATGTCATTGAAGTGCTTGTTCTTCTCCGGCCAGTCGTACTCCACACCCCGGGCCTTCCGATAAATCTCGTTTTGGGAAGCTGCTTGGAATGGCGGCTGGCCAACGAGCATTGCAAACCTGAAACGGTCAGATCTGGGGTACGGCTAAATGCAATTCCGCCACTTACATAATGACTCCAATTGCCCATATGTCTACCTTGTGATCGTGTCCACCCCTTCCCTTCTCCAAGATTTCAGGTGCAATGTAATTGGGCGTTCCACATAATGTAGTCCTCCTAGACTTCTGGTCGTATAGGCCTTGGTACTCGTGCTTGCTTACCAGCACTGCTGCCAGACCGAAGTCCCCGATCTTGAGGTTCATGTCGTGGTCCAAAAAAAGATTTCCCATCTTCAAGTCTCGATGTATAACGTTCCGGGCGTGCATGTATTTGATTGCTCCGCAAAGCTGAACAGTCAACCGTCGCACCTCCGGCAGGGTCAAGCATCTTCTCTTCTTGACCATGTCCATTATCGATCCATTGGAGCAAAGCTCAAGCACGACGTAGGTGCTATCTTTGAAAGTGAAGGCGCGGTGAAATTCGACAATGTTTGGATGCCGCATCTTCGCATGGATTTGGAGCTCTGTTCGAAACTGCGACATTAGCTCGAGATCTACCTGTGAACACCCAGAAACAACATACTTTGTCCTCCATCTTCTTCAGGCTCATGTAAGTCTTGACAATCTTGAGAGCGAATATGGTCTTGCCTGCCCCTCTACCCTTATTGCGTAACTCGCCTTCGTAACAGATCGCAAAGCCTCCTTTCCCTAAACACTTTCCGGTCCTGAACTTCTCAGCCAACCCACCCTTATTAATGGGAGGCTGAAGAACCCATTCTGGCGGTGCGGGCGCATAGTCTTTCTCCTTCAATGCTTTCTTCGCTGCCTCTGCCCTTTTTGCTTCTTCATCGGCCAGCTCTTTCTCTTTCAGCTTGCTGAGTTTTGGTCTGGCCTGGATGTTGGTTGACCTTGGCGATAGTGCCTCCATATTGTATTTGTGGTCAGCTGAGTCGCAGGGAACTGTATGCGAGTCTCAATGAGTCTGCAAGTAGACTAACGAGCGCAGGTAAATAGCGAATAGTCACAGCTCCTAATTATCGCATATTTGTTGTAGAGAATATTTACCTGGAGGTGAACATGAGAGTCCATGAGCCTACCATAACCAAAAGTAGGACATGTCGGGCAAGGTGAAGAGACGTTTGTAATGAGTGAAAGAGTGTGCGGTAAAATGTAAACAATGAAGTTTTTAGCTCATGACAACCGCCGAGCCGGCTAACCTTCCTAGTTTGGCCCGGATAAAAGAACTCAGGACTCGACAGCCATACCAATTTTTGTGTTTCACCGATGTTATTGCTATGAGCTAAAAACACACTGGAGCAGACTAAGAATATGTTGAAAGGTCCATGTCCCATTGATCTATGGAGACTTCGCTCTCAATAGCCCACGTTTCGCGTGCCAGCCGCGGGGCCCACAGCCATGATTGTCACGGACTTGCTTGACTGATTGCCTATTGACTAGGTCGCCCACAATGTCTAGCATAGTGATCAAACTCGGCTCTCTCGTGGTTAAAACCCTCTCGAAGCCAATTGCGGTGGGTCTCTGTTTCTCGATAGTCTGTCATTCAATGGTCTGATTCCCTGCCTTTCAGAACCGCATCAAGGCTCAAGCCCGAGAACACGAGACATTCCGTCGTGTCTGCGTCAGCTTCGCGCAGGGTATACATCGATGGGATATGCGATTTCGGCTTGGACTTCTCCAAGATAGTGCAGCACTCGAGAAACAAGCCGCCCGGGAAGCTGCAGAAGCTCAGGCGAAGAAGCACAAGTTCGAAGCTCCTACAGTCAAGACAGAAGCCCAGACAAAGGCCGATGAAGCATCTGAAAACCGGTCTAAAGACGGCCTCGATAAGGCTAAAGAGCAAAGAAAGAAGCCAAAGATCCGGCCTCTATCCGAAGCTAAAGCTATTGATGTGGGTGTCATCGCCCTCATCTGCCGCAAAGGCCAGGCTTTTTACCCTTAAATTTATATACTGACTTGCTGGATCTCCTAGTTGGGTTCGAACTTTGTCTCTGAGTCCTTTCTCTTCATCGTTGGAGTCAGCCTGGTATTCTTCGAAACATACCGCCGAAGCAAGCAGGAAAGCTCGAAGCGAGAAGATGTTGCCGATCAAATTGAGAAACTGGAGAATCAAGCGAGATTGTTCAGGAAGGCTTTCGTGGATTTAGAGAGAGAGACCTTGAAAACCACCGGCACAGGCCTAACAGGCACCCGGAGAATCTTGCCGAGGGAGGTCTACGAGCTAGAAGAGGAGGATGAAAAGGAGGGCAAGCCGAAGGGCTGGCTGTCATGGTTTCAGGGATTATACCGACGAGATGTCCAAGCAGACGAAACGAAGCCTGAGCCACTGGTCAGAGTGCCTCAAAGCAATCCTCAAAGCACGTCCTCCGTGCAGAATGCTACAACCTTGAGTGACTCTAAGTCTACAAGTATCTTAAGCAAAATACTACCAACGGCTCACAAGGACGACACCGCGAACAACACCCAGCAGCTGGGAGTAAGCCCCAAGAATAAGACGACTGAAATCAACAGTCCGCCCAGAGAAGGCGGTTCGAAATCATGAACATGCCTCAATGTGAGAACGCATTGTCTTGCATGACTCCACTGTATATGTAGGTGTATATGATAGGCGTGGTGTGTGACCATGGATGTACACGAATGAACGGGCGAAATGCTAGCAGAAGTGGCGGCATTCACTTGGTATACCACGTGCCTCTGGGTAATGGAAGGCACCTTTCTGCGTTGAGCGTTCAAGGAGTTATTGTGGTAAATACCCAGAGAACGCGTCTCTACTCGCTTAGTTTTACAATCTTCACTTTTCAAGGAATCCAATCTCCAAATCGATAACCAGCGGACTACCTCCAAGTATATTCCCACTTCGATAAGCTCAACCAGCCATGTTCTGCAGCACCCTCCGTCGCCGCCCTTCCCTCTCCACCCTCATCCCCCTCCTCACATCCTCCGCCGACCCCAGACTTCAAGGTACCATCTCTCCCAATCCCTCCCCATCAAGCCATCAACAACCCACCCACTAACCCCCAACATGCAGAAACCAACCTCCAAACCCACGACCTCGCCCTCCCCACCCAACCACAACCCTCTCACACCGCCCAGCAGCAACGACCTACAACCCAACCGTTCCTCATACTGACCAGCTCAAGCCTCCACGACCCGAACGCGACGGAGAGGATGAACCGCTTCTCGACGCTGACATCGAGCCCCGTGCCCACGATCGTGTTCCTGCTGTCTACTTCGGAACAGAGTGATGCAACCGGGGTGCACGGCTTTATGGAACTGCAGACACAGTTCGTCACCCCTTCCCACCCACCACATCATCAACCCCTCTAACAACCCCTCCCCCCCAGCCTCCACCCCCTCCCCACCCCACCCCCCCTCCTCCCCATCCCCTCCCCGCATCACCTCCTCGCCATACTGCGCACCTACACCACCGCACCCGCACCCTCACCCTCACCATCGCCCCCGCCACCGCCTCCCGCAGCAACGCTCTCGCTCCTCCCGCACGTGACGGCGACGGCTCCCGCGAGGCCGTTGTCGACGCACACGACGAACGTGCTGAGCGATCTGTGTCGGTCGGTCAGGGAAGTGGCCGTGCTGGCGGGGACGGAGGGGGGGAGGGGGGTGCTGGGGGAGTGGCTGGGGGAGGAGGGGGGGAAGGGGGTCGCGGAGTTTTGGGAGGGGGAGTGGATGGTTGAGGGGTTTTGATCTGTGGGAGGGATGAATGGATGGATGAGCGAATTGGGGAAGGGAGTTGGGGGAGGTTGAGAGGAGGAGGTGCTGCGTCGCTGTTGTTAGCTATGTGTCCGGGTCATCCATTGGGCTGGAGTGTGTTTCTGGGGTGGTTCATTGGCATGTTGTTTGCTTGGGCATATTCTGAGAGGAATGATAGCTTGTAAATTTGACGATTGTCCATGTGCAAGTGCTCCATTGAATCTTCGTATCAATACAAGAAGTGCAATCCAATCCAACTCCGCATAACCCGATCGACAGCGATCCCGCCCATGTGGTTCCCTATATCTCCAGCCGTGGTTCCTGGCCCTGGACACGTCCAATAACGATATTGGCGGCATACTTAGGGATGACCTCATCATCGTGCAGCATCTCGAACTCTATCACAATTGTCAGCTCACACATTTGCAATGGGGAGGAGATGGGACAAACCTTCAGAAGCATCCTTACCCATATGGCTAAATAGCGCCTGTGGGCCTCCTGGATGTTCATCCAACCAGTTTGTCACATCAAGCACAATACCCTTGACCACAATCCACAGATCGTCCTTCTTATTGTGCTTCGCCACTTCCTCCATGCTATACTCCTTCTCCGGCACCTTGAACTCAACGGGATCAGACGGCTTGCTCACTTTCCCCGGATCCTTGCTGTCTGCCTTGTCACCCTTCATTACCGGACCAGCAGAGCCCTGCGATTGCTGCTCTTGCTTCTTGCCTCCTGCAGCAGGCGAGTAGCTTGCGTCGGAAGAAGATGAAGATGCATTAGAGCCATCTGCCCACTCCACTGAGATCTTCCCTGGAGTCGAAGGGTCAATGTGCAGGGAGATCTGTCCGAGACGCTGAGAAGCGGTGGAGATGCCACCTGTGATAACTTTCTGGAAGAGGTACTGGCTGGCGCTGCTGCCGGCGACACGGCCGTAAACGACACAGCCGAGAAGGGAAGAGCCACCAAGCCGGTTGGCGCCGTGCACACCACCTGCGAGTTCCCCGCAAGCGTAGAGGCTCTCGAACGGTTTGCCCTCGGAATTTAGAACCTCTGCTTTGTCATTGATTTCAATACCACCCATAGTAAAATGTAGGACTGGCTCCATAACGGCGACGTGGAAGGTATCCTCGATGTTGAAGGGAAGGTTGTGGAAGAACTTCTTGCCGAAAGGGTCTTTTTGTTTGCCATCGGCAATCTCGTTGTAGTTGGAGAAGGTCTTCTGGAGACTGGTTTCTGAGCATCCGATTTCTTTGGCTAATTCCTTGCCGCTCATCTTCTTCATCAGGCCACGGCCAGAATAATGGCGAGTATGAAAGTCGAGCACGTTGGAAGCTTTGGAGTTGAGAACAAGGCGGATGGGCCACTTCTTGGCTTCCTTCTGCTTCCACATTTCGCCGGATACATAGTCACGGTGACCCAGCTCATCTGAAAATCGTTGACCTTCACCGTTGAGCAATAGACCACCCTCACCACGGAGAGCTGTATAACTGTTAGCGAAAGGCTTGGTGTCATTTAGACGTAGGCAAACCCACCTTCGGCAGCCAAAAACTTCCACTTCGAGCCTGGGTCTTTGGGGTCGACCAGACCTGTTGGATGCACTTGGACCTTGTCAAGGTCGATTCCGTTGCCACCGATCTCCATCAACATCTTCAAGCCATCACCAGTAGCGTGCGTGCCGTTTGTGCTGGCCAGATCAAATGTATCGGGTCTATGTTTCTTCAACAAAGATGAGTCGCTGAAATCAGCAGCGTAGCCTCCGGTAGCCAGAACAACCACACCATCGATGGAGCTCTCCTCGCCACCGAACTCATATGTGACTCCAGTGATCTTGTTTCCTTCTTTGTTGATCTTCGAAACACGGGCTTTCTTGATGATTTGAATCCGCTCTGGGTCACTCTCAACCAATTCTTCTAGACGCTGCATTAAGGCGTAGGTTATTGCCATGCCTGGGAATTTGGCATCGTGCCCTCTGTGTGTTCGGGGTTGGGAGTGGCCACTAGCTAGTTGTAAGCATGTTGTCTATCCCAATTAGACGAAGAACACATACCCCAACCGTGAGACGAGAGTCAAATCCAGATTGAACACATCCTGAAGCCATTCTACGGCCGAAGCGGATTGGTATGTGAGGACTTTGATCAAGTCAGGGCGTGCCTTGTCTCTCGCCGATTTTACTGTGTCATCGTAAAATTGTTTGACGCTGTCTTGGATCTTCTCGTCGACTTGTGTTCTTGTCAAGGCAGCATTGATGCCCGAGGTTGCTTTTGTGGAGTTTCCGCCAAAGAAGTCTATGAAATCGGTCAGTTTATTGAGGCTGGCAGAGGGAATTCGGTAACCCACTGTTCTTGTCGAGTAGCAAGACGTTGCCACCAGCGAGGTAGATGGTATGGGCAGCGCTCAGGCCAGACACTGTGTTTCGATCAGTCTCGGGCACGGCGGAGCGGGGTGAAATGCTGCTTACAGCCACCTCCAACCACGATTACTCTGGGCGCCATTGTGAACAGGATGTTTAGAGGAAGCGGTAGAATATTGTTGAGCGTGAGAAGGAGACGAGAAAAAGTGGTTTCAGAAGGGAAGGGATTGGGAGTCTTTGACTGTTGACAATGGACTTTCGATTTAGTGGCGTAGTATCTCCGAGCCTCGGCTGCGCTGGTCTGCCTATGAAATCGTTGAAGGTGATTGGTCAACCATTACCCACAGCCTGTTGGTGCATTTGCATATGACCGGTGACTCAAGTTCACTTTCCAAGTCCAATATCAGGTGGTCTTTGAATGAACGAAAGGATGGTACGTCCTACGCGTTTCGAGCGTCATTTCCGGAGCGCGGTGGGGTTGCAACTGGGTTACTTGTAGATCTGCTGGATAGTACTAGTACTAGACGTCTATTATACATCCAGAACAGTGGTTATCAGAATCCTACACACAGAGTAGCTCTCCATGTGCTCCCAACTTCTCGTGTACCATGTGCTCTCCAAAAGGATTCTGCTTCTCCCGAGACTCCAACTCTAAGGTAGCATTGCCAAGGATATTGACCTGAACAGGCAGTCGAACTTCTTTTCCATTGAGTTTCCATTGCACATAATCAAAATTGAGTACGATGTCCGCCATGGCTTCTGTCTTACCCAATCCACTGAAGTCAGTGAAGGTTGCTGCAGTCATATTGGGGCATCTCGGAAACCCGCCATCCCTCTCCATATGTGCCCAAGTCAAGACTGATGCCACAACGACTTTGTCGGCACCCACTCTACCATGCAAACTTATGCCCACGACTATCAAGCCATAAAGCGCGACGAAGGAGCTACCATTCATCTACCATCCCACCAATTTCGAGAAAAAGATAACATGACCCGTGCTTAGGATTCCCCCAGGCGTTTCCTTACCCATTTTTGTCAAAGATTCATCATACTGCATAAAAGGTTCCTTGATGCTGTCTTGTACTCTGATTCCTACTACGTCGACGAAGAGCTTTAGCTGCCAGGCCGTCCGGAACCAATAGGAAGTTTGCAAACAAATGGTTTCATCTCTAGTCCAGAAGTGATGGTTAGTCTCCACAGCTTTGGACAACTCTAGACGTCCTATCCTTCGCCGAAGCACTCGAAAAGATCTTCGCGCCCAGTCGAGCGGTTGCAAATCCTGCTGATCACGTTTAGTCAATTCGAATGATATCCAACGAGTGCATCTGCGCTGGGAAGCGACATTTTATACCCTCGTTATACCTTCAACTTCTAAGCTTGTCAATGGCGAATCGTAAGCCTTGCAGCTTAGCGCATATGTTCGTTAGTCAAAGGGTAGTCAGAGCGTAGTCACGAGAGCTTGAATAGGGAACGTCATACGAGTGAAATGAGAGGAACCGGAAATCTCCACCAGCGACTACGAGTGCTTGAGGCTGCGGTACCAATGGCTCGAAAGTGGCCTGGCAGGCTGACCTGGATGCTTTGGGGGTGACGTGGCCAAATGTAATACCAGGATTATGCGGCAACACTTCAGGTATGAAAATAATGAAACCTTCCAGCAAGCTGATTGGAGGACACATGGATCCTACCCTATCACACCACTTTCACTTTATCTTTTGATCCTTCGCGGTGATGCAATAGCTGTATTTCAGCCTCACAGCGTGTACAAGATGGCAGCATGGCCCAATGCGAGGTAGGCGTGGTGCTCTGGAGAGAAGAGACTCCAGATTTAGCTTGCGACCATGGATCCGATGACAATCCTCGCGGGCGGACGTCACCAAGAGAAGTCTGGAGCTTCATCAGAATCGGATGTCCTTAATGCGACGCAGAATATACCAGGAAAACCGCCCAAGACGGTCACCTTGCTCATGACAATGGTATGCCAAAAGAGAGCACGCACCGCGCTCCCACAGTGGCCCATTCTACCTCGTCTCAAGTGACAGAAGAAACGGAAACCGTGCCACGATCTTAGCGGCGGATTTTACTGCTCAAGTACCACACACTTGACGTTATATTGCAAATGAAACCCCATGTCATAAACAGGTGCCTGGATCTCATCCACACCGAGCCACCGACGGGACCAATGGCCAAAAAATAGGCGCACGTCCATCGACATAGTCGCAGACAAGGGTAAAAAGCACGCAGAAATGATTCGGAACTTCAATACCGACGTTCTACACGCCGTTCTAGACGTATGATCCGATGCGGCAGAATGCACGAACGCTATTCCGAATCACACACGGGGTGAGCCAGCCTTGACCGTGGATGAGCGGCAAATCGTAACCCAACCACCACTCTACGACCGCATTCGCGCGAGAAAATTTGTTATAGTGATGCTTCAAGAAATGATACGAGCTTTCGTTAATAGGCTCGCTTTTCCCCGACTCTGGGAGCGCTGCCGAATATCTACCTTGGGGGAAGCAGCCTTTGTTTTAGCAATGCTCATACGTCGGCTTCACTTCAAGAAGAATGTAGGTTGGGGGGGGGTTAAGCTTTCTGCCTCCTATGTAGCCACTCTGTGTACTTTCTCTCGACTAGAAATCCGTGGTAGATTTAGGCTGTCTCCAAACTCCGAAACATGCGCTGAGATTGCCACGGTGAGTCTGTCAATCGCCACTCACTGTTCTCCATAAAGAACTCCATTGCATGTTTTACGCCACAGTGACTAGGAATTGGCCTACGCAGCTAATCCTGCCTGGTTCCGCTCGGCAAACTCAAACAGCGGTGGTCGATGGCTCTGTATGCCTTTCCCAGGCTTCTGGTGTGCAAGAAAGGATTAATTTGATGGAGACCGCCAACACGTTTCACCGCTACTGAAACGAGAACCCGACTTTCATGTCTGCCCACCCACCAAAGGATCTGTCCTCGAAGATCTAACCGACATATATTGGCATTCCTTCCTGGACGCGGAAGCGCCAGAATGACTCGACAGGCACTAGACTGGTTCAATCATCGTCCCACAGCAGACCCTGGCGCTGGCCGTGACTAGGAATCAACCGCAAGCCGCATAGGACATTTCACACGGTTCGGAACTGGAACTCAGAGCCAGCACCCAGCAGCCATCGAGATCCCGTTGTAGAACCCGTCTCAATCGTGTGAACCCTGCCCACAGCGTAGGAGCGGAACATCAGCTATCATTGACTGCGGTCCCGAGTGTCTCTGACTCCTGGGCTGCGCTAGAGGAAACAGGCCTCCTCCGACTCTTTCACAGCTAGATGTATATTCTATAGCATCCGACAAGGAGCTCTTCCAGGAACTCAGGAATTCTTACCTGAGCTTGACAAGCGAATGGGTGGGAGTTCTTCCCTTCAAAAGAGTCCGAAGCATCAGTCTTGTACAGGTAAGAAACCCCTTACGTGCGAGATCATGGTTACCGAGACTATCACTCATACGAAGGACCATTTTTAGCTCCACATAAAGGATCTCGTAGACATTCGTAAGGTCCCCGATATGCCGCCGCTAATCAAGAGGGACGAATAAATTTACCAACGTTGCGATCTCATTCCTCCCGTAGGCGATAATTCAATGGCTCACATCAAAACCTGCGTGGCTATGATCAAGCCTGCGCAGGATTTCCTCGATGACACACGCCGCGCCCCTGACGTTAGTCTCAAGCCTCACTCCACTAGTGGACGAGGAAGTGGACTTCACAGATTTGAGGGAGTCTCGGACTGGCGGGACCTCGAGCCCTCTTGGTGTACTTTCTCCTTTTCTCGTAAAAGAACTGGGATTGTGCGGACACGTCTGCAGAAAAGGTCTGTTTCGAGGTCACTGGCATTGCTGGGAAATGCTGCCGACAAAGGTTGTCACCTTCTCATTCCAGGTAGCCAAGAATCGACGCGCTTGGTAGGATAGTACGCAACAATTGATCAAAGGCCACCCATATCCCAGAATTCCAAAGAGGGTTCCAGTTCCCCAGCGATCTCGTCCCAGGTCTGCCAGTCCATATCTAGGCTCGGAATGTCGCCGAAGGCGTTGTTATTGGAGTTATCTGCCGTAAACAAAAAAGGTTCCTGAGGTGTCCAAGTTGAGACGTTCTCGCTGTTGTCAACTTGTCTGAAAGGGGCGGACAAAGTCAAGGCTGTCGCGGATGTCAGATCAGCGTGTGCATTCGTTGATGACAGGGAAGTTTGGCGATGAAGCTCATCGGCTCGGTTTCTTTGCACTGCAGAGGCCAGCACCAACAGTTGCTGGTACCGAGGATCTCTCCGAGCCGCCTCAGGGAGACCATCGAAAGATCTTTTGGCTGACGACCATGCCCGCTCATAGATTGGTTCCCAACGGCGCGCGCATACCTCGCCGAACACGACGCGAAGAGCATTCCACGGTGGCTGCCGGCCTTGTATTTGCCAGCTCCAGCCGCTCCAGCTGGGTTCGTTCTGTAGGGCGTAGGTGTATTCGATGATTGACAGCGACGACATGAATACTTTATTGCTTTGTGAGGTGTCAGCAGGCTGTGGTTCTGTTGCTCTGGCAACGTGATGCTTGGTATGTAGGATGAGGTCGACTTTGGTGAGAAACAGCCGTGCACTTGTTGCCACGAAGGAGTGGAGTGGCTGTTTGGGGTTGAGGTGCTTAAGATAGGTGTCTTCGATCGTTGCTTGGGACTGCTGGAATAACTCGAGTCTCTGATCCATGTTAGGAGGCAAGGCGTAGCTGGCGCCCGTCAGGAATTGAAGTCGGCGGGATAGCTTCCAAATTTCGCAATGAATGAGAAAGACGGTCATGTCAGTCCATCTCTCCGCAACGACAGGCGGTTTTGACATCCCGGGGTCAAGGAATCCATCATCCGTATTTGCTGGTATCTCGGTGTCAAACATCCCCTCTGATAGCTTGTATTTTGAAACCTGCAGATCTTCAGATCGCGAATCGATGAAGCATATCTGCCACCATAGTCTACGTCGCATCTCTATCTCGAAGGGGGTGATATTGGCGAAATGTGAGCCATCGCGGTGGAGTTTCATGGAGACTGATACCCTAACCAAGGCACCGGCCAAAAACCATGCAGACCTCGTTTCGCCGGTGTGTTGAAGAACGCCTAGATATATGGTGAGTGCCTGAAGTACGATTATGTCAGGATTATCCAGAAAATCGGCTTGCTCAAGTGCCTGTTCAGTGCCAAGTCGATAGCGAGCAACGATTTGGTCTTTGTCAGCGTTGAAGTTCATACGGACCTTTATCCCAAAGGATCAGCCAGACAATCATGTCCAATCTTGGGTTAGGACCGCTTACCTCATCGTCCTCGAGCGACATGATTGCGGCCAAAGAAATGACTAGCACGAGAGCCTGCATGCTGGGGCCGAGAGAGTGATAGCTGCCTCTTAGTTCGCGGTTGACCTTCGTCATGGTTGGCACATGTAAGACTTTCATGAACGGATCGACGTTGTCCATGTAGATCTGCCAAAGAAACAGCATTTGTGATGGAAGGGGATATAGATCCTCCCGCTGATGCCCAGCAGATGTATGTCTAAGAAGGAAATTGTAGAAGCCGTTGTGACGTCGGTTACCAGACATTGAAACCGATGATGAGCTGCTGTCCCCATCAAAGTGGGTAGCTGTGGGCCCATGGACGGCTTCGAAGATGTGCTCCACCTTGTATACATTTCAGCGAGGAATGTGCATTAGAGTGCCAGTCACAAATGCCTAACTCGACTCCCGTCGGTAGAGGAAAGCAAAAGGGAGCAGAGCTGGAACATACCTCTTTACAAAATACCGTCCAGAAGCGATCTGCCACGACTAAATCGCCGTCATGAGCCACCACTAATTCCCCTAACTCGTCAGAAACTGGCCCCGAATCCGGCGTGCCCTTTGCCATGCCAGAATCAGTTTGCATTCCATCGCGCGTGGTGGGTGGGTTTCCACTAGCTGATTGGCTATTAAGAGCGAGTGGATGGTCTAGCCCGGCTGTCTCGCTTAATGTTACACTTGTCGTGCTTGTTGACTTCTCCACCGGGTGGTTTTCCTGATTTACTGCTGTCGCATGCTCAACCTGTGAGCCAAGGTCACCAACCATGGCTTCCAAGCGTCTGAGGCGGCCCAAGAGCTCGGTCTGCTTCTGTGCTGGGGGGTTGGGATAGTTTGCATCGCGACCGCGGCGGGGAATACGACCAGAGACGGGAAAGACACACTCGGACTTGTTCCTGGTACAAGGAGCACAAGGATGGCGTCTATCGCAGCGCACTTTGCGCCGGCGACAATTGACGCAGCTCCACACCTTCAAGCCTTCTGCCCGGTTGGTGTCATTGGCACCTGCACCGTTAGGTTCTGGAGGCTGCAATGACATCACTGCGGTAGATGACTTGGCCGCAGGTTCGGCCGTGTGTCTTTTTGGCGTAGTTTTTCAATATGAACAGAGGGGAGAAGTGGTATGTTGATACTAATTTTCTGCATTGGCGAAATCTCGCTCTCGGACTCGGGGCTTCGGTATTGGGTTCGCTCTAGTCGCCTTTTTAGCCCCTTTCTCTTTAATCGCACCTTTGATTGGTCAATCGGCCGAATTACTCTGCAGCAAAACTAGATGGCGACAAGGTGAAGAGGAATCTATAAGAGGAGCCTAGCATGGCCCTTTTTAGGAAGAACCGGTCATCTAATATCGATTCGACCTCTGAAATGTTGTCTGGAGTTCCTCTGGATTTGTTATTGGTAAGTCAAGACAATTCCGGTCGACTTGATATAAAGGCCAGAGCTTACATGGCAACTCAGTCTTAATATTTCGCTTCTCTATCAGACTCCTGAAGAAGAAATTCGTCATACCAGTCTCAATGGTAAAAACAGTTGTCATCCTTGGTGCTGGCTGGGCCGGGCTGCCACTCGCCCACAAACTGCTCAAGTACACCCTTCCCAAAGCCAAAGACGGCCTGAAAGTGGTCCTCGTCTCGCCCAATTCGCACTTCTACTGGAACCTTGCCGCCGTCCGCGGCGTCATCCCTGGCGCCATTCCCGACGAGCAGCTGTTCCTCCCCATCGAGCCAGGCTTTGCCCAACACTCGGCCGAGAACTTCGAGTTCGTCCTGGGCAAAGCCGAACGCCTTGATCCGGAGAGGAACACGGTTGAAGTGGCCGGAAAAGACAGAACCCAACATTCTCTCTCCTACGACCAACTTATCATCGCTACCGGCTCCCAGATCCGCAGCAACCTGCCGTTCAAATCCGTTGGCACACACGAAGAGACTCTCGCAGCTCTGCACTCGCTTCAGAGGCAGATTGACTTCGCAAAATCCATCGTGCTTGCCGGCGCCGGACCGACTGGCGTAGAAACAGCCGGCGAGCTGGCCGCCGCTTACGGCGAGGAGAAGGACATCACGCTCATCATGAGTGGGGAGCACGCTCTGCAGGCGACCCGTATTCTGCCGAGCGTCAGCCAAATTGTAGAGAGAGACCTGCAGAAGCTGGGTGTGAAGTTGGTGCGCAAAACACAGGTGGAGGGTGTGCGGACAAACGCGAAGGGAGAAGAGGATGCGGCCGTGCAGACAACCCTCACACTTTCGAATGGCACTACCCTCGTCGCCGACTTGTACCTCCCACTATTTGGCGTACAGGTGAACACAGGTTTCGTTCCCGAGAGCCTACTTGACTCGGCAGGGAATCTTGTTCTGGACAAGACGATGCGTGTAGTGGGGACGAAGAACGTATGGGGAATCGGGGACGTGGGAAACCTTGAGGTGAAACAACTTACCGTGACGGATGCGCAGATCATCTACCTGTCGGCCGCTCTGGATTCTGTTTTGACTGGGGAGGGTGGACAGGTCAAGGAGTATAAGCCGTCGGGAAAGACGATGATATTCATCACTATGGGCAAGAAGTACGCCATAGGGCAGATGGGTGGATGGAAACTCTGGGGCTGGGTGGTATCCTATGTTAAAGGCAGGACGCTCTTTGTTGACACCGCCCAGGGGTATGTGGGTGGGAAACAGTTGAGGCATGCGTCGATGTAGCACAGTAAGCGTGTTGCACATCATGGGGGAGTGTCCGGATGTTCCAATTGATGTCGCCAACGGGCTTCCCAGGCCTGAGCCCCGTAGAACCACCCGTTGCACACATTGTTGAGATCGCCTAAATGATTCACAAGCTTAGAAAGGGAAATGGAGATATGATCATATGATACAAAACGTTCTACGGAGGTCTGCACCTGATAGCAGCCCTAACCCTACCTTAGCTACCTCACTCGCTAAAGCGGCCACGGCCGGACGTGTTTCCGAGTGAGTGGGGGCCATGTTTCTGTGCTGGTGTCGCCAAGCCGAGCGGGTGAGCAGTACACACTTCTCTCGTGGCATGATGTTGTTCTGGGCATGCATCAAACATGGCTAATGAGCCATCAGACCACGATGCCGCTCTATTGGCACGGTTGAATAACCTCAGGCACTCGAGCGTCTCCTTTGGCTCATCCAACAGTCTTTCGGCCCCAGCAGGTGTCAGTGAGCTCGACGACACTCCTGAAGATCTCATTACCCGCTTCGAAAGGCTACATGGCCAGAAATCTGTCGATAGTCATGAAAAGGCTCCATTGTTAAGTGCTACCACAGAAGAAGAAAGCAGACAACCTTCTCCCACGATCGAGGAACTTCTAGGCCAGCTGGCTCCAGAAGAGCAGTTCACTTTAAGTTCTACAGATCTTAAAGAAGCATACGAGCTTCTGGCTCCGGCAAAATGCGCGCTTCCTGACGAAGATGCCCCAAACAAAAACCCAGAGGGTAGAAGGTCTGCTGCAAGCCTGAGCAGAAGGCCGAGGGGATCTACAGAGGCTATCAAGCCTGAGCATGATGAAGAAGCTGAAGCAGAGGCCTCTCTTCAGCGCATCTTGGACGAGGTAGAGCTCGAACGGCAGCAAGAGGTTGTATCGACCGTCCCTTCATCCCAACCCGACAGGGTGCCCGCGTCCCCAGCTCCAGCGCCGCCAGACTCCTTTGCATCCCTAGTGTTTCCTACTATTCCTGATTTGCCACTGCCATCCATGAGCCTTCCCTCTGCGCCCACCGCAGCACCCTCCACGCGCAAGCCCATATCCAAATCACCTGGATTCTCCGATCAAGACATCGACTCTTGGTGCATCATCTGCTGTGCCAACGCGTCTGTCAAATGCTTCGGATGTGATGGTGATCTATACTGCTGGGGCTGCTGGAGGGAGGGACACGTTGGGGAAGGCGTGGGCTTGGAAGAAAAGAGCCATGTTTGGGAGCGAGCGGTGAAACGGAAAGGATAGGAGTCAGGCCGTTTCTACATCAGTCTGGCCAACGCTCGACAACCAAGTCTCTAGAAGCTAGAGGGTGCTCATGAGTCATGACGCGCCGGCGCATTCTTGGCCGTCAGCAGCATATGGCCATTTGCTGGCTCGTGCCTACATTGCTAGTCTCGCTTGCTAATTGAAGGTAGAGATTGGGCCGTATCTTTAATTTGGAACCCGCTCTTCAAAACTTTCCTGGTGGCCACTACGACTAGAGGTTCTGATCGGACAGACATTGCGCCTGTTGAAAAATCTGTAGCCTCAGGGCCAGTCAGCATGTTGTCGAATTTCGAAGACAGTTTTGTTGGCATCCTGTCTTGGCGGCTAGAAATTGTGCCATCTCTGACCACGCCAACTTCATGCCAAGACATAACTATTGAATCGACCTTGAATCTCATACCGAGCATGACTTTGCGTATAGGTATACAATCACTCGGTTCGCAAGATCAGCGTTTACGATGAAAGTCATCCTCCCCGCGAACTTCGTGATAAGCTGTCGACCCAACTACATTGGCTTCATTCGTATGGTACCCAATCCCTGCGAATATATATGAATGTGTCTTTGGCTCTAGAATCATAACAGAATGAAAGGGACCTCTCCTTTCCTCAGTCCGCAATGGTGGTAAACGGAGAGATCCAGGAACATGAAATTGACCAAAACCTGACGATTAAAACCTCCCTACATCCATTCAAGTCGGAACATTCCTTGCAACAAGTAACATCTGCGGGCATCCCGCCAGCGCCCGAAGCAGAATTTAAGCCGACAACAACAAGGTTGTATCTTGCATTCGGCACATTGGCAGTGATCACACTTATGGTGGCTCTGGATGGGACAAGCTTATCCGTTGCTCTGCCCGTAGGTTCCTTGCCCATACATCCCAGTCACTTGCGGTAATCAATGACTGACTTATATGTTCAGATCATGGCACGCGCCCTGAAGGGCACCGCGATCGAGGCTTTCTGGGCTGGTACATCTTTCCTTCTCTGCTCTACAATATTTCAGCCGAGTTTCGCCGAACTTTCTCACATCTTCGGACGAAACCCCTCGTCATGGTGGCTCTTGTATTCTTTCTCGTCGGCGCCATCGTTGCTGCGACGGCGAACGGGTTTGGACCCCTTCTTGTCGGCAGATCGCTCCAGGGTGTTGGAGGTGGCGGCCTCAATGCCCTTACCGAGATTCTGGTCACCGACTTGGTACCATTGAGGCAAAGAGGTCAATGGTTTGGAATCATTAGCGCAATGTGGAGTATAGGTTCTGTCACCAGTCCTATCGTTGGTGGCGCGTTTGCGCAAGCTGTGTCTTGGGTAGGGCCAACGCTTCATAATGATGCTTTGCCCTGAGCTGACTGGTGATTAGCGGTGGATCTTCTGGATCAATTTGCCATTTGTTGGGCTCGCTCTTGTCCTGGTGCCTCTTACTCTGGTGCTGGCTTTCAGAGTTAGCTCGCTCGCAGACAAGCTTAGGCAGGTGGATTGGATTGGATCGGTCCTCTTCATTGGGTCGACAACCAGTTTTCTGATTCCAATTACTTGGGGCGGTGTGTCATACGCCTGGGACTCCTGGCGGGTTCTGGCTCCACTGATCATCGGCATCGTCGGTCTGGCTGTCTTTGTTGTCTTCGAGGAATACGTCGCCAAAGAGCCGCTCATTAGGCTTGACGTCTTCAAGAACCGAACGGCGGCTGCAAGCTATTTTGAAACAACGTTACATGGCATGATCCTTTGGTGCATCCTCTATTATATGCCTCTCTACTACGAGGCCGTCAAAGGCGAGACACCCATTATTGCGGGTATAAGCCTTTTCCCGGCCACATTCACTGTGGCTCCCGCGGCCATGGTCACAGGAATTGTGATCTCTAAAAGTGGCCGCTACCGATGGGCTATTTGGTCTGGTTGGGCACTGACGACTCTTGGGACTGGTATACTCTACTTGCTTGACGTCAATACGACAAGAGTCCAGTGGGTTTTCCTTCAATCTCGTAAGCCGTTTGGGAATGGGCGTTCTCTTCCCCTCAAATGGCTTTCTCGATTCAAGCAGCCACTATAAACAAGGACCTCGCCTTCGCCGTCGCCCTGTTTTCATTCTTCCGTGCCTTCGGCCAAGCAATAGGCGTCGTTGTCGGTGGTGTGATCTTCCAAAACCAGCTCGAAAAGAAGCTCTTGACTTACCCGCTTCTCGCCCCAATGGCAGGTGTCTACTCAAGCGATGCTTCAGGCTTAGTGCAAATTATCAAGACGATGCAGCATGGACCCGCGAGAACGCAACTGATTCAGAGCTACGCTGATTCTTTGAAACTCGTGTGGATTGTGATGTGTGGTTTGGCAGGTATGGCTCTCCTGTCGAGCTTCTTGATAAAAGGGTTCGAGCTGGATCGTGCGTTGGAGACGGAGCAGGGGTTTCAGATTGAAAAGACGGCTGTCGACGAGGAGAAGTGAAGATGGATGGTGAAATTCAATTACTAGGCCGTTTTGGTGTCGCTGAGCATGATATCGAGGGCGCTGTTAGGTCTCAGGACTGGTATATATGTACAGAATATGTATAGAGATGATGTATAAATTTACCAGTACTCATCTAGGCATCTTCTGCGGAACGACCTATGAGTCAGTCTTCTGTGTTAGCACGCAGAGCACAACAGTTGATGAGCTGGCAAGCTGTCAGTAAACATGGTAGCCATGGAGACTGGCCTCCTCTACATTATAAACATCATTGAATATGGAAGCCCAAAAGATCTGACCACCCATGTATGAATAAGAGTCACCCAAAGAAAATGAAAATGTTTCGTCGGCAATCACATTGTTGCCCAGAAGAGATATTGGTCGATCATCGAAAAGTGTCGCCACTGCCGATGATGTGGCGGAGTTGATTACGAGGCGAGCGTGGTTACGTTTCTTGAGCCGCGCTGGAAGCGAGTCCCGCAAAGGGAACGTCATTGAAGATATCAGTTTTACCAGTCGGGCCTAGAAATAAGCAGACATTCTTGGAGCCTACACACCTTCTGAAATCAATGTCAGTGCTCATCGCATAATTCTTCGAAGCTCCCGTGCCCGTATCCCGGAGCAGGCGCAAACACAGCTGAACCGTGAAGCCCAAAGAAAACCACCATGGTATGAGGATTGCTCTCCGACTCTCCGACTTGCCCACTTTTAGGAATAGACTAATCCGGGGCTTCGATAGGCAGTAACAAAGCGCGCCGGCCGCAAGAAGGACACTAGCAATGCGCAGGCGGCCAGCAGCGGAGGGGGAAAGCCTCAAGTTCGAAAGGCCGCCTTTGAGAGCACCAAGAAGAAGGAGGTCGGAGTCTCGGATCTTACACTCATTAGCAAGATATCGAACGAGGCTATCAATGACAATCTGAAGAAACGCTTCGAGAATGCGGAAATCTACGTACGTTGGCTGGGCACACGGTTGGAAATGCAGGTGGGACGGCAGTGCTGATTTGGATCGCAGACTTACATTGGCCATGTGCTGGTATCCGTCAATCCCTTTCGAGACCGTGAGTTCCTCTGCACCTACAAGCAAAGGTGGTAAGCTGACAACCGATAGTCGGCATCTACACAGACTCGGTGTTGGATTCCTACAGAGCCAAGAACCGACTCGAGGTCCCTCCCCACGTCTTCGCAGTCGCCGAATCAGCCTACTACAACATGAATGCCTACAAAGACAACCAATGTGTCATCATTTCCGGGGAGTCAGGAGCAGGAAAAACAGAGGCGGCGAAACGGTTAATGCAATACATTGCCAACGTGTCTGGAGGCACCGATTCGTCGATACAACAGACTAAAGACATGGTCCTGGCTACGAATCCGCTACTCGAATCTTTCGGGAATGCGAAGACGTTGAGGAATAATAACTCGTCGCGATTTGGGAAATACCTGGAGTTACAATTCAATGCGCAGGGAGAACCGGTTGGGGCCAACATTACGAACTATTTGCTGGAGAAGACAAGAGTTGTCGGACAAATTACGAATGAACGAAACTTCCATATTTTCTACCAATTTACGAAGGCTGCATCTTCGAGTCATAGAGGTATGGTGCAGAGCTTAAAGGCAATTTTGCGCGGCTAACACGATGCACAGAGATCTTCGGGGTTCAACAACCCCAGTCATATTCCTATACCAGCCGATCGAAATGTTTTGACGTACAAGGAATAGACGACGGCATGGAATTCAAGGATACACTTAATGCTATGAAGGTCATTGGCTTATCGCAGGGCGAGCAAGATAATATTTTTCGAATGTTGGCTACCATCTTATGGATTGGGAATGTCACATTCCGGGAAGACGACAATGGAAACGCAATGATCACTGACCAGTCAGTGGTAGACTTTGTAGCATATCTGCTGGAGGTCGACGCTGCGCATGTCAATAAGGCTTTGACCCTACGAGTCGTTGAGACTAGTCGTGGAGGTCGCCGAGGGTCTGTCTATGAGGTGCCCCTGAACCCGACGCAGGCGACGGCCGTACGAGATGCCCTGGCAAAAGCCATCTACTTCAACCTCTTCGACTGGATCGTTGACAGAGTCAATGCGTCGCTCAAGGCACGTGGGTCTGTCGCAAATTCTGTGGGTATTCTGGATATATATGGATTTGAGATTTTCGAGAAAAACAGCTTTGAGCAGCTTTGCATCAACTACGTTAACGAAAAGCTTCAGCAAATCTTCATTCAGCTTACCCTCAAGACCGAGCAAGAGGAGTATGCAAGGGAGAAGATCCAATGGACACCAATCAATTACTTCGACAACAAGATCGTGTGCGAACTAATAGAGGAGAAACGACCGCCTGGCGTGTTTGCAGCCCTCAATGACGCCTGTGCAACCGCTCATGCCGATTCGGGAGCAGCAGATCAGACCTTCGTGCAGAGGTTGAATGCTTTATCATCAAATCCCCATTTCCAACCCAGGCAAGGGCAGTTCGTCATCAAGCACTATGCGGGTGATGTCAACTACGCTATCGAAGGTATGACTGACAAAAACAAAGATCAGCTATTGAAGGATCTGCTCAACCTTGTGGGCGAAAGCAGCAACAACTTTGTGCACTCGTTGTTCCCCCACCAAGTCAATCAAGATGACAAGCGTCGTCCGCCAACCGCAGGTGACAAGATCAAGTCTTCCGCAAACGACCTGGTGGCGACATTGATGAAGGCCTCTCCATCATATATCCGAACCATCAAACCCAACGACAATAAATCGCCTACCGAATACAATACTGGCAATGTCATGCATCAGATCAAGTACCTTGGTTTGCAAGAAAACGTCCGAATACGAAGAGCTGGCTTCGCTTATCGGCAGACATTCGACAAATTTGTCGAGCGATTCTACCTTCTCTCGCCTAAGACTTCCTACGCCGGTGACTACACGTGGACTGGTGATGCTCTCTCCGGAACGAAGCAGATTCTGAAGGATACGAGTATACCGCCCGAAGAGTACCAAATGGGTGTCACTAAGGCTTTCATCAAAACTCCCGAGACACTTTTCGCCCTCGAGCACATGCGAGATCGTTATTGGCACAACATGGCAATACGAATCCAAAGAGCATGGAGAAACTACCTGCGGTACCGCATCGAGTGTGCCATTCGCATCCAAAGATTCTGGCGGAGGATCAATGGCGGTGGTGAATACCAGCAACTGAGAGATTACGGCACCAGTCAAGTTCTCCAGGGGCGAAAAGAAAGGCGGCGATTCAGTTTGATCGGCTCCCGAAGATATCTTGGAGACTATCTCGGAGTTGCTAATAGTGGGGGCTTTGGTGAATTGATCCGAAAGTCTATCAACATTAGTGGTCAGTGTTCTCTCCAACAACACACATGTTGCAGGGCCTAACCTGCTTGATAGGCCATGAGAATGTCCTCTTTTCCTGTCGATGCGAGCTGCTTATAACCAAGTTTGGGAGGTCAAGTAAGCCGAGTCCTCGAAACCTGCTTCTCGTAAGTTGGATCATCTTCTCTGTCAGTAAGTCTGAACTGACGAGTCAAAGACCAGCAAAGCTGTTTACATCGTTGTATCGCAAATGTTGAACCGGCAGTTATCAATCTCCTCCGAGCGGACGATACCTTTGGGTGCTATCAAGTTCGTCAGCACATCCAAGCTAAAGGATGATTGGTTCTCGCTAGGTGTCAGCTCGCCGCAAGAGCCAGATCCTTTGATTAGTTGTGTATTCAAGACGGAGTTTTTCACACACTTGAAAAGGATCATGCCTGGGGGCCTGAACCTCAAGATTGCTGAGTCAATTGAATACAACAAGAAGCCAGGGAAGCCGTCGGTAGTCAAGGTTGTCAAAGACCCGACAGTATCAAGAGACGACCTTTACAAAAGTGGTACTATTCATACCGGCCAAGGCGAACCCCCAAACTCGATTTCAAAACGAACGCCAAAAGGAAAGCCAAAAGCGGGGAAGCCCATCACTCAAGGGAAGCTATTGCGGCCAGGTGGTCCTGGTGGTGGGCCTTCGAAGCTGGCATCTCGGCCTGCTGCAGCACGACCCGTGCCTCAGCCCATGCCATCCCAGCCATCACAATCCAGAACTACACCCGCTCAGACACCATCTGTACGATCTTTACCTCAACCTACTACCGCTCAGCCAAGAGCTGTTCCACAACCATTAGCTGCGGTTAACGGTCTCAGCCATGGTAGAAGCGACTCAGCAGGTCGAGCACCGCCTCCACCACCACCTGCTGCTCCTCCAGCTGTCAGGAAGGATACCTACAAATCTCTCTACGAGTTTTCAGGCCAAAGTCAGAACGAGCTCCACCACCTTACGCAAGACGAGACTATAGAAGTTGTACAGAAAGCAGACAACGGTTTGTTCCTGTCACTCACTGAATCCATCTCATACACTAATTATCCTAACAGGCTGGTGGCTCGCCAAAAAGCTTGACGGCTCCTCTCAAGGCTGGGTCCCCTCTGCCTACCTCACACAAGACACCCCCAAACCCATCCCTCCCCCAGCTCCACCTCAGCCTGTCGCCCGCGCGGTTCCCGCGCCGCCTCCCTCTGCACCCACAAACGGCATCAACGGCACCGCCTCCCGCGCTCCTGCCGTCAAAGCGAAACCAACGCCTCCTGCGCCGCCGAAACGACCTGGAGGCGGCAAAAAGCCAGCTCCGCCGCCCGCGCCCAGAGATAGCGCTGTGAGTATGGGGACAAGTAGTGGCGGGAGTGGGGGGAATACGCCGGAGAAGGCGGATAGTGGCAGGGCGCCGAGTTTGGCAGGGGGTTTGGCGGAGGCGTTGAGGGCGAGGCAGATGAGTATGCAGGGACGGAAAGAGGAGGATGACGACTGGTAGATGTGAAAGACGAAGCCGCAAGAGCTATTCAGATGGCGTAACGAAGACGAGTCCGGCGTTGATGACAGCACTAGAATATGAGGCTCCAGCGTCTTCATGCTTTTTAGGTACGAAAAGCCTCAGACTTACTCACATCAACACCCTCACCCCCCATCCAAACCCCCTTGCCCCCCCACAATCCTCCCCCTGCCCACCTCCACGCCCTCCCACAAGACCCGAAACCGCGTCCCTCGAAACCCACTCCCCTGCAACCAATCCCTCAGCGCACCCGGCACCTCCCACTCCATCAGCCACGTCATCTCCTCCCCAGGCTCAACGACCAACTCCACATGCCCTTGCGCGTAGTACTCCTCCGCTCTCATGCGCAAATCGCCGAATTTGCGCGCGATGTTGCGGCCGGCTTCGTTCAAGGCTTCGTTGCAGAGGGTTTCGGCTTCGGCTTTGGGGATCGGAGGCGTGGGGTCGTAGAAGAGGAGGTGGAGGGGTGAGCGAAGCAAGGTGAGAGAGGGAGGAGGAGGAGGGGATGTTGTGCTACGGTGGGGCGGTGTCAGTGTTTGCATTCCAACAAACAACATAGGTAGCGGTGGGATAAGGGAGAAGAGCCGGGCTCACTGACTTGTAGGAATTAGGAAGCGGCGATGATAAGTCGCGTCCTGCGCCGACGTCCTCACTTGCCAGCGGTGATGCTTTTGGAAGCGGTGGCGGTGCTGCGACTGCACAAGTCCACAGCAGCTGGATGTAGATCGTGAGGCATAATGTCTCGAGCCTCTTTGGAGTCATCGTTGTCAATCAATACCAGAGGACATCGATTGGCTTCATGGCACAACGGTTGCGGCAAACGCTCCTAGGGGTCGACACGTCTGTTGGGCGCTTCGCCGGTCAGTCGCTCTTGGAGGCGCATGTCGCCCACGCGATTGGCCGCTCCGATCAAAGCACTGTGCCGACGTATTTGCAGCCTCTCGATGGCTCCTGCTCTCTGCTCGAAGAAGGTCACGAGCAGCCTGTTATGTTAGTGACGATACCAGTGTCGTGCCCAGAGCAACCGTGTGGGCAAACCACGTCCCAGGAACCCCGGAATGTAATTCAATTCCGCTCTCCATCTTCCCCGGACCCAGCAGATCCGTCACTTGTGAGCTCACGTCGCGCGACGGCTGCGGGAACCATGGGCCGCGCATCCTGATCTGTCTTACCCTCAAGTACGAACAACGGGTGCCGGGCGCCAGATCTTTCTTGCTCCCCACGCTCTCTTCGACTTCTTCTAGAGAAGGGAAGAAGCGCAGCGACGATGATTATGATGATCAGCACGCCGGGTGCGGCTCCGACGTCTATGCCAGCTTTGGCGCCGGTGCTGAGACCGGAGAATGGAGGAGCGGTAGAGGGCGGTAGAGACGTCGTATGACGTTGATGAAGTCATAGATGATGCGGTGATCGAGGGAGCCGTTGTAGTTGAAATGGACGGCAAAGAATATAGGCCGAGGTAGAAAGGCGTTGAGTTGCGGTGGCGTCAGAAGGGGCAAGAGTCCTGACGACGATTCCAGCTGCAGGCTCTGAATCTGTTTAGTCCAGTATTACCGATTTGATCGCCCAAAGACGGTGAGGAAGACGTCGAAGGAAATACATAACTGATTGATTGAGTAAAAAAGCACTTGTAGGTTCTCAATGTGTGATGTTAGTTCAAAGGACAAGGTAGCGACGGGCCACGGCAGTGATGAGGAAAAAAATCCCCTTAGGAATCGCCAGAGTACCGATATCCATGGATTATATGTAACGCCCCAAACATCTCTTACCCCTTTATGAGGCCCCATGACAAGTATCTATTCCGACGTAGCACAGCCTCTACTCAAAGGGTAGACACCAGTCCAGATGTCGCACCTGTGCAGAATCCATGCTGCATTGATGTAACCGTGGTTCCAAACGGAGTACACCGATCATCGTTTAATAATCCCCTCGCAATCACCCGCCTTGTGTACGTACGTGCTGTTGCATGTTGCCGCCCCAGCAATTGAGCAGAAAGTGTCACATTGACGCGGCAACACCTTTGAACGGAACTGCTTCGCTGGACAAGGGAGCTGCGGTTTGCAAAGCGGAATGGATTCTTGTTCTAAGTAAAGTACACGGTTGAATGAGTAGACATCTGAATAGACATCGTAAAGACTCTCTCTATGAAAGGTGCTGAAATGATTGCGAATGCTCGTGGGATGATGAATCGATAAACTCTACCTTGCTGCTGTCGCCTCGGCTCAGCATATTTCCAAGCACCAAATGATTCTCTAGACGCCACAACACCTTGTTCAATGCTTGTTCGCTTGCTCAAATACCACCCATAACCTCATCACCATCATCAGCTCCGTCCAGTCCACCTTCCGGTCGAGGCTCAGCAGCAGGTCCAACCTGGATCCAGCGTTTGAAGTCTTCGGTCTCTTTGTCGAGCTCGATACCGGATTTGTCCTTGATGAAGGTTCCCTTCTCCCCGAACATCGCGGTGAATCTCTCCTTCCTCTCCTTGATCACCTCTCCATACGCTCCTAGTCCTCGCTTTCTGACGGTATTGTTGTGCACCCACCAGTCGGATGTGTACTCTTCGTACAGCAACTTGTACGCACGAGGAGAATTTGGAGGATGCGCTGGTGGCTGGATCGTAATGACTAGACCGTCCTGGTTCCACTGTGGGACGCCGTACGTATTATTGTACTCTTCTTCATCCGCTAGCATTGGGGGCAGATTGCGCTTTAGAAAGGGCAGCTGTATATCCGAGAGTTTGACCCCTTCGGTCTGATCGCGCATGGAAAAGGTGGATATGTAGTATGACCATCGCTGGTGGACGGCGAGTTCATCGGTTTGGTACGTCTTCTCTTCTCTTTTGAAGAGTGAGATGATCACCTGCTTTGATACACGATTCTAGACAAGACATTAACAGGATCCTGAGTTCGAGGAGGAAGAAAATACTTACGTAGCGGATGCGAAATATATCACTCTCTCTTACATACCCCTGGACTCGCTTTCGATAGGTCAACTCCGTATTGTGAGTCGTTTCGTCCTCCTTGCGATCCTTGTAGAAGAGATTGATGATGTCAAGACTCTTGTCCTTATTGTCGCTTACGAGAATCAGAAGTGCGAATCTGAGGAGTGCAGCTAGCAGCTTATCGAAGGCGTATAATTGCCAGCCGCTCTCTATATAGTAACGGCGCAATGTCTCTTCAAGTTGAGAAAGATCCAGCTCGGACTTCACAACTTCCTCAATCATACTGACCGTCTGGCGGTAGTAGCTTGCTGAAGGACCAACATCGGCGAAGAATTCGCTTGGTGTCTTTTCAATCAATCGCAGATCGTTGGCAGCTTTGGCCATATTCGCCCGCTGGACATCTGTGTGCACATGCTTCTCACTGAGCTTGAGGTTCAATAACCTCTGATACAAAGTCTCGAACGTTCTGAAGAAGCAATATATGTTGAGATTTGCGTAGAGGTTGAAGTCGTCACGTTTGTAAGGCACGTTGTAGTCTTTCGATTTATCGCCAGTGGAGGGGACATTCAACCAGCGAAATTCGCTTTCGTCCACGCGAGCAGGTCTGTCTGTCGGTGTACCCGTTGATGCTGGGGTATCCTCGTCATTAGAGACATCGGGTGTAGTCTCTTTGCTCTCTAGAACGCTTTCTTCCTTCTGACCAGGTCGACCACGCTCGAGAACTCCCCGCAAGAGATTTGACTTTCTTCCATTGGCGACTTTTCGACTCCGTGCGATCCCTGGGTCTTCGTTCGTGCCAGTCTCATCGTCGACCTCTTCATTCGATGGTGTCGCATCGTAGATGTCACTCATCCTGGCCTGGAAAGAATCACGGTCGATGTCCAGGAATGTTGGAATAAAGGTCTTGATGAATGTCTCAAGCCTCGTCTTATCCGTTTCATTGGTGACAGGACCGAATTGAAGCTGGGTTAGAATAAGATGACAAGCATCGTGGACCACATCGAGATCTTCGAAGCCAAACTTGAATTGGTGATTTGGCACGGAGTTCCAAGGCGCAATGCGCTGGCGTCGCTGCTCTTCCCATTTGACATGAATCTCGGTTTGAAGACTTTTGGGCTGGAATTGACGTTTGTCCGCAGTCTTCATAATGATACTCTGGTGGTCCAGGCTCCTCCAGAATAATTTGTTTGTCTGCTCTCGCCAGACCTTCTCCCACTCCCGCTGGCTTGCCTTCCATTCTTCACACTTCATCTTAAGCCTCCCAAGAAGTACCGGAACAACAGCTTCTGGTCTCTTAAACATGTCGTGGATGACTCTGCATCCACGTTCTCTGTCGTAAATCTTCTTGATAACACGCTGATATATTGTCTCGCTTTGCCCACCAATACCAGGAGGTAGACGAAATGTAGATCTCTCATCGGGAGTCATCATATTCAGCTGCTGTGCTATTGGCTCCAATAATTGAATTGTTCTGGAACAGGCTTCGATGTTGATGTCATAGTCATGACGCTCCTCTTCGATACGGTGCAAAGATTCTTCGAATACATTCTTGCGATGTGCGATGAAACCTGAATCTTCTGAGGCCCAAGTAGGATGAGACACCCATTCATCATTGAGTACTTGTTGACACATCTCATCTCGTCCGCTGCAGACCCGCAAGCGTTCTCGTTTGGGAAGCATTCGATAGCTGGGGCCTAGACCGCGGCAGTTGCTCAGAACGACTTTGTCGCCCGGAATCTTGGGTCGGTTTTCGATGATCTCGTCGCGTCCGTCGTACTGAACGAAATTCTTGAAATAGTTCATCAAATCGACATTGCCGCCAATGAAACCGTGAACTTTGTGTACGAGGGTATTCTTGTTGACGAGGTCTTGCGTAAAAAGGTTGCAAAGCTTGAGGAATTCGTTGTACGTCTTTTTGTCGGCAATGAACTTCCTGACACGGTCAAAGAAGCCGATTTGGTCAATAATATCACCAAGGTCTTTAGAAGGAGGCATGGCTGTGGGAAGGCTCGGGACAAGCGTTGGCGACGCAGGAGGTATCTCCGGTACTGTAGGTTTGGCTTGGTCGAACTTGGCGCGCTGTACACAGTTGGTGGTCAGTTGTGGAGGCGTTTTTCGACGTTCGTAGGGTAAGAAAGCATCGTTGAAAAGAAGAGCCATGAGGCCTATGACAAGCGCGTCGCTTGGGTAACGCAAAGGGAATAGTGGAATATTTGGATGCAGAGGGTGTGAAGGCTGTCGGTGGGTGAACTTCCAAGATTCGAAGATGCTTGTAGAATGTTGGAAGCTGCAAATGAGTTGCGTTATGTGCAGTACCCTTTCACATTGCGGAGTAATAATTGTGTTGGCCGACGTCACAAGAAAAGAGGAGGCTGGTGTTTTTCGTAACAACAACATTCAGTCACTCACCTTATTTGCATTTCCTCGCGCACCGTTCCTGTTGTTCAGCCCACTGGGCCCCGCTCCGGCATCGACAGCGGCGGCTCCGCCAGTCATTTGGGATCCCGGTCCTCCGCGTCGCTTTTTGTTTTCCTTAGTCGCTGATGGAGGTGCGAAATTGCCAACCGGCGGCATCTTGATGTCCGGTCTTGGCGTCTGTACTTGAGCCTGTTGGACTCCAGCGCCATACCCTGAATCACCACGAACATTACTGAGCATGGCTGCGTCTTCGGAGGCTTGCTTCGCAGCTGCTTGCGCTTTTGCTTGTGCTGCTGACTCCGGAAGGAATTGTTTGAAGTCTTCCAGAAGATCTGGAGCCGAGCTGAACAACTGGGTTACTTGTGCGTACACGTCCTGGATCGGCTTGGACTCCCTTTGATATGTCTGAAGAATCTCTAAAAATTGCTTGTAAATTTCAGGTTGTGTGGCAAAGCGATTCTGTCATCCATCATCAGTCAGCTACTCTTCGTGCTGGTCGGGTTCATCACGCGCTTACCTTGATTTTGTTGACATATCCAATAGCGTGATTGAATTCAACAGGGCCTCTCTTTTCCAACCCTAGCTGGCTGCTCGAATTCAATGCTGCGACGTTCAATCCAACAGCAGCCTGACCAAGACTAGTCACTTGACCTCCGCCGGGAGAGATCTGGGCCATCGGATGTCTCCCTTGGGCCCCATTTGTCGCAACGGCCGTCACCGCGTTCGACAAGTGGGATACTCCCCGTTGTTCTTGCTGATGTGCTATCAGTGCGGCCTCTCCTTGGTCATCTCCTACATAGGTCGCCCCGGTTTCGCTGCCCATATTGGTCTGACTAGCGAACAAAGGGTGTCCTCCAGAACGCGCATTAGTAAGTGTTGTACCTAGGCCATCTTCTTCATGTTGTGGAGCCAGCCATTCGCCGTTTGCCTGCGCACCATCTGCATAGATTGTCTGTCGTGGGTTCTCTATTATTGAAGCACCATTGGGTACCCCGTTGACACGGTTCTGGACAGACGGCATCTGGGACACTGTGGTCCCCATTGGAGTCGTCACTCGAATCGCGTTAGGGTCGTCTCTCGTTCCACATTCTATTCTATACCCAGGGGGTAAGAATGTGTTGAAGCCTTGTATCAGCTCCGGATGACCGGCGAACAATGACGACACTCGATCAATCACGCCCGGTGTATCAATCGCTTGGCTCTTGAAGTCTTTCATGATATCCAGGAACTGGTTATACACGTCAGGCTGATGTACAAACCGGACTTTGACCTGATCCAGGTAGCTCAATGCATCGTTCAAAATGGGCTGCTGCCCTTGCGACAAGGCACCGATTCCCGTAGGCAGCTGCTGAGGAGTCGCAGCATTACTGAAGCCCAGCAACTGCTGAGGAGGAAGACCCTGCGCCACTTGCTGAACGAAGGGTCTCAAAGAGTTGTCGTTCTGTGCTTGCACTCCGTTGCCAAACACGTTACCTGGTCCACTTGGAGCTCCTAACGCAGCTAGAGGTTGAGATGTTGCTGCACCTACGCCAGGGTGTTGGTCGTTCAATATGCCATTTGGCCCGTGCAAAGTTGCTGGGACTCTTGAAGCCACAGGCTGTTGGATAGGGATGGCGCCAGTATGATTCTCGCGGGGCGATTGATGTTGTTCACGCTGTTGTTGCTCCCGTTGTTGCAGCTGTTCACGTTGTAATTGCTCGCGCTGTTGCTGCTCACGTTGTTGCTGGTGTAACATCTCAGTTTCCTGGTCGTATCGCCGCTGTGCTATCTCTTGCTGTATCTGTTGCTCCGTGTGCCGTTCCCTCTCGATGTCTCTTTCCATAGCCATAGCCGCTTGAGGAGACTGTTGCTGTTGCAGTGAGGGACCCAGCGTGGGCAATGCATAACCGGGAACTTGGACTGAGTGGTGTTGTATGCCTGGAGGTGATTGCTGCTGCTGTGGAGCAGGTGGTCCACGAGCAGACTGTATGATCACCGCTGGAGGAATGCCTTGAGGGTTTGGAAGACTGTGACCGTTTGACTGACCCGAATAGAATGGCCCTGAAAGGATTTTGTCAGAAATATTTCAACACCCCAAATATGAACCGGAGTGCTTCCTGCATAAGGTGGACGTACCAGACTGTTGTAAGAGAGATGACCCATTCATCTGTGGTGCAGGAGCTTGATGCATGGTCTGAGGTTGACTTGGTCTGATGATAACACGATTAGCAGAAAATTTCACCCATAAGATAAAGGTGCCGAGACGATCTACGCTGCGGTTGTGAAAATTTTCATCCACAAAATGATGGGTGCCGAGAAGATCTACGCTGCGGTTGTGAAGCTGGCGGCCAGTATAAGGAGTGAACTCACCCAAAGGTCGCAGTCTGTCTTTGCTGCCCTATTGCATGTTCATTGTTTGCTGGAAGCGCCCCACCTCCTGGCGCCGGTGGCCAGCCGTTGCCATTTTGTGGGTTCATCTCATGGACCGGAGAAGACTGCAATGGTAGGAGACCACGTTGTCAGCGACTTTCAGTCTGCATCTTGGTTTTGCTGCTTAACATAGCTGGCATACCTGTAAAGAGATATATCTGGCTGCTATCCAACGAGACTAGGATTCACATATGGTGTGAACAGAATGTGCAGGAGATCGGAGAGACTTCGTGCTCCAGATTTGCGCTCTCCACGTGCGCTTTGGACCGCGATTTTGAGTTCTTTCAACTCAGAGGGAAGATCCAGGATCTGGAATATGAATGCCGCATAAGAGCCTCAAGAGTGAGTATCAAGGTGCAAGGGAAATAGCAGGAGAAACGGGTTTGGAGAAGGAATGGTGGAGAGAATGTTGGCGCACTGGTGATGCTGCTGGAGAAAGCTTGCAGGGGGCGTCACCGATCGGCATTAAGCTGTCACGTTGATCCCGCCGCTAAATCTTTCTTTATTGGAGAAGGGCGTTTTAAGCTTTCCATATTCATTCAAGATAATTATTCACATAATCAGTAGAGCAAATACTACATACGAACAGAAAATGAAGCCATTGTCGGAATTCGTTTATTCTCTAGATACGTGAGAATTGGTTCCCCCACTGCTGACAGAAGTCCTTCCTGCCCCAAAGACGCATAAGGGGAAAGGCCATGACAAAACTCCACGATCACGCAGAGTAAACAAAGCTGCAAGAGTGCCCCTGGACGGCAACCTGCGCTCAAGAAGAATGCTGCGCATCAGATCACCCATGCCCAAGCCTGAATATCGCCCATGTCCTATGCAAATTGCCATTCCAAGGCATCAAATCTTTAAAACGTGTAGGATCTCCGCGTCCTCTCCTTCATGACGCGTAATTTAGACAACCCTTGATGATCCACTGCAAGTCTGCCAGTCAGAAATTTCCTTTAAGTTGAGAACGTGAGTCATGAGACAGTTGCGGGAGTCCATGTACTCTCGTAACGTATCTTGCGACTCAAATGAGATCATGGATTAGGATATGAAAGGCCGGGGAAGTTGCTTACAACCTCTCCATTCGAAACCCTACTTGCTATGCTTGAGACTTCGACATTGCCCGGTTGGACCTGAATCACATTAGCGAACATGTTCACATATGAAGATTGCAGAGAGGCAGCAAGAAGCCAAAGTCCAGGCAGGTGATCGGGTATTGTGCCACATGTGGGGGATATAGCAAAGGAGGAGACAATCAACTAATGGAGAAGCGAATGCAAAGCGTTGGTTGGATGCCGTTGCGAAGAACGAGAAAATAGGAAAGGGTTCTGGGTTGACAAACACACCATTTTCTTCCCCTCCTTCTCCTCCCACCATAGCTTTCCTCCGCCCATCGAGCCCACCTTTTCGCCCTCCTTCCATGGGCTGACGGGGACAATATGCGCCTCGACAAACCTCCTCAAATTCCTATGTGCCCTATCCTCCCCACTCTGTCCTTCATACGCCTTCGCACCCAGCTCGTTGTAGTCCTCAGGATCCTCCCACGGCTTCCGAGGAAGCTTCTGTAACTCTGAGTTGAGAGGCGCCAGCACTGTAGTATTCTGATCTTCGGCATTCAAGCGCTTGGAGATGTTGTCTATATCTCGAGTGAATCCGGCGAAAATACTGATGACACGCTCTTTGCCTATGACATCCGAGATGCTAAGGTCTCCTGAGCCGCCGGATGAACCATCTTTGTCTTTGTCGATCGATGGGGGAAAGAGAATATTGGGGATGTTCATGATGGGGGATTGTCCCTTTTGAGAGGCAGGCTTTGTGGGGGAGTTGCCTGTACGGAAGAGGTCTGGTAGGACAATAAGCTGGCACGCAGCCGTTGATACCTGGAGACTGAGAGTGAGTAATACCAAAGAGGCTGAGAACTTCATATTGTGATCTCTCAAATGTTATAAATTCTCGAAGGCAGCTGGCTGTTGAACTGCCAAGGCGATGACGCTGGATCGCGCTAGTCGTTACAAACGTTTGCGCTATAGAGCTTGGCATTCGTCTCTCAAGCTTGCAGCGTGAGCAACAGATGAGTCAAGATCCTTACGACCAATCGCGATGAGAATATTGAAGATGCAATTCAGAGCAGAATCTCAGTGGCGTTGCATCAGGGATTGAACATTAGAAAGAAAATATGGGAAAGCTTCGTGAAGAAGGCGGCGACAGCAATGGCCGAGAAAATTACACATCCGCTGATCTCGATTGACCACCCTGAAAAGAAGTGAATGGCCGCCAGCTTTGTTATCCAACGAATATATCTAAAGCGACGCTGACCGATCCTTAATCTGGATCAAGAACGTGATAGCTACAGTTTATAACCTCGCGTTGGATGTAATGGTACCATTTGTCGCGCTCGCAATTTCAAACCGTAATCCGCCTTTACAGCAGCGCGGCTCCGATGGCGAACGAAGCATCGTACTTGTAGCATCGTTACCATAACCCACCCTCACGCGACCAAAAAGAAACACTGGCGCGGCCTATTTGCATGTTCCGCAGTATATCAATGCGAGTGAGAACTTCATCCGCAAAGTCAACGACAGAAGCATCATCAGAGTCAAATGGAGCCCCTGTGAGCCAATTTTGAGAGGAGTGTGAAGTAGCGCTACCTCGTTCGCTTTTCTCGTCTATTTTACATGCTATCACTGAAATGATTGATCGTGGACTTTGGTATTTCTTTGACTTTCTTTTACTTGGCCCTTGGCTTGACTTTGATGTAGAAATCAACAGGTCTCAGGTTGAACCAGCCATCCTGTTTTAGCTGGTAGCTGAAGTCGGCCATTTCGATTCCCACGTCTTTCATATCGTGACAAGTGTAGTCAAGTTCCACATCCATGCGTAATCTTTGCCAATACATACGCGTCTGCCATTTCCAAACCATTTCTTGCTACCTTCGGGCAGCTTTTCAAACGCCTCGCCCACCATTCTTTCTGACTTGAAAGTTTCGGGCCTTTCGAAGACGGTTGGGTCGCGATTCACGCCATGCAGCACGATGATCAAAGTCTGCTTGGCTGGGACATGGTATTTGCCTCCACCTAGCAGAATTGGTCCTTGTGCGTCTGGCAAGGGCTCAATGTTGAACCCAGGTGCCGCCGCAGACAAACGTAGGCTTTCTCGTACGATTCCGGCGCAATAAGGCAAGCTTTCCAGATGATCGTGTGTGAACTCGCCATCACCGATGACCGATCCATCTCTTCGCGGGCTTTCGTAACACACCCTGGATTCTTGAGCAGATAATAAATTGCACTTGAGATAACGCAGGGCGCCGTACTGGATCCGATGGGCGTCGTCACAATCTCGTCGATAATCTCCTGTTCGCTAAGGGCTTGACCTGTTTCGGGGTCTTTGTCGTTCATCATGGAATACAACATGTCTTTTCGGTCAGCTGGATTGGGTTTTCGATAGTCAAGACATTCAGCAGCATATTGACGCATGGCTTTGGTGTCTTTCTCGAATTTAGATTGATAGAAAAGCCAGTTTACAAGTCTGGGTCGAGTTGGTCGCTTGATCGCCTCCGACGTGGCTCCGTTCATCGCATTGATCATTGGTGGTTCTGGTCCAGTCAGTCCATTGAGCTTCCTGCCGTAGAAGCAGAGAGTGGTCGTTTCCAAGTCTGGCCGATTCAATTGACCAATTGCTGAAACCGACGAATCACCGCTCAAGGCCCGCCATTTCGCTGTCAATTCGGATGCACAATCACGCACTTGAATAAAACGATCAGCAACAGCTGCTGGAGTGATCAAGGGGGCCAGAATTCGATGATGAACGCCCCAGCTCGCCTCATCGTCGAATGCGGAGAAAAGAGAATTGTGCACTGCATATCGGATCTCATATAGGGCCACCGACGAATTTGCGAAAGCGCTTCTGATCGCATATTGCTTCACAGAGAGCCACATTCCCCACGAAGACAATCTGTTGGCCCAAGACAGTTATCTTGAAGATCTCGCCTGACATTACGATATCAATTGATGGAAACGTAGGATCGGGGCAAAGATACAATTACCGTACTTCTCCCACAGCTTCTGCAACGACGTCCATGTGTTGCTTGGATCCACGTCCAAAATGTTTCCCCACAAGGGAATGCCTGGTGGCTGTGGGATTGACGTAGTCATCATTACGGCTGCTGCCAAAACCGCACGGGTAATAGAGATCTTGCAGAAGAGAAATATGGGCGTTGCAGAGACAGGAGGGGCTGGTGGATTGGTAGCATACACGATCGCGAATAGAGGTCTTTCCTGAATCGGACATACTCGGGGCCCCAGATTCCTGTCAATTTGGTATAACCCAGATGAGGTGCACTGTTACAGTGTTACTACTACAGGTGGGGGTCCTGCAGCCATGCAGGCTAGCGATCAGAACAAGCGACAAGTAGCAGCTGCCCGCCGCCCCTGCTCCTCCACATACTCACCTCCCGAAGCTCCAAGTCAATCATGCTACGATGGCGGATCGTATGGAGGAATGTTTGGTAAGAGACCTAACGGGCACAAAACACAAAGATTCGCAATAGTATTAGGATGCTAGGTAAATATTCTTGGTGAGGAATCTTGGGCGTCGGCGACCTCAAGTGGTGTCGACAAAACTGAAGACATTTGCATAGGTAGTTTGAGCCACAAAGCTTTGCATTCGTGACTCTCAAACCTTTGACGAACGAAAGCACCGAGTAGGTTATCGTCTGCCAATCCCTTTTCTACGCTCTCTTGCAACCACATGAAAACCACCATACTTCTCGGGTTTTATTACTGAGCCTTCTGCATCAAGCAAACCGCGCTCGCCTGCTACTTCTACGTCTTCTTCGGCAATACATACACTGTCAGAAACCGATCCAATTTGTTGATCGAAAGCAGAACGTGTCAACTTTGCCAGTGCCGTCAAATCTCTCTGATATATCACACTTCTCCTACTGCTCAGCATGCACATAACGCCCAACTCCATCTCTGTTTACACACCTATACCCGTCTCGGCTGGGTATGAAAATCACGCCATGATCGAGACAGGTATCATTCCTCGTCATCCCGATCAATAGTCTCACGGCCTCTTACTGCACCGCCAGTTGGTTTCCTCGCTTTCCCGGTGATGTCTTGCCAAGTCGCTCCAAACCTTCTACCCGTGCTGGCAAGTAGGCCTTCCTCTTCGTCCTCCTCAAGATCCTGATCAAGCTGATACGCATTCAGCTTGGGGGTCCGGAACAGCGATAGAAGGAAAATAACGAAGTACACAGCTAAAAACAACATTAGTCGGGGGACGGAAATAGGTGACTACTTGCGTACCTAAGAATGCGATCTGAGCCCAGAAGGTCACATCACCGAAGAAAGAGAAGTCGATTGTGATGCTGTCAATGAAGGTACTGAGTACACTAGCAGTGCAGACATTCGCGGCAGCCTGAGAAGTAGACACTTCCGAGCAAGGCTTGATGGCCTTTCTGTGATTTGTGCAGTCAGGCTGATCATCAGGATGCCTGAGTGGACGATCGCAGAACGTTTGCGGGCCATAGTGGGCGTATTGTGGGGCGACCAACATGGCCACGGAGTATTGAATTGCCAGTGCCATCAACGTCAGCAAGATTGTAGCGAGAAGTAGCGCTTGAGGTGAAGTACGGCCTTTCCGAATCTGGAAAATCCTGAGCCAGAGGAATCGGATACCAATTGATGCCATGCCGACAACGGAGCTGAAGAAAAAGAAGAGCACCAGGAGGAGGAAGATGACGTAGTCGATTGGGAAGATTTTGGCAGACTTGACGAAGATCCAATTCATCGGGTTGAAGATCTTGTTGTGGCCCAGTACGTACCCGCAGTGGCTTTTGCAGATCGAGTTTTTCGCCTTGTCGATGAACGTGAGGAGCATGCACACCCAGACAAAGACTGCCACTAGCAGCAACAAGATGCCACCTATTAGCTTCAGAGGGCGGAACACAGCCTCTATCTTCGTCCAGGCTCTGAGAAGCCAACCCTGGCCCTCTCCGCTAGCCTCTGCTGCCAAGCGCTCACGGCGGACGAGAGTCCGCTCTTCTCTGACGAGGGCGTCGAGTTCGCGGCGATCCTTTGCAGGTAGTCCATCTTCCCGGCCTTCACTGCGCATTTCAAGTTGTCGCTGGCGCTCGCGGTTTTGTTCCAGCTCAGAGGCCGTATTCGCGCTTAATGTTGGCGCCGATATTGCTGGTGCCGACTTGATTAATGCAACGGGAAGTAGAGCGAAGCCTGCAGCGGTGTAGAGGGCGTATATCAAGGTTCCAATGGTGATGAGCAGTCCAAGAGCGAAAGTCAAGGCACGTTCTCCATCTATCGTTGAGGTCGATGTCAGTGATAAAATCAATTGGACAAGACAGGTAGCTTGCTCACGGTTCTGATCCTCGATAATGTGCTTGAAAAAGTCTAGATCATAATGACCACCCTTGCGATCCTTTGCAATTGGCACAAAGAAGCCCACTAGGAAGATGATAATGACCAAGGCAATGAATGCAATGGTGTACCTGAAAGCCCCCCAGAACCTTGAGCCGATTGTCTGTTGACCTTCCTCAGACGCGACCTCATCGTATTCTTCATGCCAGAAGTAGGTGAAAGGTACGACAACCAGACAGAGTAATGCATCTAGAGAGAATAGGGTGTAGTAGACGATTCGTAAGGTGAGCTTTATGTTGTCGACTTGGTTCTGGGTAGCCCAATCTTTCCTGATGCCATGCTTTGAAGAGGTAGTAGACGAGACCAGCGCCACATCCACCGGTAAAAGTAGCACCGTGGCAAGTAATGAGGTGAGTGTAAAGATGGACACTATGGTCACAGTAGCAGATCGTTCATTGGGAGCCTGGTAGAGGTAGACGAAGATGGAAGCTATTGCAACGACGAGGACAACCACAACGGCGTAAACAACCCATATCAAGGTTGACTGAATGAGAGCCATGGCAGCTCTATGCTCCAGGATGGTAATCAGGAAAATAGAGGAGTCAAACTCGGTCGATATGGAGAAACGATGGCCGTTGGAAGAGAGGGGCAGGCCGGGAAACTTGCTTTGGCTGCATCATTGCAAATTGCACAGCCACACAGCACACCCTTGACGTCGATCATCATGCTAGCATTTGACAGCTCGAGTTGTTCGACTGGATTGCCAGTTACCCCCTTCAACATCACTTCTTCTTCTACATCATTCACGCTCTGAACGATATTCTTTTTCACCCGAGCTTCATGTGCCCGTCATCGGTATCACGCTCTCATAATGCAGTGCTACACGGAGCTCACTCCTCCAACCGCAGTGACACATTCTTTAGCACTACCTTTCCTATCGGCCTCCGCGAATAACCTCGTCGTTGCAAAGACATCTCTGCTGCAGATTTTCTCGCTAAAGTCCGTCGTTACCCATGCCAATGACAGTCCAAGCCGCATTGCCCAGAACGCAAGCCAAAATCAGCGAGAGGATGCCAACGGTCCCGACTCCTCCCTTCCCCATTCTGCAACCGTGAAAGGCGATCGTCAACATACAACCAAGTTAGTATTGGTAGCACAATTTGAGCTCGCGGGAACTATCACCTCTCTCGCTCGCGTGAAAATCTTAAGATCTAAGTCTGGTGGCGAAGCTTTGTTGGTTGCTCTGAGGGATGCAAAACTCAGCTTGGTGGAGTGGGACCCAGAAAGATATAGCATTTCCACGATATCAATACATTACTACGAAAGCGAAGATATACTGAGCAGCCCATGCGAGCCTGATTTGGGATCGTGTGTCAATTACCTGAGCGTGGATCCAAGCAGCAGATGTGCGGCTCTGAAGTTTGGGGTCAGACACTTGGCAATAATACCGTTCCACCAAGTCGGAGATGACCTCGTTATAGATGACTACGATTCTGAGTTGGACGGAGAGCGACCAGATAGAAAGCAATCTACCTCCAAAGCTGCTGCTGAAGGTGGTCCAGATGAGAAGACGCCCTATGCTGCATCTTTTGTGCTATCACTGCTGGCTCTTGACCCTTCTCTATCTCATCCAATACACCTCTCCTTTCTATACGAATATCGGGATCCCACGTTCGGCATCCTATACTCGCAAGGAGCCACGTCGTCAGGCTTGCTTCATGAGCGGCGCGACAATGTTTCTTACGCAGTCTATACTCTTGATCTAGAACAGCGCGCTTCGACGACTTTGTCGTCAGTCAACAACCTTCCATACGACCTTTTTGCAGTGGTACCTCTTTCACGCCTTGTGGGAGGAGCATTGCTAGTGGGCGGTAATGAGATGATTCATGTCGACCAGTCCGGCAAAACCAATGGTGTAGCTGTCAACGACTTTGCCAAGCAATCTACAGCTTTGGCGATGCTCGACCAGTCTGATCTGAACATGAGATTGGAGGACTGCGTGGTCAAGCAGCTTGGGCATGATAACAGCGACTTGCTGATTATACTCAGTACGGGTGAACTTGCCATCCTGTCTTTCAAGATCGATGGGAGATCGGTATCTGGACTCTCGATACGCCGCGTGCAACCCACGGACGGTGGAAATGCCATCCATACTAGTCCATCGTGCGCATCAATCGTTGGGCGCAGTAGGATGTTCGTCGGCAGCGAAGATTCAAGTTCTTTAGTACTTGGCTGGTCTCGGAAATCGGAACGTTTAAAACGGAAACCCTCTCGAACGCAGATGGACATTGACGGCGACGAGGATGAAGTAGACGTTGATGAGGAAGAGATTGACGAAGACGAGGATGACTTGTATGCCGAGACAAAGCCTGAGACAAAGCGCCAGGAGCAAACCCTGTTAGTATCAGATGCCGATGCGGAGGAAGATTACACTTTTCGCTTGCATGATTCAATGTTCAACTCTGGACCCATGACTGGTATAGCTATAAGGCATTCGCTCGCTACAGACACTAATCTTGCCTTGAGGGCCCAGTCCAATACTGAACTTCTGATCGCGAGCGGGCGTGGTAGAGCTGGGGGACTTACAACGTTCCAGCGTAGGGTGACCACGACACAGGTAGATCAACCCAAGATCCAGAACGTACATGGCGTGTGGTCGATCTGTACGAAGCGAAGTCAAGAAGACGGCCGTGGCGTTAGACACGACAAATACATAATTGCATCCGTCACTAACGACACAGGTGACGAGAAATCAGCAGTATATTCCATAAGCCCCTATGACGGTGGTATTGTAGAAATATTGGAGACAGACTTTGATGCAGATACTGGCGCAACTATTGATGTCGGAACGCTGAATGGGGGAACCAAGATGGTTCAGGTTCTGCAAACCGAATTGCGTTCTTATGACCAAGGTGAGTCCGATTTCATATTCAGTCGTCTTGACTTCAGCATCATTGCGGGACGGAGGGGCAACAGTTGGTGGCCAGGAAGCCATACTACCGTGCTTGACGGAGCTCACCACACAGATGGAGATCACTATGTCCAAGCAATGGCGAGTCGACGACGTCACGCAAAGTGCGTAGTGGCAAACATGGTGTTACATATGTCGATCATGTCTGATAGCATCAATACAATATACATTTCCGCCACCATTAGCCCATTGTATCCACCATGCTTGCAGTGCTATATCGACATGTGCCCCGGAACGTTCGTATTGATCAAACAGCTAACTATCTCAGACCTCGGTCTTGCTCAGATCTACCCATTAACGGATGAAGAGAGCGATACTGGACCTAAAGCCATCAGCGCAAGCTTCGCGGATCCCTATGTCTTACTCATCCGAGACGATTCTAGCGCTGTTGTCCTAACAGCCGATGAGAACGGTGATCTTGACGAAGTCTCGCAATCAGAAGCATTCAAAGCTGTCAAATGGTTGTCAGGCTCGCTGTACGAAGACTCCAATGACATCCTACGACTGGAATACCCAGAAGAAAGTGAAGACGAAGCAGGCAATGTGCTTATGTTTCTATTGAACGCAAAAGGAGGCCTACAGGTTCGTCGAACACTCCCATCTTATACCTCTTTTTAGGACTATACTTTTCAAACTTCCTGACTGAGCTAATCGGTCTTGATAGGTATATCGTCTGCCAAATTTAAACAAACCCGTCTACCTCGCAGAGGGTCTTAGCTTCTTGCCGCCTTTCTTATCCCCAGAGTTTAGTGGCCGTCGCTCCTCCGCCAAAGAGGCTTTGACCGAGATCTTGGTAGCAGAGCTTGGAGATTCCACCCATAAATCTCCATATATGATCGTATGTTTTCTCTTTGCAGCGCAAGATCCACATTCTGACTGAGTCCTAGCTTCGCTCTGCAAATGAGGACCTCATCATCTACCAGCCATACCAATCACCCATCGAAGGTAGTAAAGACACATCACTTAGATTTCTTAAGATACCGAATCCGCATCTACCGAGGACGCCGAAGGAAGACCCCGCAGACGTCGAAGAAAGAGAACAAGAGCGGCGTCAGCCTCTTCGATCACTGCATGACATTAGCGGCTACAGTGCAGTATTCATGCCAGGACAATCTCCGTGCTTCATCATTAAGTCTGCGTCCAGTCCACCAGGAGTCATCGATATGTGTGATGGCTCGGTCAAGAGCCTGACTCAGCTGCATTCATCGACCTGTCAGAAAGGATTCCTCTACATCGATGGAGAAGTAAGCCGAGCATGATCAAACGTCAAACATGTTTGCTGACCGAAACCAGGGCATAACTCGCGCAGCTCAACTTTCTTCGCAAAGTCGGTACGAGACAGGCTGGGTTACAAAAAGAGTCCCACTTGGTGAAGAGATCCATGCCCTTGCCTATCACGAGGAGATGGATGCCTATGTCCTTGGCACATGCACCATCGTCGATTTCAAGCTACCAGAAGACGAATTTCATAGTCATTGGACTGCTGAAGGTATACATACAATGCACACCCGACGAGATAGTGTGCAGCCCGGCTGACACGGTTAGAAACCACATTCCTCCCTCAAGCTGAACAAGGCTCCATTAAGCTACTAGACCGCAAAACTTCATTAATCATCGACCAGTAAGTCCTATGCCCATTTCATTGCAGCGGGGCGAGGGCAGCTAACCAAGTACCAGCCACTCCCTCTCTCCCTCTGAAGTCGTAACCTGCGTCCAGACTCTCTCCCTCGAAGTCTCCGAACACACCCACGAGCGCCAAAATCTCGTCTGCGTCGGCACCGCCCTGCTCCGCGGCCCAGACCTCCCCTCTCTAGGCAACATCTACATTTTCGCCGTTATTCCCGTCGTGCCTGAACCCGACCATCCAGAAACCGGTCGTGCCCTCAAGCTCATTGCCAAAGAAGAAGTCAAAGGCGCCGTGACCTCCGTCTCTGGAATCGGCACCCAGGGATTCTTACTAGTAGCACAGGGGCAGAAATGCATGGTCAGGGGATTAAAAGAAGATGGGTCACTGTTGCCCGTGGCGTTTTTGGATATGCAATGTTATGTTAGTGTGGTGAGGGATTTGGAGGGAACGGGATTGTGTTTAATGGGGGATGCCGTGAAGGGGGTTTGGTTCTGTGGGTATACGGTACGAGACTCCTCCCCAATACCCCGTTACAGTCGTCACCCACAGAAGAGATGCTGACCAAATCGGCTATAGGAGGATCCATACCAACTCCGTCTCTTCGGCAAATCGCCCCACGCAATCGAAGTGATAACAGCCTCCTTCCTCCCTTCGGACAAACAGCTCTACATAGCCGTCGCGGACGCAGACTGCAACATCCACATTCTGCAATTCGACCCTGAGCGTACGTCTCCACTTACTCCCACACCTATCCACCCGTCTCAAACACATCCATACATAAAAACGGACTGTGATGGTCACTAACGCCTCATAGATCCCAAATCCCTCTCCGGCCACCTCCTCCTCCACCACACCACATTCCACACCTCCCACTACCCCTCAACAATGACTCTCCTCCCCTCCCCCTCCCCCTCCCCCTCCCCCTCCGCCACCGCACCCGTCTCGGGCCCAATACTCATAACGACCCAATCCGGCTCCCTGGCCCTGCTATCACCCCTCTCACCATCCGCACACCGCACACTCTCAAGCCTGCAATCGCATCTCCAGAACACCCTACCGCACGCTCTGGGGCTGAATCCGAGATCGTACCGGCTGCCCAGTTCGGGGAGTCTGGGCATGGATGGAGGAATGGGACGGGGAGGCGTCGTGGACGGGAATGTGTGTAAGCGGTGGATGGAAGGTGGGAGCTGGAGGAGGTGGGGTGGTGACGGAGCGGAGGAGGGCGAGGAAGGCGTTCGGAGGCTTTTGAGAGAGGTTGCTGGGGTTGGGATTTTGTGATATCGGACATCTATTTCTCATTTATTTGTCATTGAGCTAGCTATGCGCTTAGATATTATAATTTCCTTGTCCTACCGATCTATGAGCACAGCCATAAGCGCCATCGCTAACTGTGAAGCCAAAGCCTTGCCTGTGAATGCTATGGGTAAAAAGAGAATCGCCACATGTTCCTCGCCTCATAGATGCAACGGACAGCAGTAACTCGGCTGCTACAGCACAGAGCAGCGATTCGGGTGATAGCTCGACGCTTGCCACAAACCCCCATGATAACAATCCAGCGTCCCCTCCACCAACCCTGACCGCCTCGACGCCCACGAGCTCGAACCCGACTCTTCCAAAGCATATAATTCCGCAGCAAGTTGTTCCCCAGCAAGCCGATCGCACGCCCCGTCCCGCAGCCCCTCGCCGGGCACGACGGCACCGGGCGTCGGTGCACGATGTTCCTCCACAAGCAGCGCGGGATCGAATCGCATCTGCGCCAAAGCATCTGGGAAGGAAGAGGCAAGGCGCCCGAGTCAGTCAGCGGCAGCGATGGCAGCCGTGAAGGCTTCAGGCGGCGCCGAGGAGGGCAAGCGCACTCTCGAAGGCTTTGACGACTTTGACATCTGGAGGGGAAGCATCAGCGGGGAACGGGATGGTGCGAGGGAGGGAGGGAGGGAGAGACGTAGACGTACAGTGTAACCGCTTCTCCTCCAGACTTTCTTCCCGTTGCTGGACGAAGGCCATTCTCGTCCGTAGCCTACCAGACTTGAATCAGCCAAACTCTCCCCCACACGGCTCGGAAGTGAGCCGTCTCGACCAAGCCCCCCCCGAGAGAGAGAGAGAGAGAGAGAGAGAGAGAGAGAGAGAGACAAACCGCTTCCCCGCCCTCTCCTCCTCACCCGCAACGCCAGCCGTCGTCCACGCGTAAAAGACCTACTCGCCTCATAAGCCCCGATTCCGCAACAAGCCAAGAACCGCCGACGCCGACGCCCACCAGCCCGGCGAAAGGGCGAAAGGGCGAAAGCAAGAAAAAACGAGATGGAGCGCAAGAACCCCCCCCCCCCACACAAACACACCTGAACCAACTCCTCAAACTCCCGCCCCACCCCCTCCTCAACCCCCCTACACTCCTCCATCCGGTCCCAAAACCTCCCCTCCAACCCCTCCCAATCGAACGCGCCGATCTTCTCCCCCCTCCACCGCACCGCTCTTCGTCCCCTCCAGCCCCTGTCCCCCGCCAGCCGAACCGCCGTCTCCGACCGGGCTTTCGATGCCAGCGTCCCCCGTCGCGTGGGAGGGATGGATCGTTTTCGGCGGGGAGGGATGGTGGGGGGAGGGGGAGGGGTGGGGGTGGTGGGGGAGCCGGGTTGAGAAGGGGGGGGTTGGTGATGCTGGGTGGGAGGGGGAGGGGGAGGGGGGGGGGTGGTCGGTGGTGGTGGTGGTGGGTTTGGCGGTGTTGGGGGTTTGTTCTTGCGACATGGTGGACGGGTGGGAGATGTGCGGTTGGGTGGGGAATGAGGTGAGGAGGGTAAGGGAATGAGAGTCAAAGGGGTGGAGAAGAGAGGAGAGGAGAGGAGACGGGGGCTTTGGTGGTTGTTTGATGTGGATTGAGAGGGGAGGTCGTCCTTTCAGGTATGTGGACTGAAGAGACTGGGTTTTGACTGTGGGAGAGGTGTCCTAGGTGGTTATTTCAACACATCAGAGGAGATGAGGTCGGATGTTTCCACGAGCTCGAGCTTCATAGGCTCCCCATCGGAGGTAGATTTCGTTGGGATTATTATATTTCGCGCCTTCTGTTGCCGCAATATTTGATCCGACGTCTACGAATTACTACAAATATTGCTTCCGGCAGCATACACACCAACAAGATTGCAAATGATCCTAGGCTTTGCACATTCATTGGGGGTTGCTCGCATCTGTACATTATAGAGAATGGACTGCTATCTGGTCCAACATAGGATTAAGAAGAACGCTGAAAAATGGGGATGCCTTCGTAGGGCTTGGAACCTTCTGAAATACACAACTCGATATTGAACACCATGTTTTCTCCTACTGAAGTCATACCAAATCCAGATCCATCATCGTTGAGACGGGCAGATGGCCTCCGTTGTTGCACCCGCTGATCAAACTTAATTCAATTCAAAGATATGCCCCGGGGAATACCGTTTTCACTGACACCGAACGCCATACAATCTCGAATATCGTTTCATCGCGTTATCGCTGGCCAGCCTCAAGTTGACCCGGTGTCGTAGTGGCAACGTTGTTAATCTCCGGGGCCCCACCTCCAACATTATCATTGCCAGAATCATTGTTCCTCCTGAATGGGTTTGACACGCTGGGCATCGAAGGAGTCATGCCTCGCATTCTCGACCTCCAGGTGTTTGGCTCTTCAGTCTCGGTCGTGGTCGCGTTATTGGCATTCGAAGCGAGTGCGCGCTGATTTGCTGCCGGACGTCTTGACGGGCGTCGCTGAGAAGGAAACCCGTACCGATCTCGTGCATTGTCTTCTATACCGAGATGCAAGAAGCGGCCAGGGAGCAGCATCCTTGGCCTACCGTTGCTATGACCCATGAAAGCGTATTGAGGTGGATTGGGCATATCCCCCCTCGCACCAGCAGAGTGGCGGCCAGCATGTCGTTCAGCATCAGCAGCGGCTTCGCCTTCTGGGCGTGGCTTCGGTACGTAGTAATCCGCTTTGCACAAGGGACAACAAGCACGACGGCTGGTCAGCCAGGGGTCGAGACAGCTAGCGTGGAATGCATGGCCACATGTCAATCCTCGAACGTCGTCATCATCTTCGAGAGTGTCCAAGCAGATCGCACAGGAGTCACCAGGGTTCGCCAGCATTTCGGTAGGAACAGCCATCTGGATCTGGTCGTCATCATCGAGCTCTTCCTGTGTTTGTTCTTCCGATGAAGTGGCGGCATTAGGCGTAGCTTCAAGTGTCCCTTTGGCGTCTTCCGCTTTCACTTCGGACTTCTTAGTCTCTGCGTCGCTCGGTTGCTGCTCTTCTGGGGCCGCGAGGATTTCGGGAGCCTTTGTAGATCGTGGGCTGTCCTTATTCTCCTCCGTTATATGGCTTTCTGCGGGGGTTTCTGGTCTCTTCACTTCTTCCGATTGTTTTGCCATTGGTATCGCTCCATCAGCATTTCTCAGACTGGCGGCCCTACTTCCCGAAGGAGCAGCAACTCCACCAGCAGTAGGTAGACCTTCTTCGGCACGTGTAGTCATCCATGCTTTGTATTTCATTAGAGGAAAGCGCTCGTTGACTTCCTCCATTGACATCAATTTTTTCTCTCTTCTCCGTCTGTGCGTCCTCGGCATCGCCGTCATGTCTATTGGTTCGCCATTTTCGTCCTGTTGCGCCCGACGATTCCTTTGATTGTACCTGAAGCAGTACTTGACACCAACGATAATCCTACGAGTGGGTTGTTAGCTCATCTTGTAATTCAGATAACTTGAGTAGGGTGAATGGTCATTCGAATCCGGATGCGCCGCGAGACTTACCATAGATTTGTGAACACGACGCCAAAGCCCAAGGCCACAAAGAAGAGTAAGGGAGAGCTGGTCGGTCCTCCACCACCGGAATTGGGAGCGGCTGATGATGATGCTGTGGGAGAAGGAATCACGGTGCTCGAAGGCATTTGGGTCGTTGCTGCTGAGGTGGCCATATTTACTACCGTTTATACTAAGAGTATGGCTGGATTTGCTGAGGTTAGACTTGGTCGATCGAGCAATTATACAAATATCAATGGTGGTGAACTGCAATGTCTTCCTTGAGGTAGAAAGTCGGCTGACGGAAAGCTCGGGGTCTTGTGAAGTGTTGTGAGAACCTTTTCCTCGTAGCTAAAAGCGCGCGGTTTTCATCCAGCTCATCGTACGTGTCCAGTCGGCTATTGAATGAAAAGTGTGAAGTGCATTGGGATAGGAAGTGTCGAATAAGGCGAGTGGGAGAGAAGGCGATGGGTGGTGATGGTGACGAAAGACGAGTCTGACACTTCCGTGATCTCCGAAGAGGGGGGAGGGGGGGGGGACCCTTATGTTGTCAGGGTCACAAGAAACAAGACATAATTCTCAAGCAAGTATCCATAGACAGTAGTGAAAGAGATGATGTATAGATGAGATCAAACACAATTTCCACGCCGTGTCGCAGAGGGCGAATCACTGTATGATGAGTGAGAAGATAGAGCTTGGAGATGAAATGAAAAGGGTTGGAAGGGCTGGTGGCGGCAAGATGACTGGCAGCTTGGCAAAATTGGCCTTATGTCTCGCCTGAGCGGGAATTTCCCTAGCCTAACGCGAGTCGGAAGGCAACTAAAAAACCCCCTCCCCTAAAGATTGAGCCCGGGCCCCCCCCCAAGCCGCAGGCCTGGAACTGGAGATCTTTAGAAGATGCTCTCGTGACTCTATACAATTACCGTACGACGCTTTGTTTATCATTTTCCCACTTCTTCCTCGCACTTCAGTAGTACCTTAGTCTACTTGTACTGTTTGGAGTCGTCCATATTCTAAGCATAAAGCAATCAATCATCTTAGCAGTGTTGAGACTCGAGTTGCGAGGAATTACTACCTAGTATTCCCTTTGTTTGCGGGGTTGGTCCTCGTAAACTTCCTTTCATTGGACCTCTTCTCCTGCAGACAATCTAATCCCCATTCATCACCATCACCAGACAGACTCTCACCAGACTGTCACACCACCAAAGCTCCAAGATTGATTATCTTGCCTCGAAACTTGATTTTCCAATCGTTCGACCAGCATGACCGACAGTGATGCCAAGGCTACCAATCCCGTCGTCTTCTTCGACATTGCGCTTGGAGGTAAGAGAATAGTATGATTCGCAGCTTGTGTCAACCTACATCACTTTTCCGCTCTATTGCTGCTGTATGCTGATCTGGCAAACATTGCATCTTCTCCAATGTTACTTGCCTCGAGCTGCAGGATGAGGCCATCTCTACCCCGCCAATTTGCTCGCTCAGGCCTAGTCCATCTCACCATCGTGGTCTAAGCCTTCTCCGTTGACTCCAATTGGTCACTGTCATCGCTCCTCTGCAGTTGTACTTACCCCTCTGATACTTGCAGGGGAGCCATTGGGTCGAGTGAAGATGGAGCTCTTCGCCAACGTCACACCCAAAACCGCAGAAAATTTTCGCCAATACTGCACAGGTGAGAACAAAAATCCTCAGGGACGACCGCAGGGCTACAAAGGCAGCAAATTTCACCGGGTTGTATGTCAGAAATCGACCATTCCCTCTTCGGCTGGATGCTGACGACGATGCCATCTGGTTGATCGCAGATCAGAGAGTTCATGATCCAAGGTGGAGACTTCCTCAATGGCGATGGCACCGGCAGTACCTGCATTTACGGCACGAAAGCTTTTGCGGATGAGAATTTCCAGCTGAAGCATGATACGCCCGGGTTGCTAAGCATGGCTGTTAGTACTTCACGTGTGCAGGTATTGTCACAATGCAGCGGATGCTCATGCTTTACTAGAACTCCGGCAAAGACAGCAACGGCTGCCAATTTTTCATTACCACTGTATGTCTTCCTCCGTTAGACCTCACAGTGTGGTCAAACCGCTGAAAGCTTTGTTCAGGTTCCCACGCCATTCTTGAATAATAAACATGTCGTCTTCGGCAAGGTTATCGACGGGATGGATGTTGTGCACAAGGTCGAGAACACCAGAGTGAGAGGCGAGAGCAAGCCTGCGACAGATGTCACAATCGCACAGTGCGGCGAGATGTAATTTAGTCACAATTTCATGAGGCAGAAAGCAAAATGCGAATCCAGCAGGCATTATTCAAGCTGTCGGTTCGCCAATAACTCTTGACAATTCCAGTACTGACAACTGCATAGTATCCTGCATTTCCGTCTGCATAACGAAAGATGCCTGCAGCAATGAGTCATGCAGTACGCAGACATGTAGACCCGAGAAGATCATCTACAGCATGGTACGAAAGTCAGATATCAAAACACTGCTCATCACCAAGGCTTGCTACTTTCCAGTGCTATCGACCCCTAGACGCTTCCGTACCTTCCAGCAAGCCTGCAGGCACCTTTTTAATAGATTTTGGAGACCTGAACCTCTCCGTCTGCGCAATTTTCCCTTCAACTTTAATTCACTCCATTTCCGCCACGCTCAAGACCGTTCTTGGCCTGCCCGACACTTCTTTCTTCGCCACCGCAACGCCTTTTCTTCCCTACGAGGACCATAGATGCCTCAGGGATAGTGAAGAAAATCAGACAGAAGCAGAACATTGCCATTATCATCTTTAGTACCCCCTGGAGTTTTCAATGGGATATCAAGGATCTTGCCCCACTTCGGTCTTTCGCCCTGCTCCTCGATCGGCCTGTCCATGGCCCCACTCGCTTCCTGTGGCGGGCCCCTTACCAAATTCCACATTTGATCATCCCCAGGGTCCCAATCAATAGCATTCTTTTGATTGTCGTTGAGGTCCAACATCTTCAGCGTAATGAGGGTGCCTGTGTTGCTGTAAAAATACTCAAAACTCGCCTCCCAGCCCTTGCGGGCCAGGCGCGCAATGTAGGTTCATCCCTTTTCAGTGCACGTCTCGGAGATTCAGATATCCTGCTCTGGATTTTCATCTATGAATGCTTTTACCATCAACAATAACGAAACGGTAGACAGCCACGAGTTGCGAGGGCTTGTCGATCAAATTCTCCTGGCCTGTATCTCCTCTGTCCGAATTGGTAGCCATCCTTCTGCAAGTTCAATGTCAGAATGAACAGGATGTACAGATGGGAATGATTAATGAAGAGGACATTGTAAGCCTTTCTGTAGGGAAGTCTCAAGGTATAGTCTCTCGAAATATTTGATTGCTGATTGCCGATCTATGTGTTGGTCAGTTTCTTTGTGTTTCGAGCTCGTTGGTTTCGATTGATACCGCTGCAAGTATCCACGAGCAAATTTGAAGCATACACCCTTCAAGCAAGCGGCTTCTCGAACAAGACCGTATTTTGTCAGGTGGTGCCGGGGCATAGGGTTTCTTGACAGCTCCAGCGCTATCACCATTCAAGACTCTACGGGTGGATTGCGGCTGGCGGCCCCGAGCAATCAAAGAAGCAGGACATCTTCCCGACGACGAACAAACACAATCGATCAGCATTGGTTTTTGCGCTCGCTGAGACGACTTTCCAAAGGGATGTCCCAAAATGTCGTCCTGCATAAAGCTAATACATTTGGTACACCATAACAAATCAAACGAACCAATCAGGGCTACGCGTCACATTTTGTGGGGTTTGCCCCTTCGCTGTGGGTGAATCCCCTCTTGCAACCTCTTGCTCTGCACAACCCCTTCAACTGGCCAGCAACTTTCAATCCAATTGCTCAAGCTCAACGATGAATCGAGCTGCGCAGGGAACGACTCCGTCTATTATCATCAATCGCACCATGTTCATCCGATCCACCTGCTCGCTCGGCTTAATGGCATTCAGTCGTCCAATTAGCATCCTGGCCAGAACTTGCAACGTCCCTCCAGTCAGAGCAGCTTCCGCACGGCTTGGGATGCACATTCACAAGTGCCCATCCAGGCCGTTCCACTCCAGTATCCGCACGCTACAACAATCCCAAGACAAAGACACCGCCTCTTCGAAACCCTACACAAAAACCACTCCTCCCCCTACCAACCTAGAAAAGCAGTCGGTCCAAGCACAGGCGCCGACGGACGACGAAATGGAGCGCTTCATCCCCGGATTTGCCAACCTCGGCGTAGACGCAAAGCTAGCGCACATCCAAATATTGAAAAGCCTTGGGAAGTATGACCCAAAGTGGAAGCTAGGGGCGTACGAGGCGTTGACAATGAAGGAGAAGGAGATCCAGGACGCGGACAGGTGGTATAAGAAGGCGTTTCGGAGCATAGCGTGGGGCCCGACCATCTTGATCAATGCTATTATCGCTGTGATCTGGTTCTGAGGATGGGGAATGGTATTGGGATGTGGAGAGGAAAGGGGCTGGGATGGGACGGGGTGGCTGCGGGAGATAAGGACAGAGGGTGTGGTATGAGGCATTACATACTTTACTGCCGTGGGCAAGCCAAGCAGCGTATTCCAACAAAAAAAAGAGAGAAATCATAATAGTGGTATGCCGCTCTGCCACCACAGTTCCTCTTCCTCGAAACGACCCATCCACAAACTACCTTACTCGTCCCAGCCGTCAGCAACCAAGACAAGTAGTGGGGTCCAATTTTCGCCAGCTGCATCGACATGCAGAATATGTGGGCCTTGAAAACGCACGTCGCTCCGTGTATCCTACCAACATCATCATCTCATCCAACTAAGTACTCTACAGAATTCAAATCCCCAGCACCCTCAATATGAACGAATGAATGAATGAATGAATGAATGAATGAACATCAGCAACCCAACCACCCCCTTCGCAACCATACTGATCCCGTATTTCAAATGTCAATACACAAATACCACCTACCCCCAACGATGATGATGATGATGATGATGATGATGCGATTGTTCAGCAGCCTCGAACGGAAAGGGCTTGAAAAGGTAGCCAGAAGCCGAGCCTCAAGGTATCTTGTCGCGATATGATTGATTAGTCGGTTAGTCAGTCAGTGTGTCTGGCGAACTGGTTGAAGGGTTCTTAGGTGGAAGGGATGGAAGGATGAGAAGGGGAGGAGGAGGGGGGGGGGGATGGGGGGGATGACATCGTAGACGACATACTGCCCGCGCCGCTCTCTGCCTTTGTAAGAAAGTTGACTATAGCGCTGATAGGAAAGGAAAGGAGAGGAGGGAGGAAAGGGGAGGAAAGAAAGGAAGGAAAGGAAAGGAAAGGAGGGGAAGGAAAGGAAAGGAAAGGAAAGGAAAGGAAAGGAAGGAGGAGAAGAAAGGAAAGGAGAGGAAAGGAAAAGGAAAAGCGGACACCATCCCCACGATCCGGAAATCGGGCAATTGAAGCCGCCTGGGAAAAAATGCGAGAAGTCACGGTGGGTGGTTCAAGACGATTGTGCGGTATTGCGCTGGGGTGGGGCGGTAAGAGCTCGGAAGAGAGACATTTTTTTTAAAAAGATACACTTTTGATTCTCTTCCTTTGGTGCTTTCCGATTTTAATCAGAATATAGATGTAACAAGGCTTGTCACGACGAATGTATCCTACCACATAAGTAGAGGAAGGACGAGGAGGGAAACAAAGGGGGGATGACGGGATGAGATCCGGGCTGGGACGGAAGTGGGGGCGGTAGGTATGTAGTGGACACTGACTGGCAAGGCTGCCTTTTATTGGACTTTGTTGAGGTTATGTTTTTTTCTTGACGATATAGATAGAAAGTGTGAAGGATCAAGGGATGGTATTCACCGTACCGACGATGGGTTTAGAGGGTTTCTAAGATAGCCGCAGTGGCTGGACGAGATCGGTCGAAGGGGGAGAGGAAGTATTGAGCGAGGGACCGGGATTACAATACAGAGGAGCTTGTCGCTGGTGATGTAGTTATGTTGTACAACGGATTGTATTCCAGTCTGTTGATGGGAAGCAGAGTCGATAGCAGGCTAGGATGATCGAATTCCGAGCACATCATCGCTAGCCATCCAAGACGCCACCCTCCTTCAGACTCTTCCAGAGATCCGGCTCGAGGAACTTCCCCACGCTAACGTCCTCACTGAGACCCTTCCGTCTCCTCGTCTTCAGCACAAAGTCTCGGGCCGTAGCCATCGCGCTCGCCATCTCCAGCGGCCTCGTCTTCACTTCTCGGTCCAGCGGATCTCCGGGCACGACGCTCCATCGGTCGAACACTAGACTCACCATCGCCTGGCCCTGCGTGTGGATCCGGACATCGGTCTCGAAACCGAACGAGTCGATGACAGGCACAAGACCCCTGACGCCATATAGAGGCGTTCCGGCAATGGGACCGTCGGAAAGGACGTGGCCTCGCCGCCTGGAGAGAACGGTATAGAGTGCGGAGACTGAGTCAGCGGGTCCGGTCATGGAGACGGTGTAAAGAGGTTCGAGGAGGCGAGGGGAGGCGGTCAGGAAGGACGAGTAAAGAGCGCGACGGGTCGTGGGGATTATTTGGCCACCACCGCGGGAGATGCTGTCGGCGGCCAAAGAGATGTCGGTCAATTTGAACTTGGTATTGCGGATTGCTGTCACAATGAGTCAGCATGAGTCGCGGAGGAGAGGGTTGTGAAAGCGTGCGTACGTTCTTCACAAAGCGGGCCTTCTCTTGTGCCCCAGCTGAAACCTTGGCGGAGAGTGTCGCGAACCGTATTCACGAGCTTCTTGTCGACTTGCGAAGGGAGAGTGTCATCTTGCAAAATATTGGGGCCCATCTCCTCGGGACCAAAGGCCCATATACTTCTTGAAGCAAGCTTGTCCCAGTCGTACTTATCCTCGAAGAATTGGCCGACCTTCCGTATGGGATCTTTGATGTTGACTTTACCGCTTTCGATGTCTTCTGCTATACCGTCGTCCAGAGGCTCAGCGACCATGGTAATCTTGTTCTTCTTGTTAGGTGTAATGGCGTAGCACATAATGGCAGATGTCTCAACAACAGTCTCGCAGAACCGAGTTACAGGGTCCGATACTTTGAGCTCCATCTCCGAGTAAAGCCTGCGTAGATCATGAAGGACACAATCCATGTAGAGCTCGCCCGTCCCCAGGATAACGTGTTCGCCTGATTCTTCGACTTTTGTGGTGATCAGAGGGTAGCTTTTGTTCACCTTTCTTAGCCCATCCAGCATTTTCGGCAGCTCTGAAGGGTTGATGGGCTCCACAGCGACTTTGAAAACAGACTCAGTGAAATGCTTGACAGGCTTAAAGATGTACGCATCCTCATCGTCTGGAAGTCTTGGCGGGACTATCGTAGCTGTTTTGACGATGGAATTGTCAATACCACTCAGTAGGACCCAATTACCCGCTGGGACGCCACTTGTGGGAATATTGTATCGCGACTCAGCAATCCAAGTATCTGATATAGTCGAAATGCTCATATCTTCCTCGTCGTCTATCGTATAGCCCTCGCCTAGTACTCGGACCTGCTGCCCTGCTTTTGCGATGCCGCTCAGTACTCGGCCAAAAGAATAAAAGTGCTCAGCGTCCGGTGTGTTAAACAATTTTGTGACTTGAACAACCAAGGGGCCGTCTTGATCGCATTTTGCGATTGACTCGGCGGTCTTGGTATCCGTAGGCCCTGTATAGTAACGATCGAGCTTCTTCCGGGCTCCCTCCAACGGCGACGGGACATGCTCCACCACCATATCCACAAAGCCTTCAGCTCCGCCGAAAAATTGCTCGCAAACCATCTTGAGGAGGTCTTTGGCGTCGGTCTTATACTGCGAAGGCTTCAGAAAAATCCCCAGTGTTGCCAATGTCTCTTTTAGATCCTCTGGACTTTCGCTTATCGTATGAGAGTACAATTTGTATATTGGCTCCAGAACGAAATTGACAAATGTTCGTTTTGATCGTTCCTCTGTGCCTTTCCTTGTGAATGATCTCCGCTTTGGGTTGAAGAAGATGTCGCCCCACAACCGCACACCGAAGTCTTTCGCATTGACATCTGGGTACTTTTCTGCATACATCTTTGCAAAAGAAGGCAGCGTGAACATCCAGCCCATGCTGCTGCAAGCGAAAGCGACATTGCCCTTTTCCGGACTTAGCCTTCGCTTTCCTCCTTGACCAGGTAGTGTGTTCTCGATAACATTATTGACCTCTTCTATGACATGCTTAAGCTTAAAATATGCATCCGTGGGCGGCAGCTTCAGCTCGAGTACCAATCGGTCCATCTTGTTGACGACCAATGTGAGTGGAAGGTCCTCTAACACTGCATGTTTGATGATCTGCTCAGTATTGATCTGAACGCCTTCTACCACATCAACCACCAGGACAACTCCGTCAACAAGCCTTAATGAAGCTGCTACTTCGTCCACAAAATTGACGTGGCCCGGGGTATCCAGTATGTTGAGCAAATGTGACTTTCCGCGTGTTCCTTGCATGATTAGACTCATCGGTGCCGACTTGATTGAGATTCCTCGTGCTCGCTCTAAGATGTGGACATCTGTATATCTGAGCTGCTCATCCCTCTTTCTGCCCGTTCTTTTCTCCTGCCTTTCGGCTATGTCATGTGTCTGGAGGACCAGCATATCCATCAAGGCTGTTTTGCCATGGTGTAAATGCCCCGCAAATGCTATGTTCCTGATCTGCTCGGGGAAGTTCATCATGTCCGTCATGAAGTCGCGCGCAAAGTGCACGGGTGGTAAATCTGTTTCCTGGACCGTGAACTTTTTCTGGACCACGGGTGCGATTATTGGCTGCGAAAGGGGTTGCGCATCCTCCTCTTGTACCATGGTCTCCACGCCTGGACCGTAGACCTGCTGCGCTGTAGGATAGTATTGCTTGTCCTCATGCAGCACGACGGCATTGGAGGGTCCATCCTCGTCAATCTCCATCAAAGCCTGGTCATTGGGCACGTCCTCTTCGTTTGCCTCGTCCTCGTTGACGTAGGCGTCCCCAGTTGCGCCATGTTGCGACTCCTCCTCGGATTCTTCTGCCTCGCCGATGAAGTTGCCGAACCTAGAGCGAACTGTTAATATATCCTTTTTTGAAGGTGAACGGCGAGCACTCACTCATCATAAAGGTCGTCCATTTTGGCTACAGCTCCCAGCAAATGAATTGAGGGTCGAGTGTGAGCAACAACAACATGAAATTTCTCGACTTCAAAACTGTGAAGCGACATGCGGCTCAATTACCTCTTGGCACGTGACCTTGGTCTTTTGGCTCCCGGCGCTAGCATCCCGTTCTTGCGAACCTAAGTTGGGAAAGCCCGAGGATTGCAGGCCGAGAGCCGAGAAAAAGAACCGGTGAGAATACTCAGGACGGTTTTAAGTATCCGGACACTTAAGCAATACTTTAACAGCTTCATAACGAGGTGGATTCCAAGGACACGTTCAGCTATGAAGTTGTACAAATGTATCAGAAAAAGATATTTTGTACCAAAATAATGTCCATCAAGGCCTTGATTGAGAAGTTATTGTGGATGTGAAGAGGACGCACTGTTTCTGACTATGTTAGTGTCCGGATATTAAAAACCGTCCTGAGTAAAGATTACTTAGGCATTGAAGCTCTTATAAACTTGCATCCCCGACTCGCATCACCGCTGCATTACTTATTCTCATTGCTCCGCCCGGACACCCATCATCACGTACACTACATCTAAATCCGTCTCATCCTACAAACATGGCTCCTCCCACAATGACTCCTGTATACATTGTTTCTGCTGTCAGGACCCCAATTGGACAATTCCAAGGGTATGTGCATGATATGCGAATGGTTTGCTTCCCAACGTATGCTGACGTCTGATCCAGGTCACTTGCAAGTCAGACTGCCATTCAGCTAGGCTCTCACGTCATCAAATGTATATCCTGTCAACCTATGAGCACGCAATGAGCCAGGCCAACCCTTCACAGCTGCCTTAGAGCGAGTCCCCAATGTCAAGCCTGGAGAGGTCGACGAAGTGTACTTCGGCAATGTCCTCTCAGCAAAGTACACCAATCCTCTCAGCTTCTTTTGCTCAAAGTTTCTCTACTGAACGCACCCAGCCTCGGCCAGAATCCTGCCCGCCAATGTGCCATCAACGCTGGCATGCCAAACTCGACTGTCTGCACCACCATAAACAAGGTCTGCGCCTCCTCCCTCAAAGCCATCATCCTCGCCACCCAAACGATCATGACCGGCAACGCCTCTGCAATCATAGCTGGTGGCACCGAATCCATGTCCAATGTGCCCCATTATCTCCCCACTCTCCGAGCCGGCAGCAAATTTGGTAATGCAACCCTTGTCGACGGCCTGCTGCGTGATGGCTTGACAGATGCTTACTCCTCCGAGCACATGGGTCTACAGGGGGAAGAGTGCGCTTCAGACCACGGTTTTGACCGTGCAGCACAAGATGCGTACGCAATCCGCTCGATACAAAAAGCGCAACACGCCACCAAAGCTGGTCTCTTCGCCCCAGAGATCGCACCTGTCTCCGTTCCCGGTCCTAGAGGGAAACCAGCAACCGTCGTCGATAAAGATGAAAAGCCTCAGATGCCACTCAACGAAGAAAAGCTTAAGGCAATGAAACCCGCTTTCAAAACTGATGGCTCCGGCACCGTGACAGCGCCAAATGCCTCTCCTCTTTCCGATGGCGCTTCTGCTCTCGTGATCGTTTCCGAGGAATTCATGAAGGAGAAGAACCTCACTCCACTAGCGAAGATTTTAGGCTGGGGCGACGCAGCACAAGCTCCTTCAAAATTCACTACAGCCCCTTCCCTCGCGATTCCTAAAGCTCTCAAGCATGCTAGCACCGACATCAGCGAGGTCGACGCCTTCGAAATCAACGAAGCTTTCAGCGTGGTAGCTCTAGCGAATTTGAAACTGCTTGGCCTGAGCGAAGAGAAAGTCAATCTACACGGTGGAGCTGTGGCGTTAGGGCATCCGTTGGGGTGCAGTGGGTCGAGGATCGTGACAACGTTGCTGGGCGTGTTAAGAGAGAAGGGAGGAAGGGTGGGGTGTGCTGGAATCTGTAATGGAGGCGGTGGGGCGAGTGCCATCGTTATCGAGAATTTGCAGGGCAAGGGAGAGACCAATGGGCACTCGAATGGGACGAATGGTGCATAGTGAGAGGACTGGTATTCCAACCCGTGTTCTTGAAAACTGCTAGACTCGCGGGAGATGGTTATCTTTCGCTGTTGTAGTAGAGCCATCTATCGAAAATTGTCGATCATCAAAAACCCGCGTTGATGCCATTGGAGGTGCCATACGACCGTTGACGGTGGCCGACGTGTCGGCAGTGATACAATGCGGTTAGTTCGAAATTTCTTGGTACCAAAAATTGACGATGCGCTGAAGACATTCCTCTTTCACCTTGTATCGTGAGATCCCAATTGCCATGGAACACACTTTCAGCAAGTTTCCTTGCAGCAAGCTACGCATTCTCTCGTTTCAAGAGCATCCTTCCAATCCTTCCCATCATCCCGGATTGCCTTCGGGTCGCAAGCACAGAAGATAGCGCAAAGATGACCTATTACCTTATCAGGTGTTCTTTGTGGTGAGCCCCGACCCCTACATTTGAAACAAAAGCACTTGAGGACCGTTTCATGGGGTTCTTTTCATGCGTCTGACCGCTCAATGAGAGCGTCTAGAGCTATGGACTTGTATGGAACTTGGTTATGTGTGCTGTCTACATGTGCTGTTTAGAGGCCTGCAGGTTTGAGAAGAGGCTGATTTGGAAATAACCTGCAACTGTTTTTCAGCAGATGATGGTGGTGTTGTGTGGATATCGAGCCCGATGTAGTGCAGTGGTACAGCCCATTTCTTGAGGCGTGGCTGCATGCACGCTGCTATGGGGAACTCACGCATTTCCAATCGCTACCTACATCATCTGCACAGCTGCATAAAACTGCGCCCCAATATTCCAGCATGCCATGGGCCGGGTGTCCGTGGTTACATCTGTGACGTGGAGCTTTTAGCAGCCAAGCTCTACTTTTCTCTTGAAAGAACGTCTCCCATTTCAGGAATTCTCATGAGCATCCAACTTTCAGCCTTGTACCACATATCACTCACTCAACGCAATCTCGATTTCCTTTCCAGCGTCTGCTTGCCATGGCGGATTCAGCTGGAATGATGTATGCTCTGGCGACAGTGTTGAGCATCTTGGCCATTGTCGCTATCATGCTGCGTTTTTACGCTAAACGCATAAAGCAGACTGCACTTTCATGGGACGATTATGCAATATTGCTTGCATTGGTACGTCATTTCCTGCAACTGCGTCTAATATTGTAATAGAAGAACTAATGATAAAGTAGTTATTCACTATCGGGACTGCGATATGCATGTTCGTGGGTACGTCCTGCTGTCTTCAGGCCTCGTCTGCCTTTTTTCTGACAATAGTCCACAGGGACGGCCATTGGTAATCTTGGACAACATACCAGAATCAGAGAAGACGGCAGCCCGGTCTTTGACCATCGCTCGAGAGTCTTTGAACAGGTATTTTGGGAGCGCGTCGTCCTAAAGTATTGAATTCAAGGTGTAAACAGATTGTCTTTGCATCACAGCTCACCCAAACATTGACCTGGGGCTTCACGAAGCTATCTGTACTTCTTTTCTACAAGAGGTAGAAGACCCCTCGAATCCCCTTTCGTATCACCATAATTGATCAGTTCGCGCCAGAATTTTCAGAGGCAAAGTCTTTGTCATTTCGGTTTGGACTATGATTACGGTCTCATCCGTCTGGACCGTTGCCTTCTTCTCCGCCAACCTACTCCAATGCTGGCCCCTGTGGATAGATTGGACCGGCTTTGGCTTCACCTCCGAGAATTGTATCAATACGAACCTAATGTATCTGGCTCAGGCGTGGTCTGACTTTCTCACAGATTGTAAGTCGACTTCTCACATGCCCGGACCATGACCGTCTGACATGCAAATAGTCATGATCCTCTTGCTGCCGCTTCCATGCGTGAGCTCCACGGCTTTGTGCTGTATAATTATCGCTCATAAAGGATTTTAGATATGGAAATTACAGATGTCGACAACGCACAAAATTGGCATAAGCGGCATGTTTCTACTCGGAGCGCTGTAAGTGGCCCAGCCTCAAGGCTGTTCTATCAGAGTTCCAAATATTCACGGAACGCAGGACCGTTGGAGCGGGAATCGCAAAGCTCGTCGTCTGGAACATAAAAGTCCAAGGTCGGTCGTGACTCCATGTTGGTGATGCAGAATGCTGATGCTGTTGTGTTAACAGAGCTAGATGTTGGTTTCATGGACATCAGCTGTAAGGGCTCCTAATGAGTACGATTTTACTCTCTTTGACCAACCTCAAATCACAGACAGGAATACCCCGATGGTGTATTGGGCAATGATCGAATCTTCCCTGGGCATTGTAGGCGCTTGCCTCCCTATGTTCCGACCTCTATTTGCCGGTCTGTCCTCAAAGGGCAAGAGACGCGTTCAATCGCCGGAGTATAACGAGGAGGCTCTGGTGGTGTCCGAAACAAATGGCGATTGACGTCACCTGTTTGGCTCTTCGGCGGGTATCCCATGCCCTGGCACAGTGCTTGTTCTCCGGTGCCGCTATTGGCGAAGCTTGGGCGAAGTGACAAATGAAACAAAAACAAGCGGCAGTCGAAGCGGTACAAATCCTTGATGTGTCGATGAGATCAACACCAGTGGTGGTTTCCCTCGTTCTTCCATGTCTAGAATTCGATGTTATCTTAAACCTAAACGACAACTTTTCTGGCCGCGATACCACATCTTGGCGCGAAACCAGAAACTCATCGCCTCGGACTGCAGAACTTTTCTGACAGCCTACCTGAGTCGCACCTGGAGAGTGTTCTGCACCACTGCCTCACAAAAATCCGCACGGGTAATGCTAAGACATTGTGATAGAGTCAGTACGCAGACCCGACCTTTCGGGGCTGTGGACAGTCGTCGTGGGAGCAAGAAGCGTCCGGTGAACTCCCAACGGCGAGCGGTCCGGAAGATCTCACTCCCGCCCCCCATCAAAGTCGGCAAAGCTTGCCGTTGGATGCTCAGAAGCTCGTACATATATTGATGGAAACACACAAATAAACCCCCGACTCCCCTTCCTGTCCCCTACCAACACGTCAGTGGCTGAACAGTGGCGAACGACATCGCGACTCCCATTTCCTGGCAGGCAGCGTTCCCTCTTCCAGGGTGAAAAAAGGTTGCGCGTCCGAGAACCCTTTCCTGAAGAACATGACCGCCACAATGAGACCGCGAGTGCGAGTTACGGTCGGTGAGTGGTTCCAGCGTCGCGGTTGTTGATTCATAAGCAGATGGCAAGTGTTTTGCTGCGAAAAGTGACGGAATTGCGAAGATCAGGTAGGGGATTTTTGCGTGTTCTTGCCCGGGCAGACGACGAGAACCCAGTTTGCCAGGACATTGGGAATACACAAGGAGAGGGATATCGAGACCGAAAGCAAGTCCCTGTAACTTTGCGGGTTATTGGCCACGGAAAGTCTTTGCCGGTCATAGGAATCAATATGTAATATCGGTCTATATAAGAACAAGAAGGCTATTATTACACATCTATATACGTCTACGCAACCCCACCCAAACCGAAGAACTAACATGGCACGCACAGCCCTGCTCCCAGATCAAACATCTCCACAACCCCAGAAATCAACATATTCACAAAACCCAATCACCCGATTGAAACTCCCCAATTCCAGATTATATCTACGTCCGTACGTACGTCCGTATCCCCCGGCCAGGCCACGCCTCGTCACACAAAGAATAAAACCCCCCCCCAACACGAACCCCATTCCGCAACTATCATCCCCCCCCACTTCCCAACGCCCTACCTACCAGCCCGTCTCTCCTCCCCCAACACCCCGCACCCTCTCATCAACCCCCAGCCCCAGCCCCAGGTTCAAACCCGCCCCTCATCCACCTCTCCCCCCACCACCTCCGTTCCCAACGCCTGTGACCGCAGTCGCCGCGCGTGCCCGTCTGCGTGTGTACAGCTCAGATGCCCCAACGACAGGTACTGGAGACGACTGGTCCACGGCCAAAGTCGACGGGGGTCGTGAGAGGGTTCAAGTAGCCAGCCGTTTGACGTGTTTTTTCTGTGTATATTTTTTTATAGTAGATGCCTCTTTTTGCCATAGGGCCACGGCGGCGGCGTCGGTGTACACCTATGAAGCGAGATCGAGCCTCCGTACATTGAGCGGATCGTAAATTGCTTGATGTGTCGGCGTAGGCCTCGGGGTGGTTCCGTGGACGTAGTCCTGGTGAGGAGGGGGGGCGAGGGGGGCGCATTGGGTCGTGTAGGGCCAGACGCCGGCGGCCCAGTCGCCTGTACGGACGGAAGGGGGGGGGGTTTGATCAGCTATGGGTGGGCATGGGATGTGGGATGGGATGGGTCGGTGGTGGGGGATGTGTGTGTTTTTTTTGTTTGTTTTAGTCTGCATAGTTTAGGGACGAGGGAAGGAGGAAGGAAAGTGGAAATGGGGAGAGAAACATACCGCAAAACGTGGTATCGAAAACGACCACCTTCTCCCCGAAATGCTCATCGATATCGCACCCGTCCCCGCCCACCCACTGCGCCGTCGGGGAGCCCCAGCCCGCCCGCGGGGCGCGCGGGGGAAGAACCAGGCGTTGATCTGCTCGCTCGTCCACTCCGTGGCGTAAACGCCGCCACCGTTGGCGTTGAGGCCGTCGCCGAAGGACGGGTCCGCCGGCCCGACGCCGCTGCAGTCGGCGGACATCATGGTGCAGTTGGGGCTGGTGTGCAGGGTCGTGGCGTTGGTGGCTTGGTGGTTGACGCCTTCGATGATGTCGATTTCGCCGTTGGTGGGCCACTGGGTCGCGTGCGATGAGAATGATTGGTGGATGTTTTTTATACTATGTAGGTTCGTTCAAAAAGAGCGGAGTGGTATGGTGTGGGAGTATAAGAAGTAGAAGAAGGAGAAGTAGAGAGATAAATAGCATACCGAGGGCCCCGTCATCCAGAAAGCGGGCCAAACGCCACAGGCATTCCCGGGCATGTGCGCCAGGTCCAGGACCACGAGCGCATTCGTCTACTGATTCCTGCTCGTGACGCGGACGCTGTCGCGGCCACGGCCCGAGGCGATGTTCGAGGAGTCGGAGCGGATCGTGACAACGTCGTCGACGACGCCGGCGAGGTTTGCGGCCTGCGCGTCGGACGCGTCGAGGTAGTTGACGTAGCCGTTGGTCGGGTCGTTTTCCTGGATAGTATGTCAGCGGCTCGAGTTCTACAGTGGAGGTAATTTGGATGGGGTATTGGGGGAGAGGGAACCCACGGTATCCAAGGTAAACATATCGAAGAAGTTGTTGCCCGAGTAATCATCTTGGAAGGGAATATGCAGCAGCGGCGATCTGGGCTAGCCCGGCAGCGCCAAGAAGGAGTGTGGGTGTCGAGAAATGCATGGTGATGGTCAAGAGTGACGATATGCAAACAGACTAAAGGGATGTGGTAGAGATAGCTCTTTGTATGATTTGTGGCACCGAGACACAGTACAAACAAAAACTGAGACGTAATTGTCTATGCTTGACCGAAGGCATGATACACCGGCCGCATGAGAAGAATATAAAGACCTTGGCCATGACCCCATCTTGCACTTACGGTTCAGGGGAAGCGAGATACGAGAGCCGCCTTTCCGGACTTTCTCTTCTTGCTTCCGGGAAAATCAACTATGCTTGATACGAGCAGTGTATTAGTCCAAATTTCGCGGCATGCAAATGGCAACTGTGGGGAATTTGCAATAGGGCTTCGGCCAATTTGCCAACCATTGGGACCAGATTGGCCAACTCTACCTAGATGAGACAAGATATCGAAATCAGCGGAGCTAACCCAATCTGCCACAGTCGTCTTCTGATGTCATCCATTCTTCTTCTTATTCTTCCATCATATCTATACACTGTGATATCTATCCATGAAGAGGATATCACGGTAACGACATTTGAAGTGGTACTCCCCGTAGTGGTCCGACATACTCCGCGGGATCCTGTCCCGGTAGCAGGACAATTTGACCCTCACCACAGCACCGTACACACTCATTCAACCCTGCGGTGCCACTGTGGAGTATGCGAGATTGGTCATAGACAAGCGGGAAGAATGAGAGATGAACGAGATCAAGGATCTGCTGATGGGATCCCCAGATTCCAAACCTTGTCGTTGTTGACGACGTTTTCCACAGGTGCCACCAGTGCTGCCGCTTTCTGGTGTGCTTCTCTAAGATCATCTGGTGCAGTGATATCGGACTTGTATACGCCATCCGAGGGTTGCAAAGCACTTTGTCTTCTTGTAAAGGTGTGCTTTGTATCTCGACTGGGTGATAGACTAAGTCCTGGACAGAGAAGGGAGATCTGGCGAGGCATCCGATCACAGAGCCTTACTCAATCAAGCACATTCTCAGAGACACATCCTCATTCGGCCTTTGAAGCCTCTCGACTCTCCACTTCCCAGTTATCTTCCCGTTGAAGACTTTCTCGTCTCAAATGGGCTCGTCTGTCCCATCGCTGTTAGGTTCTTGAGCTGTAGATTCCTGCTGCGCCGCATCAAGAAACAACGAAGAAGGACGTCATCTGGTCAATGACTTTTCTGCCTGAGTAACTTGACAACCGTGGATAATTTCTGAACCGTTGAAAGCGGCGCATCTTAGTACATGGTAATGACCATCCAAACATGCAGATTCGGTAATCGTTGGTCCAGCAATGAAAGCTGAGGGTCACATGAGTAACAGACGTAGGCGCTGATGCAGTTAATATTCGCACTCAGATTCTCCCATCTTAACAGATTAACAACCGTCTAGAGTATCACTTTTCCATAACTCTTCCACGGTTACAATCACCGTAATTCATTCTACAACAGTGACCATATGAACATTCAAGCCCGACAATCAAATCTTGCGTCCTAACAATCAAAATGTACGAATGTTGTCCGGAGAATTGATTGATTGATTGGTTGGTGGCTCGAGCATCGATCGGGTCAGCTACATTGGCATCAGTCAAAGCGCTTGATTCGACCTCAGACTTTCCCACAACGTTTCCCCCTTACCAAGGTATACAACAAAACAGCATACACCACCATGTACCCCACAAGGACCCGCAGGCTGCTCAAAGTATGCGGTCTCAATGGTCTGATTCCCGACCGATGCTCTAATGTCCACCGTCCTTCCTGTCCTAGATGGATCCTTTGAACGAAAATCCAGTACAGACTACCAGACCCTCTGCTAATCATCTATGCATCCTCTTTGCTCCTGGACCGCACGCAGAGAAAGAAGGGGTTTTTTATTAAATATCCAAGCATTCCGGAAGTGAAGATAGCTGGGCGTTTGTCGGGATCGGAATCTCGTTTTCAGCAGTAAGGCGTGGCTTGCCGACTCGGCCCCCAATATACCTACGTACGCCCAGCTATTTTTTGCGCCCCAACCTGGTTCCCAAGGGTCGAAGACGTAAGTCGTGTCGATATAGGTACCTACTAATTTTACCCCAGCAATAAAAGTGTCCTATGAGCCTGAATCGATCATAAATGGCCATGGCCAGAATAATCTTGGAAAGCAATAACGACGGCGACGGCGAGGTCCTGAGCAGGGAGACCGAGAAACGGTGATACCGGTATCACATATTAATGATAATCAAGATAGACCTTCAAGGAACAATGGTAAATGGGCCCGGGGGGTGGGCCTTGTAAGCGAGGGCCCCCCTTAGGGCGGTTCAGCAACGCCAACAACATCCCCAGGGCGAGTATCCGCAACCCGAAAGCAGTATAGTACAAATCCAGCAGCCTAACGACAAACGATAGTAGCTAGCGTCGTCGATCGCCCATCGTGTAAAAGCACCGCACTGTTAGTACTCAAACCTCAGTGATCCCAAAGCTCAATTAAGTACCCAAGGCCATAGCCACGTAACCAGGATCACATAACATAAGCAACACCCGCAAGTGCGCCGCCCCCTCCCCTTTCCCCCACCAACCAGGACAACGATCTACATCCACAGCCTTGCTCGGAAAGCAAAGCCGACGACTTTCCCGTTCCGGCGTCAGGGACCCGAACCGATCCGAGCTTTTCAGAATGCCCGGTACCACCCAGATCCCTACCGCATCCGAAAGAAGAAAACCGTCGGATCGGAAAAATCGAGACGGCATGTTGAGATGATGCCAAGGGGGTAGGAAGCGAGCCGAGCCTCAGATCCGAAGCGGGGAGCAAGGTACTTCATCGACGCTATCGTGCGGGGGGTGCTGTCTCAGCGTCCGGGTTCGATTCGCCTTTTCCGAGTCAGGTACCTTGAGTACCCAAGCGGGCGAGTAGCCGCATTGACCCCAACGCCGTGCCGATATTCGAACCACGTCTTGAGCGGACCAGGATGGATAATTGGACCTACAGGTACTGTCACGCAAAGGCAAAAAGCTGATGGTTGCTCACACGGGCGAGATGAGCTGACGGACTCCAAGCGCTTGCGATGTAGACGACAGGATTTGTACAAGTAATCGAACAGGGGGAAATATCGTACAGCATGAAGTGGCGCCAACGCTCACGTTTCTAATGGACACGCCAGGTCTGAACCAAGCCCTCCGGTCTGTCCATCGTCCCGGCTCCCTCGATCTTGCATCTTTAGCAAACAAGCACGATGGAACATGTGCCTGCATGAGAAGATCACGACCGCTCCATTTTCATCTACCCCGCCTTCCTGACCATTTCCATTATTCGACTCAGAGATTGCCATGTTGCCATCATCCCTAGTAACTCCTTTCCCTTTGCCGCGCTCTTCTCTCGATGAAGACCTCGGAGGCCTCTTCTCGACTTTCACTTGTCGTACCATCTCTCTCTCTGCGTTGCTTCTTTGCCAAGCCTCCCAGATGTAGCCTCCAGCACCAGGGCCCCATACCCGCATGCCACAACCTTCGCACACTTGGCCTAGCGGCCTCCAGCCTCTTCTTTTCAGGCTATCCGCTTCTGTCACTTGCACGAATAGTTCTTTATCCAGCAGTCGGTTTGCCAGTGAAAGCAGAGACTCCTCATACGAGTATGCTGAGAAGATCGCTCCAAGCACTGCACGCAAGTTTGACAAAGAAGGTGAGGACATTGATGCTCGGTCCAGGAACGCTCGGAGAATACGCAGGAAGGAGACATCCGTGCGACGAGCATCTTTAGTGTGAGGAGCGCTGGTGGCGGCAAGGAGAGCTGTGAACGTATCTTGTACGATGGTACGCAAATCCGTGATCATCTTTGGCGAATCGAGGTCTGTGGCGCTTCGTGCTCGCTGTGAAGCATCCTTTTCACTGATCCCTGCTGCACGGTCTTGCCTCTCTAGAACTTCAGTGACGTCCTTGGTAACCGCAACGACGGCGTCGATAAGATCCAACCAAAGCTCTTCGTCCGAAGATAATGCATCACGCAGAGATTTGGCACTCTTCACTCGCGCTAAGATCGGTTTCCTTTTTTCGACAGCTTTGGTCTGTCCTTGGCAGAGCCATACGCCCACTCGAGCATACTGTTGTACAGAGGCGATCAAGTCTCGTCCGGCCTCGGCAGTGTTACCTAAATCTGGACTTTCATTGACTCCGTCTATCAAACCGAGTAGAGCAGACTCCAAAGTGATGAGATGATGGGTAAGACGATCAATGGCCTCTCGGACTTTGCCCTCTCGTGCCATAAGTACTACAGCAGCGTCAACAACGCCGCTTTCCTCCAGCGCTGGCAGGACTTCCTCCAAACGCAAATCACCGCTCTTGAGCTGCTCAACATACTTGCTGACATGAGACCGATTGAAGTCGCACATGAGTCGCACATATTGCTCTATGAAATCGCGCTGGCGACCGGTCGGGAGGTCGGCCTCTGCTCCCGGAGTAGATGGCTCAAGTACCGTCTGCAAATATTCGAATTGAGCGCCTTCGTCATCGCCGAGTGTATCTAGCAAAACGCTGTGAAGATCTGGGGCGTACGTATCGATTATGGATGCTGCTCTCTGGACATGGGCCGCAACGAGGTCATACGCATGCTCAACGATCACACCACGGATATCGCTAATCTGTTTCTCACTCAGACCAGCGCTGGGTTTGAGACAGTCACCAATACAATCAAAGATGGCGTTTTGATTCTCGTAGTCTTCGAAGCATGTTTTCAGTAGATCAGCGAAATGTCGCTCCTGTTTATAGATCGACTTCAAGACCCGATAGAAGCGAGCTTTGGAGATCAAGGGTATCAGCGATGTTAAGTCTGGTGGCTGATACATCGAGAGAAGATACTCGACACTAAGCTGACAGTCATCTGCTACCTCGTTTGTTGGATACTGGCAAAGGCCGATAAGTACTCGATGGAGTACATGACCAGGTAGCAGGATAAATTGAGGAAACTTCGGAAGGTTACGGGCTATGAACATGTCAAGGTAAACGGTGTCATCAGATTCATAATTCGGAGGTGTCATTACTTCCAACAAAATGCTAACGATCCATTGTCGATTGACTGACAGACCGAACTTCTGCTCTTCTGTCAGCCGTCCGGGTGTTTCGTTGGCCATTTGGTCTTGAGGACCGTTCAAGAAGCTATCTTCAAACGCTTCATTCAGCATGCTGAGGAAACTTGGTGCGTCGAAATTGAGGACCCGTCGCAGATTTGGGAATGAGGTTGTAGACTCGGATTTCGACGATCGTGGGCTTCCCTGAGTTACAGGCCGACCTTCCCTACTGCCGCCAGAGAAGAAGAAGTGATAGATCTGAGCTTTCGCCAAACTTGCAGAGTCGTCAGGCATATCCTTGCCCGTGGGATATACCCGACCTGTGAGTATGTAGGAGAGATAGGGAAAGACCTTGGACGCGCTCGTCAATTCCAACTCTGCAAGAGACGGATCGACGTCTGACTGAGAGTTGTATTGGTGCTCGACCAAGATCAGTAGATCAGTCAAGATGGTGGTGTAATCGTTAAGGGCTTGATTCCATACATATAGCAGAGCATCGTAAAGATGGTTCTTCTTACATAGCGTGGTGATCTGATCAATGTCCATGGTTCCAGAGTCCAGATGACAGATCATCTCTTCGATACGCGCATTGAGCCCTCGCGCAGTGTAATGTCCTACTAGGTCTTTGATCACTACTGGAGATATGACACTGATTTCATCATCGACAATGTAGGGCTCAATGCTTTCGAGGAACACACTTTCAGCGTCTCCGTCCTGATACCAACTGTAGACGTCTTCGAATAAGAAGTCAGTATCTTCCATGCTGATGCAAGCTTTGATACAAGCGGATGCAAGCTCTTCGAGCTGCCTTTGGTCACCATTTCTCTGTTGGACCGTTCCGTTCTTTTTAAATGTATATCGAAGGGATGCTGAGATCATCTCGGAGAGTTTCTCCTGAACTAAGCCGTGTCGCGTAGTATCATCCTCAGGAAGACCAACGGCTACCTTATTAGCTTCGCCGCTGTAGTAAGAGGTCGCTAATCGGATTGCGGCAATGTGGCTACCTTCTTCCATCAACGCCAGTAGTCGATCAGCCCAGTTGGAGAGTGTGCCGAAAGAGATTTCGTTGTGTCCTAAAAGAAACAGCCGGCCTTTGTAGGCTCTGAAGCTCATATAAAAAGCGTCGGCAACGACCCCATGCATAGCAGCGACCTCTTCATCTTCCAACTGATCAACGAGTTGATTAAGTTGGCCCGAGAACAAGTCAGCATGATAAATGTGTTTCTGGATTAGGTCAGAGGAATCTGTCACAACCATTGAGCTGTCTTCGAGGATAACCAGCTGTTGTGTGATTGTCAAGACTGCAAGCACAGATCGACTGAGCCATTGAACACCAACGATGGCCTCCTCAGCTTTCCACCTGCTGCGTGGTTTGAACTGGAGACTTGGGGGTTCCTCTTTCACAAGACTTGCTGAGGGTAGCATTTCGACTACCTCGAGGACTGTGAGAATGTTCGACCAGCAGTAGACGAGCTTGACCCTTGATGATGTCTCCATTGTAACCGGGTCCTTTGTCTTTAGCTTGACACTTGGGAACCATGCCAAAGCAGCTGTCATGGCGCCATGAGCGGCCACCTCTTTAGGTCTTGGAGACTTGTACTGAGTTTGTGCTATGGGCGTGGTCGAAACGACGACTAACAGGTATGGTGTCAGCATGGCTATCAGTCCTAAGGAGTCCGCACCATGCTCTGCATTCCCCAAGGGCAAGGGAGAAAATGCCAACACAGAGCTTGGCTTCCTTTGACGGTCAGCACCTGATGCTTTATCGGGGTACCGGCCAAGTATCCGAGTCGTCTTGACAGAGCGCGCTACCATTCCCATTCCCCTCGTGGCCAAGTGAGAGAATGCCATTCCTTTGTCATCAGCTGAAGCCAGTGCGGTGTGTCGCATTCCCAGAAAGCCAATGTGAAGGATGGCAACATCAAGAGTATGCCCGTCAACGTTCGGAGCTCGACTCCTGTCGATTGGAGGAATATGTAGAAAAGGCTTCGCAGGCCTCGCAACCTCCCAAGTGAAGATGCTTCCAGAGGCGTGTCCGCCAGCGATAGTAGAGTGATCTGCAGATATGCTGATAGACGTAATAGACCCAGACTCAAAAGCTTTTGTGCCCAGACCAATGATGGATTTGAGATTCTGATTGTAGTCGAACACCAATATCACGCCTTTCGACGTTCCTATCGCAATTGAAGCAGCTATAGCTATGCATGTAGGCCGCCCAAATTTACGTTTCCCAACCTCAGAGAATGCTTCACCCGTCATCTTTCTAAGCTTGGTCCACCTGACAACTTCCCAGGGTGCCTGTGGTGACTCAGCAGATCCATCGTTCTGTATCGAGAAGGCCGTCGAGGACTGCCGTGAATGCGCATTGAGGAAGGCTGGTGAAGAAGCTCGAGGTGAGCCCAGTGGAGAAGGGGACAAGCGAGCTTGAAACCGCTTATCAAAGGGCCGTAGAGATGGTGTTGGACTTCGGCCATAGTTGGATATACGGAACCCTTTGTCTGGAGTGGACGATTCGATAGAGCCCTATGGCAGTCAGAAGATGGTCTGCCTTGAACACGTGAGGTCTTACCTGCAGGGAAGGAGTGTCGTCCGGGATCGAAAGGGACTCATCAGCACTTGATGGTCTTTCAAGAACCGGACTCGAAGTCTGCAATGGCCCAAAGTCTTCGCGATCGAGCTCATTGTTGGAAGCCAAGCTGTCATCCTCCTCTTCAAATCCGTTTGGCTTACTCGACTTCGGTGTTAGCAACTCCTCTTCCTGCGTCTGTTCGTTCTCATTATCCTGCGGCGCTTCCTTGCGGGTGCTATGGTCATCATCTTTCAATTCCAATGGACCATCCTCGGCCTCATCCTTTGCAGCGCTCATCGGAGCCTCTGGACCCTCATGTCTCCAACAGCTAACACCAATACCGCTTCAGCATTGCTGTGCTTCACAAGACACTTCCATGTGGAAGACAGTCGATAATCATGAGCAGCAGAACAACAACGCTTATACGTTACAGTGGCCGTCTGCCGATCGAGGGCAATATAGGCTGACATGGATGGTCTTCGAAAGGGCGCCAAGAGCCAAGACCTTGGCAAAGTTCCGCCATCTGCAAGTCGTCGACTGCCTCTTGATACTTTGCGCCGCTCCACCTCGCGACTCTCACAGTCCCTATCTCTGTGTTCTCTAAGTCTATGTGTGACATCTTTCTCGATATAATATGGCCTCAGTCGGCCCAGAGCTCCCACCTCATCTTGCGAAGCGCAAGCGTTCAGAAGAGGGATATGATACTGTAGACGTTCCGCATAAGCGACAACGCAGCTCATCTCCTCACACAAAAACCCGCCGTGTGGTAGGCCCTGCAGCTCCACCAGCTCCCCTTTCAGAAAGACCAACCACGCCCCAAGGGTCAGATGCAGATAGTAGCGACTCGGATGACGATTTCGGGCCCTCCCTACCCCCCCCGCCAGGCTCAATACGTCAAGAGACAGAAAGGAAGCGCCAGGAAGCGCTTGCTGAGGACGAAGCAGCTCGGGAAGCCTCCAAAAGGCCTCAGCGAGAAGAATGGATGCTCTTGCCCCCAAAACAGGATGACTGGTCCGCTCGCGCTGACCCCACTAAACTCAAGAATCGCAAATTCAATACAGGGAAAGGCTCCAAAGCGCCAGCTCAGAAAGGTGGCAGTGAGAACACACTTTGGACAGAGACGCCAGAGCAGAAGCGGCAACGTCTCGAAGACGAAGTGATGGGCGTGAAGAAGCCTGCGCAGCTGGGGCCCGAGGATAAGACGGACAAATGGAGGGAGGAGGAAGCGAGGGAAACAGAAAGAAGGATACGGGAATACAACGAGAAAAATAGGAACACGTCGTTGTACAATGAGCATAAGAAGGTCACGCCGAAGGAGAAGGAGGATGATCCGAGTGCGAGGGCGTTCGATAAGGAGAAGGACATGGGAATGGGGATGAAGATTGGACATGCGCAGAAAAGGGAGCTGCTCAACAAAGCTAAGGACTTTGGATCCAGGTTCGAGAAGGCCAACTACCTATGAGGGCTATGCATCCAGCGAAGGCGACATCTAGATAAAACTCATAAGTCTGAAGCTGAACAAAAATTTCCATACGAGATAGCTAAGATCCCATCATGCAGAATTACAGTCTACGATAGGTAAGAGTTGCTCCAACCAAAGAGAAAACACCGTGTCCATCTTGCATATCCCATGGATCGGCTTTATTCAGGCCTTCTTCCTCATCGCCATCGGCGTCATCACCGGTCCCGTCTTCGACAAAGGCTACCTCCAACCCATGCTATGGCTGGGTAGCTTCCCGACCGTCTTCGGCCTTATGACGACTAGCATCTGTGAACACTACTGGCAGAACCTGCTTGTCCAAGGTGTTTGTACTTTGTGTTAGTATCGGCAGCGGTCGTCTCTTCGTTCCAAGTATGGCTGTCATCGCTACACATTTCACCAAGAAACGCGGGCTCGATAAGTAGAGATGTGCGAAAGACTTTCCTACCGTGTTCTAAGGCAACTCTGCAGGCACTGTGTCACTGCGCAGACTGCCGTAAAGGCAGCGGATTCTCCACCACGCAAGAAGCGTTGCTGACCGATTGAAAGGCACCAAGACTATAGAGGTCCGTATTGCTGGAGAGTAGGTGTGTAAAACTGATCGATTTGTCCAGGAGGGTATCCTGGACATCGTGTCGGATGAAAAGCCCGCGACTGAGCTCTCCGCGGTCAAGAGGCTTGAATGGATTGCAGAAGTTGCCGGGGTGGTGCAGAAGAAGGCAGACCCTTGAGATGCGAGAGGACGAGGGCCCGCTGTATCTCAGACTGAAAAGTTAGAAGATTGGTCTCTTCGCTCTTTATTTGCCAGAAGCCGGTCATATCTGCCTGCAGCCTGTCAGTCACAAGAGTTGAAAGGCATACGCAACTGACACGATGAGCACTATAATGGCTGCAAATAAGCAGCAAGGGTTGGGTGGGAAGGATAGTCTAGACATTCAGCGCGGAAGCGACTGATCATTGCGCGAAGCCAGTTCTGACCTGGGACAACCCAGGGGGGGGGGGCTTTGTTTGGTCAGGATGGTGGGTGGGTCAACGGATACGGCCCAAGGGTGCGATTGGTAGCGGCGTCTGTTTGCGTCAGGAAGCTTGAGGGGTTGAAAAAGGGGTTTCGTTGTCAAATATATATGCACAGGATGCTAACGCCTATGCAAGGTCTATGGGAATGCCGCTGAATCGCTGCATCGAAGTAGTCAACATGCAAAGACAGAGCTCTCACAGCTCATCCATCCTCGGACCCCATTGGATCTCCCAGCTCCTCTCCGCCACGGGCAATCCCAGCCAAAAGCTCCACAATCGGCTGAGTTCCACGACCGTAATCTTGAAGAACTTGCCCGGGAGCTCGATCCAGCTTCTGAGGACGAAGCCGAAGGTTCGCCAGACCAGGTAACACTCTTCTAGGAATATCTCGGAAATAGATTGGTACGGTTGGACGACCTCTTCATCATCATCGTCGAGGTCAATGGCCGGCTTGGCGTCCGGACGGTCTTTGGATCTGTGAGGGGCCTTCTGCTCGCTGGCGTCGGCAAGGTCAACCTTCTTAGCGACCTCCTTTGGCACGACTGGCTCGGCGACCATATCTCGCATTCGTCCGAGGGCCGTGAGACTGCTAGAGACTCTATCCAGGGTGTTCACCAAAGCCACCAGCTCCGTCCGTCGTAGTGGTGGATTTTCGCCATTCTTGAGCTCGTCGTACTCGAAGAGAACTTTGAGAGCTGTGCCATACCCGACTGTCTGCAGCTTGCCCCATAGTCTGCACTTGTCGCAGCCAACGCAGTCCATCAGCCTGCTTACATTGCGGAACCGGTTACGGAAGTCCTCTTTGAGCTCGCCGCTGACATCGGGATCTTGAAACATGGTGTTCTCGTCAAAAATCTGTGGATGAGATGCAGCCGCGTCTGCCAAATAGAGGATTTTGGACTTGGTAACTGCATCTTGGGAAGGATCGCCGGAGCAAAAGGTGTAATTTTTGAGGTAGGTACGGAGCTTGGTGACGGCGCGGAGGAGGATTGCGTAGTCGAAGTAGAGGTTGGAGACACGTTCAGGATGGGTTCCGAGACGGTCCTGGTAGCATTGTAGATTTGGGCCCCAGGTTCCCGTTGTTTGGTTGAGGTAATCGAAGCAGATGTGGGTGGAAATGGAAGCGTGCATGCCGCTTACGATGCGGTGGAAGACGCGCTTTTCCAAACATTCGTCCTCAACGGCTAACTCTGTGGAAGGAGAATTCGCTTGTATAACGTTTCGAAGGTCGTTATGCGCTTGGAAGGGATTGGATGAGTCGCCTCTACTCGGTGCTGACGAGATCTGAGATTCTTTCGAGAAACAATTTTCCTTGTATATGGCATCCCAGACATCCATCCCTGCATAGCCGGTAAATCTTTCTGGATTGTCCACCAGACTGACATAGTCGCCCTTGACAGCCGCACTTTCGTCTTCCGGTACACAGTAGTCTCTCTCATCGCATTCGTCGTCGTATTCCACCACACAGCTCTCCCCTACATTTTCTCCCAACGTCCCTTGCAGCGGCTTTTGAGTTCCCCGCTCTTTCTGCAGCTGTCTGCCGGGATGTGCGGCTTTTGGTCCCTCCAATTTACTCAACTCTCCGGCTCTCCATATTTCCGGCACATCTTTTTCATCCTCCAATGTGTCCACTTTACAGGCAATGTTCCCGCACGTGCCTGTCTCGTCGTCCCAAGCTTTGACCGGGCATTTTTGATCGTACAGATTGAGCCTGTAATAGGCGAAGAAATCCGTGGATTTCGTGATGGCTTTTAGCGAAGGCGAGAGCGCATCGTTCAGGGTATCGAGGGTGGAGTAGGAGGCGCAAGCGTCAGAGACAATTGCTGTAGGGTCGATCTGGTAGAGAGCCAATTAGTAAAAGTCCACAATCCTACAGATAAGCTACTTACAGCGCAGACCTCGGCGGAGGAAGATTTGGAAGCGGTTGTGCTAGATGGTTTGGCATGGACAGATCCGAAGAGAGCAAAACAGGCAAGATAGAACCCTTTCGCAGCGGACCTCATCCTGTCGCGGAATGAATGGCACTTTCGATCAAAGACCAAAAACAGAGCTCAAAAGTATGAGATACCTTCACATGCTGGGAGAAGGATAATTCGAGTGTCAAGGCCAGTTGACTCCTTTGTTTGTAAGCAGAGGTGGCAACTCATGGAGGGAGATCCGTTGTCGATAAGAAACAAAGAACAAAAGAACACTAAACATAAGGCAGAGAACGAAGTACAGTGCAGTCAGATTTATTTCTCAGCCATTAACAATGAATGTGGCCTTTACTCGTTGATTTTTAGTCAGGAACATATAGACGCCACAGAAGCGCGCCACAGCAATTTTGCGAGTAGCCCTAAGATTGCCCGACTAGATAAGCCTCTACGGTCCAAAATTGAATACGATCGGCCAGGCATGAGCAACGGACTTGAAAGGCATTCTGTATTTTGCTATCTGGCTGTTCATGGCAGCGTATGGCATTGCTATGTACAAGCAGCGGTCATGTATTTATCTCATCATCAATCCATGCCCTGTGTTCATCGCTCCTTTCTGAGTTGAGGTTGGCGCCTGGCCAATCAAAGCAACAATCATTCTTTATGCCTTCAACCGAGCGTCGTCTAGGGCAATGAGAGCCTCAAAAGCCCCTCTGCCGTTCCAGCAGATCTCTATCTTCAGAGTCAGGCACTCCGTGTATACTGCATCTCTTTTCGCTAGTCCAGCCATTCATACTGCTCCACTCTCACACCCTTCCAACATTTTTCTCAGGACTCCCATGAGTGTTCCATTCTCCAATGCAGCCGCCACTCTTTCCTTATCCCCTAGCTGTCGATTGACCTGTTCGGCCGTACTGTGCGTACCCTCTTTGATTCTAACATCCACTCGAAACCGAGGCGGCAGAGCTTGCTCGAGCCTTACTCGCACGCCTAGGCCAATTACTGTGGCGAGGGAGCAATGCGTTATGGTAGGGGTGACGAGAACGGTAAGCGTCGTGAGTGGTGACAATGAACCCCTCTCTGGAAATGTGGGGGTGAGGAAAATATCCGGGAGATTGACGACGGAGAGTGAGCCGAGAGTTAAGGGATGTTCTGGGTCTGAGATGGGGGAAATGAGGTCTGTGCAGGCGCGGTCAGCTTCACATGCATGGAGCGAAGGATTCTCATGTCGCAATATGGCTGATCACTTCCATAGTCGTAAGATACAATGACGAGAAGAGAACTGGGCGAATACCATAAATTTCCTGCTCGTCGATTGGCTCGATATCGGCATCATCTTGGTCTGAAGCCGAAGAAGAGGAAGGTGAGAATGGGTCTGGAAGATATGCCGACGGAGGAACTATGCTCGAGAACAGGCCTTTGGGGGTGGTTGATGATGGTTGAGCGTGAGCCTGCCGCCTACGGCTTGGTAAGTCGGAGGCGTTCCTGATCGTGGGGTTGGCGTTGAGGACCTCGGCCATGTTTTAGACAGTCAATAATTCGATGGACAAATATGGAAGTTCTGAATGAAATGTCTTTTGATCTCGCGTATGTTTGTGTTATAATTGCAGCGCTTGAAGGTGGTTGTTAATGTCCAAGTGGCAATCACACAAGAATAGATCATTATGCCGAGCCTCGGGCGGAGAATTTAGTCTTTCGCTTAGACATGGACGGCTCGAACGGCTGCTAATCGATAAGGAACCTTTTTTCAAAATTCTGAGCCCTCAGTCATCGAAGGTATCTTGCCATCGCTCCATCCTCTCCATCTCAAGTGAAGCTAACGCTACCTGCATCCTTTCTCCTCTAGCAACGCTTTTTTTGTTAGGCTCATCTTGTAGCTTGCTGAAAAGAGACTTGCAGGTGCAGGACAGGTAAGGAGAAAAAAAGCACGAATGAAAGACAAAAGCATGCAAGCAATGGTGCGTGCTCCCGCAGCGGGCTGAAAATAGGTGCTCCACTGTTCCCCTATCTTCGCAATCAGCTCCCAGCGGCCCACCCCCACGGGTTGCTCCAGTGGGCGCTAGAATGTTCCAAACTTCCAATCAGGTACCGTAATGCAAGGCGTTCGGCCCCCGAAAAGCTTGTCAAGCAGTCAAACAGGCTACAGCTCCTTTTCTACTTCATCGTCCTACCCATGATGCCTGTCTGGTGAGGCGTGGACGAGGCAGATGGCAGCATTGTTATCGAACCTGCAGTTAGCCTTACCGTGAATGCGAATACGTGAAGTGAGATTGCAACTTAATGCGCCTTTTCATTCGACTCTTCATGGATCGATCCTACTAGGTAGGTACGATGGAATTGCATGTCTGGGCCCGTTGGTATGAAAAGAGGTCCGTCATCCACAATAATCGATCATGCCTGAAGACCCTTGGTCTATCATACCCGTTTGCATCATCGCATGTTGGTGGCTCCCGGACTCGCAGACGGTCCATGCCGGAGCGATCCTACCTACTTGTACGGTACCTTGGGCCATAGGCGACCTCCATCTTTTTCCAAAGTGCCCAAAAGTAGACTGTCGAAGATAATCTATTCCCTACCCGCCCATGTTGTGACTCCTCTGATATTTTCAATGTGGCAGTGAGCCTTGGTCTACCGCGTTTCTTGGCGTCTTTTTGGAGCTGTGATGATCTACTGGCGCTCTTATATCGCCTGAAGTTATCCTCGGCATCGAATCTCAAGCTATGGCCATCTTGACTGCTCCAGGAAGTGCGGAGTATGGACTTCGGCCTTTATGCAGCTCGAAGCCTTTTGATTGCTTAATGTGAACCGAGGGCATGTTAGGTCCCTTGACTTGGTAGTCGATCATGAGACAGAAAATCATTATAGAAGCGAATATATAGTATTAATCTATCTACCCGTAAATGTCAGACAGTACTTTATCTTTGAATCTTACCTGCCCATCCGGAGCAAAGGTCAGACTGCCGTTATCATCATTACTAATTGATATCTTCGGTCATGCCACATTCTGCACACTCCATAAATTCGTTTCAAATCGGCCACACGAGAATCTTCCCGAAAGATCAAGGGGATTTACTAGTAAGCGCACGACCTTGCTGCAACTCCCCGAACCTCCATTTCTCCACGCATTCATACTCGTTGTTCTACGCAAACAAATCCCCAAGCTCTTCAGCACATAAATCAGCCTGAAAATGGGAAAGCTGATGTCCTGTCAGCCTCAGATGTATACCTGAGGAACCTATAACAAGAGACCGGGTTGCACACCTGTGCGCAACGATAATTTAAATCGCGTTCCTACCTTGCGACCTTCGTCCACCTCTGGCCCTACCTCGGGATTCGAAATTCCGAGTAAAGCACCGAAGACTATTGAAATAAGAAACACACCGTCACTAAGAAGTGGCTGCTTGCTCATCTAGCAGCACGCCCTAGTCGGACAAGCGATCAACCAACACACTGCACTCGACATCCAACATACGGGTACCCCGCGCGTATCGACAAGCATAGACGATAGCATTTCGCCCACTTGGCTCGGACAGTCCGAGTGCCCTCATCCTCTCTCCTCGCACATTCACCAGTTCAGAAAGTCGTCGCACCGAATTCCCAAGCTCCCACGAACCTGCAAGGATATTGAGATCTGGACCCACCCCCCCTTCCACCGAGGACCAACATCCACTGCGACTGCGCCCACGAACCCCAACCTCACCTCAGCAATAACCCCCCTCCTTCCACAGCCAACGCATCCTCTGCTATTTATCGGTAGTTCATTTGATGTCTCCTGCTGGTCGTCGAAATTGATGGTGTGGTGTGGGGAGCTTCTAGAAGTATAGGAAATACCACCCGAAGGGCCTCCCTGCTGCCCAATCACGGAGAATCTCCCAAAAGGAGCCTTGCGTCCGAGACTGGTACCTGCATACCTGATATCATCGGATCTGCTATTTTAACATCGCTGTTGACTTCGCATTCTCAAGCGTTACACGACACGCTCTTACCTGGAGAGTCGACCAGCGACTTTCTACTTTGCCTTTCACCTTCGCGGCTGCCAGCCCCCGAACCATATGAGCTCCTCTGTCTAACGGCTGTCAGCACTTTGTAGTCAGCGCTGTGACTGTTTCGATACTCGTCGAGACAAACATTGTCAAGCTCCGTTGGAAGCCAGATCTCGATGCTGTTTTAACTCGCTGAGAAATACATCACACCTACTCTCCTCACAGCTGAAGAAATCCTACTATTGTCGCCTAACCCCACACTGCCCCCTTCTGTGTTGGTGCAAGAAGAGTCTGCTGCTCTGTGGAGGCACAATACGACATTGATAAGAGTCGGAATACATACGAAGCTTTTTCAAAAACCTTTCCGAGCGAGCACATCGGTCTCGCCATAAGCACGAGTCATGAGTGCTGGTACAGAGACCAGACCGTTGCTGCCGCAACAATACGGGAACGGGATGCAGCAAAATTACTCCTTTGCGCCTCCCAATATGGGCGTCGGCGCTGATAAGAAGAGTAAGCGAACTCTCTCGTCAAGCACGACATCGCACTCCTGTTCCCCAACTGTAGGCTGACCAAGTCTCCAGACTTTGTTTTCGTTGACGAGCACAATCGGCACAAGAGACTGAAAGGTATGTTGTCGATCATAGTTTCTGGGTTCAATTAATGCTAACTCATCATTAGTCATGAGGGCTTGTGAAGGATGTAGGAGGAGGAAGATCAAGTGCGATGCTGTCACGACTAATCAGTGGCCGTGTGCTTCCTGTGTCCGTCTCCGGGCAAATTGCATGCCTCCAACCATCAGCCATGACCGCACTCATGGAGGCGGCAGTCAGCTCCAGGGACTCGAAAGAGTCCTTGACTTCGATCAATCTGATGGCAGTGGCGAGGACGACTACAACTTCGAAGCAGGCACTTCGCAGCTCTTCGACCTACAAAATGCCTCCACACACACGCAAGGACCCTACAGCGCTGGTCTCGGACCCTTTAGTACACCGCCATTCTCCGAGAAAGCCTATAGCCAGCATGAGCTAGGATATGACGAAGTTCAACCGATGCCTTTGCAGGCATCGGACTCGTTGTATAACGCTCAAGATGTATACTACCCGCCACACAATGCTTCTCTGCCTACAGATGGTGTTAGCATCTGGAACAACGAGCACATCAACGCCACGGACCTTAGTAATCTCATGGGCGGGCTTGGTATTGCAAACGACGGCGTCGGTACGTGCGAAAATCCACCGAAGTATACAACTTTTGTCTTTCTGAGTGCACCTTGCTGATTTCGAAATAGCTAGTTACATATCTAATCAAAAAAAGGCTCTGGCTGATACTCCTGCCTACGAAGATGTCGAAATAAGGCTACCGGAGACTAAACCCTTTGGTACTGTCAGGATTCCTCAAGCGCTCATGCCGTCAAAAGAGCGATGCCTAGAATTGTTTGAGCTATTCTTCCAACAAGTACATCCGTACGTTCCTGTGCTCAGCAAGCCATACTTCTATGAGCAATGGCGACATAAACCCGAATCTATTTCGCCGCTCATTCTGGAGGCGATCTTTGCCTGTGCTGGGAGTGTGTCTTCTGATGATGATGCCGAAGGAGCTCAATGGCTTGCGTTGGCTGCCAGTAAGCCCTAATCTTCAATCTCGGGAAGTACCTGACTGATTTCGTACGCAGAGCACGAGGATTGCTTTATGGACACTCCCCGATTAAGCACACTCCAAGCCATGTTGCTGTTGTTGAAAGGCCGAGAGGCTGCTCCTAAAAGAGGTTATTATTTTCGTTCGTGGATGACTGTCAAGAAATTGGTTACCTTTGCTCTTGAGCTCAAGCTTGACAAGCATTATAGTGAGCATCAAGTCCCAGGTGGAACATGCACTTCGGACCTAACAGAATGCTTCATCAAAACACGGCTATGGCAAATAATTTTTGCTTGCGAGATGATGATTGGTGGTCCTCAAGGTGTGTATGAACAGCAACTAGAAGCCGGTGCCATGCTAAATTATGATAGGCCGGAGAGACATGCAAGTACAGCCATCGACTGTAGACCTCACTGTGCTGAAGCCTACACCTGGTCTCGATAACTCTGACTACCGCACATCACGGCAATTTACCTTCCTCGTGTCAATGATCCAGACTGTACGGCGCATGCATGATATCAAGGAAGCTTGTACCACCAATGATTGGATGTCTGACCCCAATTTCGTGGCTTTGGAGACCAAGCTCGCGCAATGGGTCGATGGACTTCCGCGAGACCTTCAAATTGACTGGCCTAAAGACGATAGCCCGCCCTGGTTACCGAGCCACTTTGTGGGGAATATGCATACATATTACCATCTGACTGTGATCATGCTTCGCAGACCCCAGCTGTCGGTCCCGGGCGCTTTTGCTGATGGTAGTTGGAAGAGGCAGATGTTGATATCTTATGCCTCGGCCAAGGCCATGTGCCGATTACAACAAGGTATCTTTAAACAATTCGGACTGCCAGGATTGATGTGCATGCAGCGCGGCATCAACTTTGTCATATATGCTGTTCTGACCTGCGCCCTCATACATTTGGTAAGGCTAAGCTGATCACTGGAGGGTAACCTGCGGTCGTTAACATCGCGTTAGGTGGCCATCACCTCACCGGATCCAGAGCTCAACACTGACGCAAGGGACTATTTTGCGCGGCACATGCGCATACTCGAACAGTGCATGGAAGCTTGGCCCATGCCAGAAATGCAGATGCAGGTTAACCAGCTCAGAGAAGCGTTTTCCGCAGATGTTAACAGGCCCTTTGAGTTGAAAAGGGGATTTCCTTTTGAAAGTCCAAGCCCAAGTGCAGGAGGGCTACAGCCCAGTCCCCCCCTTGATACAAATATACAGCATCCCATGCTGACTCGCCATGAATCCCTCGGGCATCAAACCCAGATGCCATACCACACAGCGCCGATCACCCCACCCATCTCGTCGGCTGGCTTGAGCTTCGAGGACTCCAAGGATGGTCTCCTAATGTCTGGCTCGATGCAGATGATGGCAAGCAGTCAGCAGCAATCCATGCCAATGCATACCACGCCAATGAGTATTGGGCAGGAATGGAACCCTACTCCCATTATCGCGTACGTATCTGGCGCCCCAAAGCTTCAGCTCATGCTGACGGAAGTAATAGTCAGTGGAACAATGCATTCGGACCGGCGGCCGATTCGACAGTGCAGAGTAATATATCTATACCTCAACAGTCTCCACAAATGTATACTCCCTCAAGTTCTTCTCAACCGTCTCACACCTTCTACCAGCAACCGGCGTCCTATCCCGTGCACTCAAGCATGCCATCTTTATCCAGGCATCAAACAGCGCCACAGTTGCCTGTCTATACGGCTCCAGCGCCTTCCTTCGTCACATCAAGCATGTGGCGAGATACCGTCGCTAGCACATATGATCCTGCCGGAAACAAGCGACGCTGGGACTTGGAAGAGAACGGGACGTTCCAGATGGACAATCCTATCCAGAAAAAGAGGTCGAAATAGACCGAGGATGAGGCAACACTATATCTCGGCGTCGGCTGGCTGTACCAAAATGGGGACGCGAGGCATTCTTTGGTTGGTTACGCTTCTCTACGAGCTCACGAATTCACGTGGCCAATATTTTAATAAGCGATGATCTGAGCCCTTCTTGTTGCTACATATTTGCATATCTTGCCCGGACATACTTGTACACCACATATTCTGCTTCTTCATGTCTTTCTTTGTGATATCCTCTGAGCGCAGGCTGAATTGATTGGTCGGAGGTGGTAAAAAAGACTCAACCTTACTCTTGGAACGATTCGAAATGACGCGATGGAATATGATGGGAATTAGCAAGCATACAGTTGGACTTAAACGATAGTTGTTTAAATCAAGTACATATATAACCTCAGAGAGTCGTGGACGAGGATATCTTTGCAAGTAATTGGGGTATCTAAGATATGTAATGGGAGAGCTTCTTTGCAGTCGCCATATTCTGACTTTTCAAAAGTTTCATCTAGAGCAGATTCAAAGAATTCTCCGGACCAGCGCTGTTCTACCTCGTGCATTCCCATACCTGACTCTCCTGTCATGCGAACAGACAGCCAAGTATAGAAGTCTCGTAATTCGGCCCTCACTGTGTCTTCGCATAGACCACGTATCTCTTCCGTTCCATCAGATCCCTCATCCTCTATCCCTATCCCCACCACCAATCCGCTCCAGAGCCTGTGTGCACAAGGTCAGCCTGCACCGTCCCACGCACTTTTCCCACCCGCGCAGAGCTCCAACATACCTCTAGCATAACCACCGAATTACCTCTTATGACCTGCCCCCACAATCAGCCAAACCCATCCCCCAAGAATCTGCCTCCGCGCGACCCTCGATGTAGGTGTAGCTAGGTGACGTACCACCATCCCGATCCTCACTTTCTCCCCTCCAGCCTTCTCTTCTACCGCTTCGTCCAGGACGATATTGAGGAAGACCTGCAACGGCACCGAATGTCAGAACGTCTATACCGCAGTCTTGAGGCATCACGGAGGAGATAGGGCGCGTGGGAGAGGAGGTAGGAGCGACGTACATCGTAACCGCGCAGGACTCCGAGGACTTTTCGGCTGCCGTTGAGTTGCACGAAGAGGCGCTTGTCGAGGTACTGGGGACACAGTTAACGAGGGCTGTAGATGGGGCACGGTCGGGTGAAGGGATCCTACCTTTTTGAGCTCGGGCTGAGCTTGAGGCATGGTGAAGGTGGTTGTGGATATTCTTCGAAGCTGGAGCTGTGAACGTGGAGAAGCTTTTGATGCCAAGGGGTAGGGCTGCGCTAATGGGGCCTTTGATGTTGAGGGACTGTGACTTCACTTTCGACTCGCGGGTCAAGCAACATCTAAACCTGCTCCTTGGGAGAGGTATCACCCTTGGAAAAAGCGCAATTGTCCGAGAGAGATCCATTACACCGGTAGAAGTTTGGGGTCTTGCACATTTCCGCACCATGAGGTCCTCATTCGGCGCCAGGCGCCAGGCTCGAAAGGTTGGGCAAGAAGAAGATGAAGACCTGAAGGATACGCGGCCTGGATTAGGAAGCCAGGACCAAGGTAAGAGTCCCACTCCCAGCTTTTCAGCACAGTTTTCTAATGTGTCCGTGCGAACAAACAGGCTGACTGCCTCATCAGAAAACACCCCTACCGTCATACGTCCCTCAATCGCCTCTCGTGGTTCCTCAAAAACCAGGAAGCAGTCGTCTGCTAGAGTATCATTCGGACCTGGTGGTACTTCTATGACCGAAGATGATGACAGTGGTGGACCTGCAGTCTTCACGCCCAAGAAATCTAGCCTGAGCCGACAAGCCGTTGAGAAGAACGCCCTTCGAAAGACCATAGCGAACAATCTCTCATCAGAACATCTCGGCTTCAGGCAAACAGAGGACAGGCCAAGCTACAGTGCTGATCACCTCAATGAGCTCAAGACTTCCACGCCCTCTACACCTAAAAATCTACGCTCCCAATCCGACGTCAACGACGAAGATGGCAAAGCGCTCGATCTAGCCTCCAAATTCGGCTCAGATCTCGCATACCAAGAATCAAGCTCCGCCATCCCTACGGATGCTGAGGTCCGCGAAAAGAAAGCACGGCGTGCTCGTCTGGCCAAGGAGCAAGATTTCATCGGCCTCAGCGATGAGGATGCGCAGGACCAAGAAGACTCCGACGGCGAGAGATCGCTCTTACCTTATGCGAAACAAAAGCCATCGAAGAAGGAAGAAACGCGCCTAGTCCGTGATGACGAGGACATAGCAGAAGGCTTCGACGAGTTTGTCTCGGATGGGCGTATTGCACTGGGCAAGAAAGCGGAACGGGAGCAGAAACAACGACAGGAGGCCGAAATGCGAGATTTGATCAATGAAGCCGAAGGAGGCAATGACTCCGCGGATTCCGAAGATGACGACAGTGAAGCTGAGCGCCATGCCGCCTACGAAGCCGCGCAAACTCGAAAAGGCATGGATGGACTCAGAAGAGACGAACAAGGTACAAGACCTAGGCGACCAAGAACACCACCGCGGATCACGCCTTTGCCTACGTTGACCGGATGTTTAGAAAAGCTGAGGCAGAGGCTGGCAGGCATGGAATATGCGCGGATGCAGAAGGTTCGGCAATTAGAGGAAATCAAGAAGGAGAAGGAAGATATCAGAGTTAGGGAAGGGGAGATCCAGCAATTACTAAAAGAGACTGGGGAACGATATGAGAAGCTGAGGAAGGAGGCTGAAATGAGCGGGGAAGACCGTCCGCCTGATGGGCTGAGTCCAGGTGGAGGACTCGGGTCAGGAGCAAGTATGGTATCGATGGCGGGAATAGAGTCCGATAGTGCGAAACCATCCGGGCTTTTGAAAATGGCTTGGGAACGATGAGCCAAACCCCAGTCCTGCGCAACAGACACCGGAGACCAAAGCCCCTCCACCAACAAGCGACTCCCCACCCGCACCTGCAGGAGCCTCCCAGCCACTGCTCGCATGCACGCGTCAAAGGCAACCGGCGCGCGAGCCCTACGTACGCCGAGAAGAGAGGGAAGCCAGCAGATACGAGCTCGGCCGAGCACTTGGATACCCTGCGTACATAGACAACGCACATCGATGCTGAATATCGCAGAAGCCTGTTTCATGACCGTCATGCGTGCTGGGTCTCGTAGTCCGCCTATCTTTTGTAATTTGAAAGGGAAACTTCTTGTATCTGTTTCTCAAGCCCTGCGAGACGATTTGCTCCCTGTCTGTGGATGTATATACTCTTACACTACGCCTGCATCAGCATGATTATGTTGACAACATCTCGAAATCCTCCGCGAACAATGTACATAGACTTCCAGTACGCCCATGCATACCATCCCCGATCACATCGTCCCCTCTCAAACCACAAACCCAATCTCGTCCCTCCTATCGTCCGTCAACCGGCCCCACTCCAACAACAGCCTGAACATATAAATCTCCATATCCACCTTCCTCAGCACCTTACCCGCCCACTCCCTCCCCGCCTCCGCAATCATCGCTCCAGCCTTCACGTTCCCCTCGGTCATCCCGCCCCCCGCGCCCGCGGCCCCACCCGCCGTCCCCGCGAAAAACGCCAGCGTGGACAAGAGCCCGTGCAAGCGCACGTCCACGGGGACGAAGTGCTTCCACGCCGTCAGTCGGCCGTCCCACCAGCTCCGGAAGATGGCGGCGCGGAAGGGCAGACTGCCGCTCTGGAGGAAGGGCAGGAAGCGGCCGGAGAAGCCGGCGCCGTCGACGTCCATGAGGTAGCGGTAGCGCCAGTGGTCTTGGAAGTCGGTCGGGGGCGCGAAGCCGAACTCGGCGTCTTGCGCCGCGCCGTCGTTGTCCCAGGCGCGGGCGATGCCGTCGACGATGGAGATGTCGAGGGAGAGGTTGAGCGCGGCGATGGGGTTTGAGTGGGCGAGGGTCTGGTATGTGTATTTGCCCTGGGCATTCGGGAGGAGGACGGGCAGGGTCGGAGAGCGGATGGTTGGGACGGCGGTGAGGTTGTTGGCGAGGTGGACGAGACGTTGCCGAGTCATACCTTTCCAGGTGCCGTGGCGGGAGACGCCTTCGGAGGTGGCGCCGCGCCAGAAGAGGGTGTTTTCTTTTTCGGGAAAAGGGGGGTCCGGATGTTCGTCCGACGCGCTGTAGTCGATTTTGTCTATGTAGTTCCATGGAGAGGGGTAGAGTATATCAGCGTAGCCGTGGACTTTGCTCTGGGAGAAGATGGGGAGAAGCCGATGGGAGGGCTTGAAGGCCGCGGGGCTGAGGTAGAAGCCGTGGAGATTGCGAAGGTCAGGTTGATGGCAGGGGGAGGCGGAGAGGGTCCAGTTGCTTAGAAAAACGCCATGGGAGTGAGGTGCGGCACACGATGTGCAGAGGTTTCTACTGTCCCAGGTTGTTGCTCGTTGAGCAGGAGAGGAGGGAGGGCAGGCTGCGGTGCTTGTGGAGAAAGCGTTGGTGCGGGAGCGATCTTCAAATGGCCGCGTAGAACCCAAGTCTTCTGGTATATGCCAGGTCGCAACTCGATCAGCGCTCCAACTGTGTTGTACCGTTTTGCGAAGGTGCTTGGGAGATCCGATAGCAAGGCCTCGAAGTTTTTGCATCTCTTTGTAAGGAACTGCCACCCTTGGCTCATCGTTGAGGTTGAACGTCACAACCATGTCGGGCAGGTAACTTGAGAAGTCCTTCACTAGGTTTATTACGCCATCGAGCATCCATCGGTGGGTGGGCAGAAAGTCGGGCCCTAGTCCAGCGTGTCCGTTTCGGATTATTATTTCAGAAACCTCGTTCCATGGATCAGAAATCACTTGCTGAGTGCGCAGCCTTATCTCAGCAGGCGAGATACCCCAGAATGGTAGCAGGTCTTCCATCATAGTATCGTAGTCGTCGATTACAACAGAGTTCCTCGCTGTTGCGTAACGATGCCATGCGTCAAACCCTGGAGGCGGATGGCGCTGATAGCGGCGCTGATATTCTTGGACGCACTCGGCGAGATTCATGCTGACAGAAGCCTGATTTGCCCAGTCGTTCGATTGTTTCTCGGCTTTACTTATTAGCCAGTCAATCGGATGAGCGACAAGTTCTTGAGTTTGGAGATCGTAAGACCAGCCAAGGAATAAAACTAGGAGGACTAATATGGAGGATATGGACAAAGGCATCCGCCGGCTTAGACGTTGTGAAGGTTGGCCTCGTCCGGTTCCAGGTACTGCTTCGGCATGTACATATAGCACAGCACCAAGGAGAAATAGACCAAGAAATGCGATCAATGGCATCATTCCGGTAGGAGGCAATACATTCCGGTTAGTCGAAGCGAAGGCAAGTCCAGTACAATAAATACAGATGCACAATATGAACGTTGTAAGGTGCAACAAACCATGAGTCATCGACTATGCTCGGTCAGTACCTTCCGCATTCCACCATGATATTTCACATACAATATGAAGCGCGGCGACGACTGTTAGCGAAGACAAGGCTGCTTGCCAAGCTAGACTGCCAGTATACGAGAAATCGACGCCAAACAATTCTACCCAGTAGACTTGGTTGATACCGAGTGCGAAGATACCGCCGATGAGCAAGACCACGGAGGAAAGCTATGAGATTTTAGCACTAAGAACCGTTCGGATCATACAACGATGTCGAAATTACCAAAAAGATGGAACCCACGACCACCGAGGGATTTTCGCTCGTCGGGGATGCGTCCACTTTTGCTGTACTTGCGACCCCCGAGATAGCGACTAAAACATAGCAATCGAGGAGGATTGACAGAACCTGCATGGCAGGAATGCCAGTGTTCGCGCTGGAAGAGAGCGGACAGATGTAAGTGGATTTGGGAGCACCCATTACAGATGCCCTGACAGTGTACGCAGCTGTCAAGAAAGCAGCTGGCCAGAGCTTTCGAAGAGTTCTTCCATTCGCGCGGGATGCATGGTCGAATTCTGGCCGCCTGCGCTGAATGTACCAATAGTCGTAAATAGCAAGAAGCAAAGGTAGATAACCCTGGGAGAAATCAGCATGCATTGGGTTCAAAATGACGGATGTCTTACCTCAACAGAGTTCATTGAACATTGTGCATTATCGAAGATCAAACCAGAAAGTAGGACCCGTAAAGAAATAGCAATGGCCGTGGAGATAACGACTATTCTCCTTGAGCGAGGCTGAGTGGCGCTGAACTGCCCAGAACGAGATTCGTTGGAGTCTTTACGTGAGTCTTTACGTCCATTGGAAACAGGGCTCTCTTGCAAAGGCAAGTCGAATGTTTTTGTACCAGAAGCAGAAGAAGAAGAAAATGATATGAAATAGGCTATCTGGTTGCGCAACAAGAAGAAGCTGACTCCCAGTATGGACAGAAGGACGATAGAAGATTGAACAGGCCGTGCTGGCTTTGATCAGCTTGTGAGAAGCAGCCGTTTCGACCACATTTTCCTACCTAATAAAGATGATTGCTCATATGTTACAGATGTAATGATGGTGCTAAGCAAAACGGCGCTGAAACATGGATTAGCTCTGTTGATATTCCCAAACCTGGCTTGAGTAGGGCGATACTAACCCATGGGAGAGCGCACTAGCCTTGCTCAGCATCGAGCCGGCTCTAAAAGATGTCTCAACAGCGACAACCCTTGCATGAAAATGAAGAATGTAAGGAGGGGCCCAGACTTTGATAATGCCAAGATGCCAAGCCAAGATGCCAAGGTGGCTGTTGCGGGAGCCATGCGGCTGGAAAAGCTTAGCATAACGGGTAAACTTACAAATCCCTGATCCCTGAAGATATCAAAAAGTTTTACCGGATTTCTTCCGAAGCCATTTTCGTGCCCACATCAAAATGAAGCGACTTATGTTCCTGGAATACGGATCAGATGATTAATGGTTGAACGTGATTGATACTCTGCACGTATCTGTGCCCCTGAGCTTCGCTTACTGGGGAGTTGCAGCCCAAATCCGGCAAGGATGCCTCGAAAAGCGGTGTATGCCCATCTCCATGCTGTTGAAGGCGAGAATTCGAAGCTGACGATTCAAAGTGACTCGCGCATCCCCGCTTTGATTCGTAATGCGGTACAGGTACGTCTGCTTATGTGACCACCAAAGTATAGTCAGCTCAAACTGACTGAACTTGCGCTTAGGAGAAAAAACGAAGCTTTTTCGTCGTCGTGGGAGACCGAGCGAAAGATGTCATCGTCCACCTACACTACATCCTCTCGAGTGTCGACATCAAGCAAAACAAGTCCGTTCTATGGGCGTACAAGAAAGACCTTTTGGGATTTACAAGCCATCGAAAGAAGCGAGAGAACAAGATCAAGAAAGAGATCAAGCGAGGCATTCGGGAAGCGAACACCGAGGACCCATTCGAACTCTTCCTTACGCTGCACAACATAAGATATGTCTACTACAAAGAGACAGAAAAGATATTGGGGAACACTTTCGGCATGTGTATACTACAGGACTTCGAAGCTATTACGCCCAACCTACTTGCGCGGACAATTGAGACCGTGGAAGGGGGCGGCATGGTTCTCTTGCTCCTGAAGGGAATGACCAGTCTTAAACAGCTTTATACCTTGTCAATGGATATTCACTCTAGATACCGGACCGAGGCACATGACGATGTGGTTGCCCGCTTTAACGAACGCTTCGTGCTCTCGTTGGGCAGTTGCGATTCTTGCTTGTTCGTAGACGATGAGCTCAATGTCCTGCCTATATCTGGAGGTAAGAACGTCAAACCATTGCCTCCGCCAAATCCAGAAGACGAAGGCAACACAAAAGCCAGGAGAGAACTCGACAGTATTAAAGAGAGCTTAGTGGATACCCAGCCTGTCGGCTCTTTGGTCAAGATAGCGAAAACGGTAGACCAAGCAAAAGCGCTTCTAACATTTGTGGATGCGATTGCTGAAAAGGCTCTGAGAAGTACTGTCACTTTGACAGCAGCGAGAGGACGAGGAAAGTCCGCCGCTCTTGGGGTAGCAATCGCAGCAGCTATAGCACATGGATATAGCAATATCTTCATAACGTCTCCTAGTCCTGAGAACCTTAAAACATTGTTTGAATTCGTCTTCAAGGGTTTTGACGCCCTCAACTATCTGGATCATGTTGACTATACTATCATCCAGTCGACTAATCCAGACTTCAACAAAGCCATTGTACGAGTGAATGTCCACCGACAACACAGACAGACCATACAGTACATCCAACCTCAAGACGCGTATACTCTGGGCCAAGCAGAGTTGGTTGTGATTGACGAGGCCGCAGCCATACCTCTTCCTCTGGTCAGGAAGCTGTTGGGTCCATATCTCGTCTTCATGGCCTCAACCATCAACGGCTACGAAGGCACAGGCAGATCACTGTCTCTCAAACTAATACAGCAACTACGAGATCAGTCTCGAGGAAGCTCCAAGCTGAACAGTGCAGAAGATGCAGAGATAGCTGATCGATCGACTGGCAAAGCTGCAGCCAACGGCGACAATGCTTCCAGCAGGGGTCGATCATTACGAGAGATCACTCTTACAGAACCCATACGATATTCCCAGGGAGACTCAATTGAAAAGTGGTTGAACAAAGTCCTCTGTCTCGATGCTACCCTTCCAAACTCGAACCTCAATACCCAAGGGTGTCCTCATCCCTCCAAGTGCGAATTGTTACACGTCAATCGAGACACCCTGTTCTCTTTTCACCCTGTCTCCGAGAAATTCCTCCAGCAGATGATAGCATTGTACGTTGCAAGCCACTACAAGAACTCTCCAAACGACCTTCAGTTGATGAGCGATGCTCCGGCCCATCAGTTATTTGTCCTCGTTCCTCCAGTGGATGACGATAGCTCGAGGTTACCGGAGCCACTGTGCGTAATACAAGTGGCCTTAGAAGGCCAGATCAGCAAGCAAAGCGTCTTAAGCAGCTTGAGTCGCGGTCAAAGAGCAGGTGGCGACTTAATACCATGGCTGGTCAGCCAACAATTCCAGGACGAGGAATTTGCTGGACTATCTGGAGCTCGGATAGTCCGAATCGCCACCAACCCAGAGTACACTAACATGGGCTACGGCAGCCGCGCCCTCACCCTCCTCACAGATTTCTACGAAGGCAAATTTGCCAATCTCTCTGAAGCCGAACGCACCGAAGCAGAATCCATCGTCCGCGTTACGGACGCTGAACTCGAATCTTCAACTCTTCAATCTGATAATGTCAAAGTCCGCGACATAAACAACATGCCAGCTCTCTTCTCTCGCCTTTCTGAACGCCGTCCTCAGGCTCTGGACTACCTAGGCGTCTCCTTCGGCCTCACACCACCCCTCCACAAGTTCTGGAAACGCGCCTCCTTCGCCCCAGTCTACTTACGCCAAACAGCCAACGAGCTCACAGGCGAGCACTCCTGCGTTATGATACGCACACTCTCCAACAATAGCGGCAACACCGACAACGCCTGGCTTGGAGCCTACGCTCGAGACTTCCACAAACGCTTCCTTTCTCTTCTCTCTTTCCAATTCCGTGCGTTCCCTTCTATACTCGCGCTCTCGATCATCGAGTCTGCCAACGGAGGCGCAAAGCTTGACGCCTCATACACCATCCAACCTCTCACCAAATCCGAGCTTGACGATTCTTTCTCACCATTCGACCTCAAGCGTCTAGACAGCTACGCAAATAATATGCTCGACTACCACGTCATCCTCGACATGATACCGCCCATCGCGCACTTTCACTTTACAAACAGGTTGAAGTCTGCCGTCAGTCTGACAGGCGTACAATCAAGCATCCTGCTTGCGATTGGCCTGCAAAGGAAGGTACTAGAGGATGTGGAGAAGGAGCTCGGGTTGCCATCTAGTCAACTACTGGCCATGTTCGTGAAGATCGTTCGTAAAGTATCATCTCACTTCCGCCGACTCCTCGAAGGTGCAGTCGTAGAAACGATGCCTCAATCTGCTCCTGCCGCCGAAGACGACGGCGTCGACGGTAAAAAAGTGGAAAGCTTCGCACCTCTCAAGTCGAACCTAGACGACGAACTTCGCGAAGGAGGCGAAGACGTCGATAAAGAGCTCAAAGAGAAACAACGAGCGCTCATCGACGCCCTGCCACTCGACAAATATGAGATTGAGACTGGCGGCGCCGGCTGGGAAGAAGCAGAAAAGCAAGTCAAGCGCGCTCAGGCTAGAGGCGGGGCGAAGGAGGTGACTGTGAGTGTGAAGTCGGATAGGAAGGATAAGAAGAGGAAGGGGGAGACGGCAGAGGATGTGTATAGGGAGGAAATTGGGGATAAGGAGGCAAAGAGGTTGAAGAAGGGGATGAGGAAGGTTAAATAGTTTCAGTGGCTGACCTTCTCTGGGGAACCACGATCTTCAAACATGTACAAGAGAACCGCGAGATACTTTGCCACAGGTCCAATCAATACAAGGGTAACATCGCAAAAATGCACCCAGTGAAAATGAAACCGTTTTTAGAAACAAGCAGGTCAAAGTACAGAAAGAGACGTGATACAGCCAACATAACCGGAACCATCCCCATAAACAGTCACATCACGAACCACCATGAAATGCATTCACAAGCACTTTGTCTTTCAACAACTTCACAGCCTCAGCTGTGAGACATCTAACACACAAAACGACGACGATGTCCTCTCGCGCCCCATCACTCGCCCCATCCACCCCGCCAGCTCACAGCCCACCAACCCCCTCCCCCCTCAAGTCCACGCCCCCACCAACAAGCCCACGCAAAGGGCGGTCCCAGCCACCGCCAGGAAAAGAACCGTCACCTTATACACCAGCGCCCACTTGATCCTCCGAGCCACGACGCGGGCCCGCTGCCCTCCGTCCGCCATCTCGAGCTGCGCGCTGTCTAGCACGGCACGAACGAGGTCAGCAAGGGTCTCACAAGATAAGCGGAGGGAGGAAGTAAGGAAATCAAGGAATAAGTAAGTAGATAAGCGGCGGACATACCCTCCACAGCCACCTCACTCGCCCGTTCCACACGGACCAACGTCTCCATAACCGTCAGCGGACCCTGCGCCGCTCCGCCCCGCTCGAACGACGACGGCACGCTCGGGCCTTCTTCTCCGCCGCCGTCGTCGTTGTCGTTGTCGAGGATCTCGGCGCCGCCGAAGAAGAGGACGTCTTCTTCGCGGTCGCTGACGGCGCGGAGGTCGGGGTGCTGCTCCAGGTCCGGGGTGTTGGCGCGGGTGGGGCCGGCGGAGGAGGAGGAGGAGGAGCGGACGGGGGAGGCGTCGCCTGGGGGGTGAGGTTTGGCGGCGTTAGTTGAGGCTTTGAGGCGGACGTGACGTGAGCGCGCGTGGTGAGACGGGCAAAGTTGGGGGAGGGGTGAGGAGGTTTGTCCTGGCTTGTAGGACGCGTCTTGTGGTAGGGAGTAGAATGAGGTAGGGGTACGTACAGGTGGGGAGCTCAGCTGCGGACGCGAAGGGAGATTCGGCCGGCATGATGCCTGGCTTCTAGATCTTCCGGTTTGGTGAGTTGTTGTGGCGGTGACGGAGACCCTGCTGGTTACTCACGCGTAAGCATCGTATCATATATATATATGATATATAGTTGCGGTGTTCGCTGTGGATGTGGATGTGGGTGGTGAGGTTTGTGACAGGCCTCGCTCAAAACAGCATGAGGAGGATGACAGAAAGCCGAGCATTGCTCGGCGCAGATCACTCGGAGGACTAGAGGGACACTTACAAGTTGCTGTTTCGAGCGATAGCTATCAGAATTTGATGATTTGAGCACCGGGTCGAACGTGTAGTTGAGGACGCAAAGGTAGAAAGGGGTGACGGTGAGGTTTTGGGAAGTCCGTTCGTGTGAACATTTGTTTATGCTACCCGCTTTTAGCGCCCTTTGAGGCTGGCTCTTGTCTAGAAGCTTCCGAGCATTCAGCAAGCATGAGAGGGCTCTGTTCAAGCATCCGGAGACCTATGATTGAGTCTGGATCCAGGGCACGCAAGTGGCCAGGCACAGCAGCACGGTCGAAGGATCACAAGGGCTGTAAATCTCTGGCTCTTCACCTCGCCTGCTGTCATTGCCTTGCCAGTCAACTGAATCTAGGCTGTGCAATGAACGATGGACCATCAAAGTCACCCAAAGCAATATTTTCATAGATCTCTAGCTTTGGGCATAAGGCATTGGGCAAAATATGCAAAAGAGCAGGCAAGGCACGGATGTCATAAAGCATTTGCGAGCAGTACTGGGTCAGCAAGACCACTCAAGCTGTAGCCGCATGGTTTTCTGGCGCAGGGCTCGAATCAATGGAGGGACACCCACCAGAGCAAGCAGGGCATGCATATCATCAACAACATGCAAGCAGGACTGGCCCGAACAATGAAGCCTGCTGTGAGTAACGGCTCTATTTTGCTGTGCGAATGCCTTGTGACTTTTTCGAATGCGTGCATAGATCAATATTCCAAGTAGCATATGCCAACGTAGAGTGCAAATCTGGCACCCCAAGTAGAACATTTGGCTCCAATTCGCGGAAGGAGATGAAAGAGCTTACTTCCAAAGCATTCTATCCATTCCAACACTGGTCGTAGACACATGACTGTTTGGATGTCTCTCCTAAACCGAAATCGCTCAAAGACCCCTATCTCTGTCTGATGTTGCGATGCCCTAAGCATCTAAGCCCTTGTCGCCTGCGCTATGCATGGCATGCCCATTTCGAAGCGTAAAATCGCAGAAGAATTCGCTCAAACTCTCACATATCGACTTCAAGAGCTGCTCTTCTTCGGCTCAGGAAGTGGCCTTGGGCGTACCCGGTTGCGCAAGGAGTATTTGAGGCCTGCCCTCACTGTCTTATACCTTGCCTCTTGAGGATGATAGTCAGCCACAACTTCGAAAACACAGGAGCCTTTCGGTCCTTTCAGCTCAACATCCCCGCGAACGACGAAAGTCCCTCGTTCTCCAAATGCACCAGGAGGATGCCAATTCTTTGCTAGGGTCCGCTTGAACTCCATTATAGCAGGACCTATATCTGAATCTGGTTGTAGTAAAGATGGCAGCGATCCGTATATTTTGGAACCGTCCGAGGATGTTAACTTTGCCGAGCCCTTGGTGCTACCCACATCGGACTTAGGGTCAGACATCTTGTCCATTTGGGCACGATTTTGAGTCTCCTGTTTCGAGCTGTTCTCCCGAAGCTGATCAACTGTTACGGCCCCCACAGGTAATTGCGGGCTGGTATTTGATGATGTCGGGCCAATGTTGAGAAATTGTTTGAGCCTGGCTAGTTGCAAAGAGCAGTAGGTACTGTAACTTGCCCACAACGATTTTACGGCTGGTAAAGGCTTGAGCGCTGAATTTAGACGAGCTACTTGCAAAGCAGAGACTGGTCTAGTGGTCCATGCAATGTAGTCATCAGCGATCTCCAAGCTACTCGCGCGTCAGCTCGTAGTCCATCTCGATTTCCTCCAACGAGAGGTCTAGCATACCCTGATCGATCATACTCTGGTGCTGGGCCATCTGGGTAAACGATGTCCAGCCAGACCCTCCCCAATTTCATGGGTACCCCAATTTGTCTCTGTAAGACTTTGTGGCCAGCGAAACTAGAACAGACGGTGTCTGCCAATTCCCCTAACACAGCATTAGGTGTAAGTGTCGATAACGTGAGGAAGTGAACGTACTTCGAACCGCCGTTGGTCTTTCACGATCCCTTCCGAACTCCACAAAGCTCTGCCATTCCGGATCGCTAGCTTTATAGTGCGTATGCGGACGTTGGCGAACAAACCCTAATGGAACAAAGAATGCGTCTTCTGGCATAGTTTCAGGGACTTGGACGTCGTCTTCATCAACCTTGCCATCTTCTCGTGCGCCGTCCTTTGCTTTATCGCCATCTTCTGGTTGCATCTTGGAGGGGGCGCCAGCCTTGTCCACCGTCTCTTCTTCTTCGACATCCACATATCTCAATTGATAGTAGCTCACCGCTGAGACAATGGCGATCTGGTAGAAGAGCCTCTTCGAATGCCTTGAACTCTCATCAGCATCGCTACTGTAAAAGCGTCCCAGGGCTGCTTGTGGGCCTACCTTCGGAGGTTGCTCTTGAATCGCACTGGCTGTATCGTGGTGTCACCATTATGCCGCAGTAAAGAGTGTTGGGAGCGTGTAAGAGGGCGAGAGAAGCTGGATGGACGAGTGAGGACGGAGAGAGTCCGCAGGGATTTGGACATGAGTAAGAGAGTGGGCAAAGCTCGTTGCCGTGAAACAGCGTTGCTCCGATGCAGCGAGCACCTCAGTCTAAGATGGGAGTTACATAAATCTCACAACAGACATTAAGAAATGAGGGTGATGTATTGCACGATGTAACACTGTTGAGGCGGTCTACAGATATAATTGTTCACGCTTCTCCGAGGCTCTTACTCTCCTGCCTACCTACCATCCTACCATCTGATGTTTGGAAGGCTGAGAATTTAACGTATCCGAAGTTTACCCGAAAAGTCTATCACCACATCTTGCGGAAATGTTATACTGACTATATACTCTCGAGCCACGATCCAATATGAAAGCGCTTGCAGGCCTCTTTTGGGCCAGCGCTGCCTTTGAAGCATACACTGTCGCAGGAGGGGCCCTTGTATACACTTCTGAATCTTGGTCACACCAAGCGGTAGCGGAGCCGCCTTCCATATCTCCTCATACAGCACGACTACTACTCGCTCAGCGATTAGGATTGTCTCAGTATCACAGCCTCCAAAATGCCGACGAGTCGACTCTCGCTATCCTAAACACATACGGAGGGGAAAAACGACATATCTTTGCGCGTGAGGAAAAGTCCCAAGGCGCTGAGAAGCTCCTGCTTGTTGTGGAGGGCGTTGACGAAGGTAACCTCTGACCACCAGAGGTCGTTATTAAACATTTTAACTGATTTTCGTTATTAGATGTCTTCGGTCAATCAGTTGTTCCTGCCTTCAAGATAGACCCGCAACCTTCAAGTTTACAAAACCTGGAACTGGCTATTGATTTGCTTAATCAAGACCGGGAAAGCAAGCACAAGGGGCAGAACCCATGTTACTTTGAGGTTCCAGGACTCTCGTCCCTTCGAGGTGGACTCAGTAGCCTTCGCCTGGTAAGCCGACTTCGATGCAGGGCCGCAATATGGAGTTGACACTATGGCCCAGGAAAGTCGTGATTGCGAGGGTTGGTATAACAGTTTGAATCATGACGACAGTGGAGCATTGCGACAACCCACTTTGTCTGCGTTCAACGTTGGTCGCGAAACTTTTAATATTGGATCAGATGGACAGACGACCGTTCTCCACATATCGTCCCTTCAGGTGCGCTTCCCACAGACTCCCAACAGAAATTCGTCGATCAATCGTGACTAACAAAACAACCATCAGGGACTCACTCCTAAGGATGGTGACCGCTACCACTCAACACTCTCTGACGTCAGAACTTTCATCGGTGATCTGCTCCGCAATAGCGGATCAATCTCGTCCACGATAGTCCTCATGCCTTTTACCCCACAGAACTCCAAGCGCAGCGTCAATTCTCTCTACGGCTCTTATAATAAGCCCCCCTCCGCTCGCCAGCAACAACCCGAAGAACCACTCTCCTCCCCATCCACCGCCTCCTCTCCCTCCTCCCCCGAGGTTGTGCCTCTCCAGGCATCCACCTCCCCACTTCCTCACGGCATCCTCCCAATCTGCCACCCAACTCTTCAATCCTGCATCGCCACGACCAACAACTGCTCTGGCCATGGCACCGCTTACAAGAAGTCCGGCGGCGCTATCGATTGTTTTGCCTGCAAATGTTCCAAGACGGTACTCACAGATGACGAGGGAAGGGTGAAGACTGTGTACTGGGGTGGGCCCGCTTGCCAAAAGAAGGATATCAGTGTACCATTCTTCCTGTTGGCTGGACTCTCGATTGCTCTTGTTGGTGTGGTGACCTGGGGTATTGGGTTGATGGCCAGCATTGGCCAAGAGGAGCTACCAAGTGTGATAGGAGCTGGTGTGGCAGGACCTAGGGCACAGAAATAGAATTACATGGGTTTGTGGGACGAGAGGAATGTACAGCAGCTGTGTATGGGTTATTGGCGTTGGCAAGTGTATGTCAATTACCTACTTTTACTGTGATAAATTGTCTGGCCATTCTGTTGGGGCACCTGGTCTTCGCGGCCAACTACTATGGCTACCTAAGATGTGCTCCAATGGCATTGATGAATTTTCGATCGCTATCTTCTAATAGAGGCAAAGTGCAGTTGTCTCGCTGCTGTTCACTGTATTGGATGTAGGTGGGAGAACGACTTCGGGCGTTGGTAGTTGGGTTTCACATCCAGCCCCAACCAGCTCTCCCAAGTCTTCAAGATCAACCCATCAAACCCCTAGTGAGCAATCAATATTCAAGTGGATCTCATTGTTCTGTATCTATCCTCTCGTCAGTAGCCTTGTCGAGCCACCCCCAAGCCTTATCTAGCGTATAATACAGTTCCCCCGTATCGAATATCCTCCTTATAGAGCACGTAAATCCTCGCTGATGCCAAGTTGCTTAGAGATTGCCAAATGTGGCAGAGTGGAGTATCTTCGAACAGAAAAGCAAAGCGCATCAAGCAATCATCGGACTCTGCGAATCCACCACTGCTGGTGGCGGACTGACGGCCGGAGGGGGTGCTGGTACCTATTTCTCCTGTCAACACAAACACGTTGGGAAAAGTGGGAAGACAAAGTATCCGTACATCCAGCCGCGTGTTCTCCGCCATCATTCTTTGTATACCTATCCCCACGCCCTCAATCACGGCCAATAAAATCGCACATCCTATAGCAGAGTTCCTCGCTGCTTTGAACCCACCTCTTATAGCTAATGAGCCGCCTGTGAGGAATCCTGCGCCGACTAGGACACCATTAGCTTAGAGTCCACTGTTCACCCTGCTCCTCTTCCCTGCTCTCTACTGCAAGAGAACACTTACTAGCATTCCAAGGATCTTCCTTCTTCCGATATCCCTTCACCGCACAGTCGAACGTCGAGAATAAGCCTCCCCATACCCCAAAATTTCCCCCTAATACTGGCGCACGAGCTTTGATAGCTGTCAGAGCGCCGATTCGACGTTCGCCATACGGTGAATTTCTGTAGCCTTTGACACCGTGCCATACCGCACCTCCGATCCCCTGAATCAGAAACGTTTTCAGCTAGCTATCCGGAGAATGGTTGGAAGGGCAAAATAATAGATTTGGAGACAGGCGATGCTTTGGGGAAGGTGGGCTGTAGACTTACTCCCATACAGAATGCGCCACCAAAGTCGCTGAGAGCTACCCAGGGACAAGGATCCCGCGAGTGATCCATGGCTGCTGTACTAGAGCGCAGAGATGCTAAAAAGGTCGAGCCCCGAGGGCAGTAGCTTGGTCGTCAAAGAGGCTTGTGGCAATGGTGCAAGAAACGGGTCGACGGGTAGGAGAGAAGGACCGTGAGGAGTAATATCGAGCTCTGTGAAGGTCTCGATACCAAACTTCGATAACTTGTTGAGCTGGTTGTTGTTGGTTTTATTAATCCTACAATACGCCTTGGTCGAGGAGGTGTTGCTCCACAGGTTTTTGCCTCGCGAATTCCTGCCTGCTTGGCGGCCCGCCTGTACTTACACCTCAGTCCATTTCCTGCAAGGAGACACATTCGGTTGCATAGACGCGCGATCTTTCGATCGCCGCGATGGCGTCGAGAGTGTCTGTACAAAAGGACTGTACTTCGATGCAGAGTCGTCTACGAAAGTCGATGAATCGCTGTGATGCCTCCGTTGAGCCCTCTACAGCCTCTTCTCAATATCACGTCTCCGCGGTGGGGTAACAGACCACGACCAAGACATGCCTTCCAGATCCAAAAGTATCTGTTCCACAGCACTAAGAATGAAGATGAAATATTCCCATACATTCAGACAGAGCGGAGCTCGCAGGGTCCCAAGCGAAAAGAGTTGTTGAGGAGGTTGAGGTTTCCACGAGAGTACAAGTCTACTCCTGACAAGTTGTGGTGCGTTCTGAAGCATACTCCGCAGCTTCTTAAAACTGTCATTGCTGTTAGCGTCCAGTTTCGATCCTGGCAAAGAGAACGACTACCCCACGGCATGAGAGTAAAGAGTCGCATCGGGAACTTCTTCTACCATCTTCTCACACAGAGAGAAGGCATATGCAGAAGGATGCTTAATATGACGATTATGCCTTGGGGTTATGTATACATTGGGACGGGGGATTCTATGCGACCGACGTACAGCGGCAAGTTTGCTGTTTCATACACTGCCTATGCATACGTGGGTAGTCAAGATATCAGTCCAGGCGATGTGGTCTTCGCTCTAGGTTGGAAATGGAATGTTGACATTGGGTGTGTGATCAAAAGAGTAGCAGGCCTTGAAGGTGATCGGATATGGGTTGATCCAGGACGCAACAGGGCAAAGTTTATCATCCAGGTATCATTCCTGCTCCTTCGTCGCCCTCGAACGAGAGTAATTCGCTGATAGCTAATTTAGGTAGAGCGTGGACAATGCTTTCTTCTCGGGGATAACCCCTCTCAGTCTTCGGACTCACGTGGGTACGGTGCAGTCCCTGTTGAAGCCATCTGGGCCAAGGACAAATGGCAATGGGGCCCAGACGGATTCTCGTGGATTGATCATAGTTGGCATCCATGGTTGAAGAACAGAAGTATAGTACACCTGAAACCCGGGCAGAACCGTCCACCACACCAGACAGAGCCTGATGAGCCGCCCTCGACCAGGAAACCAGCGAAGAAACGAACCGTAATCCTCAACCCCAAAGTAAAGCCTCCGCCTCCGCTTCCGCTGTCGCCTCTAAAGAAACAGCGAAAGGATCCGAGGAAGAAAAGCTAAAAAGGCAGAATTCTGCCGGCAGTATCTCGCAGTGGCCCGAATTCGTGCGTGCAAGCATTTGAGAAGCAGGGCCACTTCTTACGGGCAGACAAGCAATCCGCCCTACGGGATATTCTTCGTTTTAGTTGTTGCAGGATATAGGACATACACCAAAGGCAGTAAATGGCCCTAACATCTTTAATACTTTACACAAAGGGTCAAAGCTAGCCGAATGAATCAGCCATTTGTACCAGCATAGGCGGCAGGCGAAGAATGTTGCCTCGACTTTTCAATCTTCGATCAACGTATCGGGTCTTTACATCAAGCTAAGCCTTATTTAGCTTACCTTATTTTATCCAAACATCCCTTGATTACCTCAAGGTAGGTACCTACCTTACCTCGTATTCCATCTCCCTCCTAAAGTACCTCGAGTATACCGCCCTGGTGCAACGTCTCGGCCAAGATTGCTCCGTAAAGCCGAAGATTGGGCGACACCTTTATGACGAATAGAAGTCTACCTTCCACTAAGTGTATCATCCCTCTATTACCCAATACTTTAATTCTTCCTCCTGCAACACCCTGGGCGGCAATGGCACTTGAAGCACCAATGACAGGGGAAGATTGCGCAAATGATCCAACCCACCTCCTGCCTGGCTACAAGGCGGTCAATCTCTACTCCTTCCTCTCTCTTCCCGCCGAGCTGCGGATGCAAATCTGCAGATATGTGCTCATTACACCATTTGCCCTTCGCCTCAAGGGACACTTACGGGCAGCGCTAGGAAGCGATCGGAAGAATCTGGACAAATGGCGAATATGCCGGATTTCAAGCCTGCTGCCTTGCTGCAGACCTGTCGGACCGTGTACAAAGAGGCGTTTACGATTTTCCACAAGAGCAATGTTTTCTATTTCGAGATGGCGGACAACTGGTCGCCCCCTGGGATGAGTGGAGCATCCAGCCGTTGCCCTTTTGGTTTCAGGTCACACTTACGCCTGAGCAATACTCCCATGTTACATATTCAATGCCCGTGGACGATTTCGTTGGTGACGTGGATATGGGAACCAACCCTACCGAAGATGGTGGGCCGCGGTAGTTTCATGTAGCACAATGGCGCAAGCCTGAAAGACTGCCTTGCACAGCGGTCGCCTCGACAGAATCTGTCCTGAGCCGGCCGGGCAGTCAAGTCGCAGGTATAAATTAGGGTACCTAGCTCTCCATTTCGTCCAACAGAACACTTCAGCTCCCTCTCAAGAAGACAGAATTAAGAGTCTTTTGTCCAAGAGATCTGGTCTTAGGCCCCACATCCAAGCTCCAGCCTTCACTGATCTCACCCTTTCTGTTGGGGACCTTCAAGCACGACCACTTTTTCCTTCGAAAACAATGGTGTTCACCCAGGCTTGGACAGACCGTGGCTTCAGCCGAAACGATATCTTGAAACTTCTCAGAGCGGAGTGTGGCTGCGATCATTCAGACTGCCAGCTTATACAAATGCTTGACAATATCAACCTCAACCAGGACCGTCCTGTCCTTCCATCTGGTGTACAGAGACAGGGACAGAAGTGGGATCTGGACGCCGTTGATACGGTGATTGATGACCTCCGGCGTCAGCTGCCCACTGGTCGTGCCGATCAATTGATGAGCGTAAAAACACCCGACGAAATCACGGTGTTGCCAGTATGCACTCATATATTCTTGTTCCTTTTTGCCCGGTGCTGACCGCTTTTGGCAGGACGAGCACGGTCTCACTCAGATACGACAGAACCTGGAAAATCCTGCGCCGAGGACGGCCTTCGATCCCGCCAGAGGGCAGTATCGAGTTATGTATCCCTCAAACCCGGCAGATGTCCCTGCTATCGCCACAAAATATGCTCCCAATGCCATGCCAGCAATCCCTACGGCTCTTGCCCCAACGAACCCGACGATCCCTGCACCTAATCCATTCGTCCCAGGCCAATTCGGTAGACCACCAATCAATGCACCAAATCCTGCCTTGTTCTGTACGGACTTTGGCGGAGCTCAAGGGACATACTACGGCCAAAATCCACCGTCCAGTGGGCCTAGGAATGGTGGAAACGGCATCGGGGGAGGTGGTAGGAGCAGCGTTGACGGGAATGGCCAACGCCCGTACTGGTGGTAAATGATTTGGGAGGATATTGACCCACCGTCTTCTGGCGTTCACAGCTTCAAAGGGGTCCGGAATGGCAGAGTGTCCGGGTGATAAGCCAGTCGTCTTTCGGTATCTTACATCTGATCAGGTTTTGTAATGGCATAGACATCTGGTAGGCTGTAGCAAGCCCATGTGTCTTCGATAATCCAACCTTGATCTGATTGTGATTTGGCATCGACTGCGCGCCACAAACCAAGGCTGCTCTGGCATTTGAAGTTTTCACAGGTTGCAGGGTTGCATAGACTCGAGTTGAACAGATTGCAAATGGCATAAGACCGGGATTTCTCGTGGATGGGAAGGCGTTATTGACGGCTTCCCATCCCTGGACACACTCATTTCGAAGGAAGATAATGGGCGGATGGAGGATTATGTTTCATTGTCTCGAGCTGAGAATCAGCCATCCATTGCTAATGTATCCCTATTACTGCCCTACTTTGACGATGTCTCCAAGCATGAATCCATACATCAACCTTTCACATGTCAAGATCTCGAGCTGTAGAAGCCAAAGTGTCGAACCAGTGTAAGCTTGGCGATGGGGGCAAATGTTAGGTTCCAGATCCGGGTGTTGTTGCTGGCTGTGGAGGACTTAGAATACCCGCTATCTCTTATAGGGATGCGTAGTGACTGACCCCTATGACAGTCTTGTAATGGTGACCTGACAGATAATAGCGCTAACCGTATACAGTAGGTGTCTAACCGTGAAAGATATACGGCTGACAAAGATGGGCGTAGTAAATAGAGGCTTGGCGTAATTAATTCCTAGCTCGGTAATTAAGATATCACTAGTAATACTCGATTTCAGCCCTAAATACCTCTGAATTCTACCATTTCCCTGGAATCTCACGCTTCACCTTACTACAAGCCCTTTGCAGTGCGGTCATTTGGCTATATATGACTGTCAAATGACCGAGTAGGTCTGACCTGACGTCACGTGTCATATGAATCCCTAATCTCTTAGCGATCTTTTAGCCTGCGATTTTAGTGTTTCAATATCCCAGGCATTCATGGTTACTTCTCTTTACAACATAATATACGCGACAACAGGACGGAAAGACTCTTCGATGTGAGCGATGGCAAATGACAATTCTCCCCATCGTGAACAGATAGACGTGATCTCCGGTGCTCGAATCTTGTCCCAAGGTTGGGATTCGGAGGTCCGTTATGACATCCACATCGAAGACAGCAATATCAAAAACATCGTTTCTCATACTTCAGGCGTCGGCTCATACACACCCGAGAAAGTGTTAGATGCCAGGAACTGCCTGATTGCACCATCGCTCTGCCATGCTCACATTCACTTGGATAAATGCTTCCTGCTCTCGGATCCCAAATTTGCGGATCTCGAGATTGTCAAAGGCGATTTTGCAGAGGCTATGGAGATCACGGCCAAAGCAAAAGCACGCTTCGACAAAGATGATCTTTTGAGAAGAGGCAAATGGCTGATTGCCGAGAGCATTGCTGCCGGGGTGACTCACATGCGTGCTTTCGTGGAAGTGGACCACATCGTGCGTATGAAATGCCTAGATGCTGCCATCGAGTTGAAGAGGTACTTTGCTACAGCGTGCGATATCCAAGTATGTGCTTTTGCACAAGAACCGATCTATTCGGGAACCCATGGTGCCGCAAATCGAGAGCTCATGGAAGCGGCAGTCTTCAACGAGCATGTCTCGGTCGTAGGGACTACACCATACGTGGAAAATGATGAAGACAATATGAAGAAGAACATTGAATGGGCTATCAGGATGGGATCAGCCTGTATAGTACACCTGGATTTTCATTTGGATTACAATTTGGATGAAAGTCGAAAGATATGGACAGATTTCGTGGTCGAAAAGCTCGAGTCGATGAGCCTTTATCAGAGAGACCGATTGTCTTCTGAGAACACTACCGTTATCCTGAGTCACTGCTCTAGACTTACACTACATGACGAGCCAGATTGGCGAGCGCTGAGCCAACGCGTGCAGCACCTCGAGCTTTACTTCGTCGGACTACCTACTTCGGACCTCTACATGATGGGAAAACCTCGAGTGGATCAAGCAGGTCAAGGTGGGGGCGAAAGAGTCAGAGGTACGTTACAGATACCGCAGATGATCCAGAAATACGGCATGCAGGGTGCCATCGCCATTAACAATGTCGGTAACGCCTTCACGCCCTACGGAAGCTGTGACCCATTGAGCATTGCCAGCACGGGCGTCGGACTATATCATGCTGGAACGAAACAGGACGCTCAAACGCTGTATGAATGTGTCTCTGGCCGAGCAATTGAGTCTATAGGACACACTTTGAGGTCATTTGCCATAGGCGAACCCGCGGATTTTGTCCTGTTTGATATGGGAGGGGCTGAGGGCGGCCTGCTGTCTAGTCAAAGAGGAAGGAAGACTCTGCAGGAGGTGCTTTACGATCCGCCAAAGGAGAGAAAGACGGTTTTCAAGGGCCATTTGATCACTACCTGACACTCGAGGGCCATCTTCTCGGTTTCCAGCACAGGGTCAAGAGGCTCCTCTCCGGCCATCCCGATATATGTTCTCCAATATCTCATCTATCACCACCCATAAAAGCAATCGCTTTCTTCATTTTCAGCCCTCTTCACCTTCGAGCCTCCCTTCTCAATCAATCAGATGTTCGGTGTTATTTCATCCTCGAACATACTATCTGCCTTCCTCGCGGGAATTTTCAGCCACCAAGTCCCATTGTCCATGGTCTTTCGATGGTAGTAGACATCCGATGTCGTGAATTTGCCCTTATACGACTTGCCGTTCAAATCACGATAACGAACATACTTGAGGACTGCTGGGGCTAGATCACAAGACCCATTTGCGAACGCTGAGTGGAACTCATTCGCGTCGAAGTGTGAGAGGGGATGCGGTCGGTTTAAGGATAAGAATGTGATCTTCTTGAGTCGAGGATGGCTGGGGAGAAAGTTCTCTATGAAGCATGCGCGAAGTTCCTATGTGGTTTCAGTGATACGGCTTTGTGCAGGACGAGACATGAGTAATTGACCCACCGGACATGCATAGTCGAAGCCCCATTCAATGCTCTCCAGTGCTGGTAGTTCGATCGCGAGACATGCCATGAATTTCGGTGTGATGTCGAACATGTCGGCAGGAAGCACCAGATGCTTCAACGATGTCTTGGTGCTCAAAGCCTTCACGAAATCTGACTTCCTTGGATACTGGCACTGGGAATACGAATTCAGAGAACGTATGAGGTCTTCGAAGTATCTCCAGGAACTTGGAGACTGGATTAGGTGTTCGTGCTGGATCCAGGATTTTTTTGATTGCAGCAACCAGGCATTTCTGGCACAAGCTCTACCCCATTCCGTACCATTTCCCAGATGAGGCGCTGCTTCTGTGACCGAGAAGGAAGCAACATCAACCCGAGTATCTAGCAAATTGGATCTGATGTTAGCTACGTTGTAAATGTCCGGTGGCCGTGCGAATGAGAGGAAGTGGAGATTGTGCTGAGTTGATAGGAAACTCATGAAAGGACCGGAAAGCATCTCATAATTGATGTTTGCAACCTTGTGGACTTGTGCATGCTTTCCGAGATCATCCCAGACATTTGGAGCCACTCGACATGTTGGCAGATTGAGTTCTTTTACGGTTTTTGGATTGAACACTGTCTGAAAGGACCACCATGGCAAGCCAATATTTTTCAAGCATATGCGCTCAAGATTCAGCGAACCTTTGGAGCTCCGGAGTATGTTCACGTCCGGGGGCTCCCGTGGATCATTGTATCTTGCTTTGACTAGTGCCTCAATTCGATCGCAAGAAGGCTCGAGAAAGAACTTCTTGAAAAAGAAAGCAGCATCCCCGGGCTCCACGAATGCTTCATCTTTTTCCCAACCTTCTGCCCGGTTGCAGTTGCTGATACTGATGTTCAACGATCGTAAGGAAGAAGAGAGAGCCAAAATGCCATCGCCGAGATGACAAAATTCATCCACGAATTCCTGACTGTCAGACAATTCTGTGATCGTGAGGTTTGCCAGACGTGGCATACCCATGAAAGCTGCTCCTACCTTGAGGCAATCTAGAGGTGCCCTCACAGGCATCTTGAGTGACCTTAGTCTCGTCAAATCAAAGCCGGAAAGCATTATCGGACTCCAACTCGCCCATCGAAGCTCGATGTTCAAAACCTCTGGCTGGAGAGCGCACAAGCCTCGAGCACCTTTGAATGTATGGCCAGGGGCGTCTTTATTCACGGACTCAAGAGTCTGTGGCAACCATCCCGAAAGCGTCAAGCCTCGAAGAACTTTACTAAACTGTCTTGCTCGACAATCGAGAAACGCGTTGACAGATAGCAGGGCTGCTTCGATCTCGCATGCCTCACATGGGGACAGTGGACACTGCCTGTGGCGAATCCGGGTCATTTGCCACGTGCTGCTGATCTGCACCGAGCCATCATTGATCCCCCTACATCTTGTGGTGGATTGTCCACTGCCTTCCACCCAGTATGGGCGAAAGTGGATATGTACTTCGTTCCAAGGGCGGCCAGCCAGCAATCTATGAATCGTCTTGCAAGTTCTTGTGAGGTTGAGGTAGTCGCGGCCAGTTTCAAGCTAGCGATATGTCAGTTGGCGGGTATCCCCAAGAGCTCTCATCGATCAGAGAACTTACTTGGTCCGCGATAGCGATGACGAGTTCCAAAGGCAACATTCTTGATCAAGACTAGGGGAGCTATCAAAGACCTAGATGTTCGAGGGCCCAATCAGTGGCGAATTTGAGCTGTAATGAGAAGTCGAAGAGATCCTAAGAGAACCACTCTTGCGCATGTCGACACGAGGAAGTGCGGAAGAATTTCTTTGTCTCCGCTGATGGCTTCTCTTCGTGTGAATGCACCCTCGAGACAAATAATGAATGGACTATGACCCGGACACAGAGCGGAAGGCTTACTTGTGAATCCGTAGAGAGAATGCGATACACGGTGTTGCAGATCCTCCCAGCTGGCGTTTTGGGAACAGGATGTAATATGTCCAGGTCTAGCAATTGCGCGAATGGAAAATCCAGCAAAACCACTCCAGAGAAATAAGACCATTATATCTGCGGGGTCGGGAGGCCGAATTATAATGGAATAAATGAGCCATAGACGGTTGGGTGACCGCTCCGCCGGTAGGCTTAGGTAGCATCCGAGGTATCGCAGCCATCGGCTTGGCGGAAACGGATACCAATCATTCTCTTCGCCACTTCACACCTGGAACGAGGGGTTTCGGGAGACCTACGAACTCCGAGCTTTTGACAAGGCGCCTTAATTTTCACGATTTGGTGCTGGTGGTGCCTCCGGTTCTATCTACTCATTTCACCCCTGTCTTTCCGAAAGCCGAAAGCCCGTCTTTCAATACGCATCTTGTTCTGCCTCAAATTCCCCGTCCCAATCGTCCACAGGAATACTTGGCGTACGCCCTTCCGCAAAGATATGCTCGCTCTCGTGCGGTGGGAGACACATCCACCATTTGCCGTCAACGGGCGTTTCTCGGTGATAATACACATCTATGTCACCACAATATTCATGCCCATATATCTGGTCCAAAGGCATGTAGCGGACAAGTTTGAGGTTCTGTGAAACTTCGTCGGCTAAGGACACAACAAGAGAGTGGAATTGCGCGGGATTGAAGTCTGGCAGTGGTTTGGGTTGCTTTAGAGAGAGGAACGTCAGCTTCTTTAAGGTTCGTGTGCCGCAGAGGAAGCAAGATGTAAATATTCGTTGAAGCTCCTGCAACGAAGACAAAGTCAGCATTGAGTGCTCTTCATCATGAGCTGAAAGACCCTGGTTCTTACAAGGTCATTATAGTCAAATCCCAATTCCAGATGCTCCAGACTGGTGAGAGATGTCGCGATAGAGCACAGACAGCCACTTGTTATCGTGTACATGTCCGCTGGCAACACTAGGTGTTTCAACATCGTCATATGCTCAAGCGAAGACAAGAAATTGTCAAGATTCGGGTACTCCGCTCCAGCATCTGGACCAAGCCGAGGAGCTTCTCTAGACACACGAAGTATCATGTGGGCGCTGGGGCCGTAGAATATGACGTCCGTCCCATCACATTGGTCTTGCGGGCGCGCAAATGTAAGCTCCTTCAGCGATGACTGTTGCTCTAGGAAACCAAGGAATACTGCCGATAGCATATCATAGCTGATCTCGGTCAGACTGTCCAATTGTGCATATGTCTCGAGGAATCCCCATACTTGTCTGTCAGCCGAGGAGTACGGCAGGTGAAGTTGTCTAATGGCCTTCGCATTGAAGATTATGCCAAATGAGTACCATGGCAAACTCAAATGCTTCAACCGCAGCTTCGTGATAGTCAACGGAGCCTCAGCCATCGGATCCGTGTCATGTCGAGAATGTCGCTCGCATAGCCCGAGAAGCTCCTCCTCTGGTGGGCAAGGAAAGAGTTTGCGGAAGAAGAACCCGTCATCTTGTGGTTCTACGAAGCGCTCATCTCCAGCCCATGAGAGTGGACGATTAAAGTTTGTCATCTCGATGTCTAGTTCTCGTAAGGTTGGTGCACAAGACATGATGCCTTTACCGAGGTAACCGAGCTCAGTTAGGAATTCTTCTCGGTCTGGGATATCCGTGATTACGAGGCTCGCAAGTTTCGGCATGACATTGAGTGCCTGTCCGAGTCGAACACAATCTGACGGCATGCGTACGGGCAGCTTCAAAATTTTCAAATTGGTTACCGACATGGCATGCAAGATATTAAGGTCCCAGTGGTCCCAACCCAAGTTGATTTTGAGTGTCTCCGGCCGCATAGCCCTGAACCCGCCACTCTGTATAAGGGAATCTGAGGTCAAGGAGTAGCTGCTAACACCACGGTAGGGCAAGTAGCCGCTGAGCTTGAGCTCCTTGATGCTCTTCGCGAGCTCGTAATCATTTTGTCTGAATAGCTGCTTTGCTGCAACCATCCTCTTTGCAAGAAGAACGCAACACCTGCAATTTGGAGGCCTGCAAGATCCGAGCCCATCTTGAAGATTTTCGAAATCGCCTCTAAGACTTGGGATTATCAAAATTGCAGCCCGTTGATTCAATAAGCGATACTTCGGAGCTCTCAGTAAGGTGCAAGCGGTTTCTAATGCATTGAATTCAATATCCAGCGATCGCCTTTGCTTCTGCACCAGGAGAATGTGCAGCTCCTTGCACGTCAGACCAAATGCTACGATGTCTCGGTGGCTGCACAGCTAATATCACAACGTCAATTTTTTGGGCTATATCAAGCGTGGGTTTTGCGCACTTACATGATCCGCGACAGCGATGAGAATTTCTGTAGGAAGCCTGCGCCACTGATATCGAGACATCTTATGTCCTTCGCAATTGGCCTCGGTCATTCTACGAGTAAATGCTGCCATAGCCGCCGTATGAAGCATGGGGCTCGATATCAAGTCGAACTCTCTGGTGCTAAAAGCGGGGAGTGCAAGGCTGTGACAAAGCCGAAGGATGAAAGAGATATCTGTGACTAAGACTCAAAGGTTTTCGAGTCCGAAGTATTATACTAAAAGTGTGGAGATTGTCTTGTTTGACACACAAAGCTCAGGGCGAGGAAAAGAGTGGGCGGGGAAAAGAAATGGAAGAACGAGTCAGAGATTTTCATGGTACTGGCTTGGCTTCTCATGCAATGAGAAGGTTTTGCAACGGTTTTCGCCATTCTGGCGTCTGCCTAGCCGCCGAGAAGATGGCGAAGAATGCCAGGACCAGTAGATTACCCAAGTAAAAGAAGGGTCACAGTTGAGCACGAAGAACCCGATATTTGATAGGCGCTGCCAGCTTCTGCTCCTGATCCGAAAGTGCACATGATACATGCCGAGGCTTGGATGTGTTCGCTGCACGTAAGCACCCGCACCGCTTCGATCAATGTCACAGCATTGGTCTTGCGGTCGGATGCATTGAAAATGCCGTCCTTATCTCTTCTCCTCTTGGCTCTGCCGTCGTCGAAATGCCGGCCTCAATCACGACCCATAGTAGGTATCAATCTCGAGGCGAACGGCTCCTGTTGCCTCGGTGTGATGGACGGTCGTGGTTCCGACGCCGTCTCGAAGTACCCATAATTGTCTTGCTCGCCCGAATTAGAACTACGATTGTTGTTGCCGTACTGCCGATCACGGTCATCAGACCGCGAACCGTCCGGTTTCGTATGCATCCGATGAAGATCAGAGGAATAGTAATGATCTCTGAGTGGTTCGGGCGGACCGGTCCCATGACTGCCAGACGCGCCAACGATTGGTCGGCTGGCATCCGAATCGTCAGATCTCAAAACATGGCCAGACTCGAGGCGAGAAAACATCACAAGACAAGGACGTTGACCAAAACATGCGGAAGGGAGTCGGCTTGGAATGAAAAGCTGAAGTAGAGAGTTTTTATTTGGTTGCTCGTTAGGCAAGAGCATTGCCATCGTCAGCATTATTCGTATCCTCATTCTTCATCGTTAACGTCATCTCCGTCTTCAGAGCCCAAGTTTGACTTCATCTCGGACTCAGAATCCCGTTCCAGCATAACTCACTCCCCAGACTTATCCTGTACCCACTGACCTTCCTCACGCATACTTGGCTCCATCGTCATCGCCATCGCCATCCTCCACCTCGTCTGAAGAATCGGCTCTGTCTTCTTTCTCCCCCTGTGCATCTTGATCCTTCGATAGTAATGCTCATCAGTCAAAGAAACGAGGCCGTCGATTCAGATCACACATACCATGCGTGCCAACATCCTATTCCATCTGTCATCCTGACAGCGGTGGAGGCTATCTCGTGCAGTAGCCATTGGAAAAATGAACTCTCCTTCGCTTTGCACGGGTCCTTGAACCTCACTGAACCCCCCTTGGCCGTTGGGCACTTCAATCATTTCATCGCTCAAGTCTGGACCCTCGTGAGCTTCCTGAAATTCCTACAGTATCTGTTAGTCAAGGGTACTATGTGATGTGCAGTAACCACTATGTGATGGAGGCCGTACTGCCATGGTGATTGGATCCCAGCGCGCGCTGATCTAGTCTCTTAGAATCTGCTCCGGCCATTTAAATAAAAACGGAATAGAGAAAAGAACCATCCCCTAGCACTTCTCCTAGCAAAAAAAAGCAGACCAGCATCGGATCGTTAAGTCGTTAGCAATCTAAAAACCAAATAACCCGCTTGACGTAGCAAATTGGTCTTCATCAATCGAGGCTTGCCAGTTTGGCCTGGTATGCCGCTTTGACCTCCTGTTGGATCTCTAACCGTATCCTCGCCTCCATTTCTCCCCTCAGCTCTTGCCGCAGCTTTCCCTTCAATTCCTGGTTTATCTGCTGGAAGTCTTCAAAACTTATAGCCAAATTGTTGTGAAAACAGGGAAATTTGGTGGGGCAAGGATCTGGATTGCACGGTGTCAAGGAAGCTTTTGGCTCATTTCCTGACCACTTAATTCTCACTTCATCTGACCACCCCCAACTTTCAAAGAGTTTTGGAAAAGAAATCTTCGATTTGAACCTTTTTTTCTATATATATTTAGAACGGCTCGGAATAAGTGATGTGGGTAGTAGTACTCGAAGGTGGCTTTGCTGTCACAATATTGAATGAGAAGGCCGGTGGATTGAGCGGTACAAAGGTCTCGAAGATAAACAAAGGGCATTGAGCTAGCCATCCGAACATCATAGTACGATACCTGACTGTCGCAGCTGGTATTGACATGAGTGAGGCTTCTTAGAGAACTTCAGTCGACCCAGCATGCTATGGTGCCTGTGCTGTGTAGTAGGACAAATAACTTTAAGTCGCATCCATGACTCTCGATCTCCCTGTATCAGCAACACCATCAACGTGTAAGAGAAGTAGACCATCACGGCCTTGCAGGTAGTGAGTCAGCACTCGATCGAAGACGTCTCTTTGCCCAGCGTTGAGAGTATGTGGATCGCAGGCTGGAAGCGGGTGGTGGATCGGATCTTCATTCCCAAAGAGGTGGAGATGATTTCACAGCGTCGAAGCATTGCAGATCATATATGCCCTGCTTCAACTTACTCTGAAATAGTGACGTGCGTGTTGTTTGCCGCTCGTGGTGAGAGCACCACATTGCTGTATATGAGTTCGATTGAATAATACCCATTCACCATAGCGATTATTATCACTGCACAACAATCAAAAGTGAAGACTCGTAAGGCGTCCCCAATCATCGCGTCTCTCTTGCTTGTAATAGGGACAAAACTAACACAGTATGCAATTCTCTCAAGCCAACAATCCTCCATGTTCTCAAACCATCGACTACACCCCAGCCCCGAACTTCGATAATATGATCAATTCCCTAATCGCCGTCAAAAAGCGTACGCCTATCATCTTGATCTCGAAATTATATTGAAAGCTCTCGCACCGGCAGAGATAGGACAACAGTGTGAAGATCTATCGACTGCGAGCACGAAATGGTATTGTGGATGTAGGAATGCGAAGAGTTCAACAGAAGAAAACAATGTCATTGAGTGTTTGATGGCGCCGATGGTCCGTGCTTACGACGGGGAACCAAAGATACCAGAGATCTGTTATAGCGTTGTGGTCCCACCAAGGGCCAGAGCCAGGACGTCGAAGCAATGGTTGGCCTCACCAGCCGTGCTCTCTGCGCGTTTGCGTTCAAATGTACATAGTTCCGCTCTTGCATCCCGAGCTAGAATAGCATCCTTTCCATTATAACCGCCTGATACCAATTCCATCATGCCATTCTGCAAATAACCTACGTGCGGCTTGTCCCGTCCTCTGCCGACGTCCTTGACTATGCTGACTCTGAATAGAATGCGGGAGGGAAGAAAAAAAAAAAAAGAACGTCCTTGACGAGAATGCTGACTCTGAATAGAATAGAGGTGACCAGAGTGCAGATGAGGTGACGAGGATAGAGGTAACCGGAATGTAGGTGGCGCGAATCGTAGGTGACGAGGATAATGTAGCTGACGAGAAAAAGGGGCCCCAAAAATAGGTAATTAAAAAACCAATTCGACAGGCACTTCGCGACCTTAAAACAGCCATCGATCGTGAGCGGAGTGGAATCGAAGAGGGAAGCGACGAGGCTTTGCGGAAGGCGGCAGAGGCGCTATAAAGTCTGAGAGGTGTGTTGTTAACTCACTTACATGGTGATTACACTACTTTCTGCATTGAAAGATGCCAGTCCAGGTCACTGAGACCGCTGGAGTTTTTGGTGCCACTCCCTGGCCTTGCAACAGGTATTTTCCCATACGGCATCACCAAGCAAGCCTGGTTGTTGGAGCACCTGACGAAGATTGTGGACGCCGCTGATCCAGACCTTGAGGCTCGAATGCCGAGCTCAAACGTCAACCTTCACAAATTCTTGGACAGGGCAGCAGACTTTGGAGTAGAGGAGGCTCGCTGCCTGGTGGAAGAGGCCAAGGTATGTGAGAACACCTGCTCTGTTGACATTCGCTGATATACGTACAGATACTGTGGCCAACGCTCTCGCTTGATGCACCCAACGTTCTCGCTTTGTGGAAGGGCCTGAGGGGGTCAAAAGAGTCCATCCTACCGTATAAGCGTTTGAGTGCATTCTTCGCTCTTGGAAGCAAGCGACTCAATGCCCGGGCGGCTGAATGGAAACAAGAGGACATCCTACCGACCATAGTGCATGGCATCATAGCAGACATAGCAATTGTGCTGGCACATGACTCTGAACCGACGTCGTCGTCACCAGAACTCACTCCTAGCATGTGGGCCGAACTATTCATGTCCTTGACACGTATTGGCGAAGAATTGGTCGACTACAACAACCGGCACATGGCAGCCATCAAAGACGCCAATGGCCCACAGGCGATGGGTGACACTCTGGAGGTCATTGCAGCGACATTTGCGAGGCGGTCAGACGTGGATTCATGCAAGATGTGGATGGACCAGATTGCAAGGTACATGTATGTTGCCATGAATTCGAAGAACGAGGAACTTGGCAAGCAGCTGGAAAAGATCGTGGGCGTGCTGAAGACACTGGAGCTGAACGCCCAGTGACGGTTCAATGTTCTTCTTGCACGTTTGAGGATCGGTGGCGACCTCTCTACTAGATGTGGCGGGAGATGTCCACTCTTTATGTAGCTGCAATGATTGTCTTCGAATCACGATCCCATTGAATGGCACCGCTGATGTAATGAATGCAACCTGTGTGGCAGCGTGTGCATCGTTCGCCCCAGAAGCCTACCGTCAATCCGAATTGCTCAAATGGAGCTGTCACTAGTACCACCGGTGCTTGCAATTCAAGAGAATGTAGGATGCATTCTGTTTTATGCGGCGCTTTTGTACTGATGACTCAATTTCAGGACGTCGAAAGCAGCGTCCTCCTCCCCCCTCGCTTCTCCCATCATCGCCAGTGCACTGCATAAGCACACAGCCTTGGCTGTGCATCTCAGCGCTCATAAGACCTTTGCCGTAGAAAAAACCGTTAACTTTTCCAACACTGACTTGACGAATTTCATCGAATTTACTCTGTCAGGCCTTGCGAGCTTCGTCTATTCTCTTCCGCTCGCCCGACGCATTGGCCGAAGTCGAAGCATGAAGTTGCGCGTACTTTTAACACCCCACACCTATGCAGCTGCGCTTTGAAAGACAGGCTCTGTTCATGAGAGGCTACCTTGTCATTCAACGCTTGTTGCTCTCGGAGAAGCTGGGCGTTGCTGGGGTTGAGGTCCTGGATCGTGGCCTCGCTGCAGAAGAATTGTAAAGCCTCTGACAGCGCCTTCTTATCCCTATCTGATGCGAAGTTGTACTCGTCATGTAGTTGACAAACTGTGGCGTCACTATGGCAGGAAATACTGTAAGACGCTCTGGTTGCGACTTCCTTACGGCGCTCCAACTGCTGACTGCTTAGATTCTGACCCGGACCCGATAACGGCAGCCTCCGCTCCGGTTCCAGCCACCAGGCATCTGCCCGTCTCTGCCACGCACGCCAGATTGCTGGGTCCGAGATCGCCATCATCCCTTCCTGAGGCTGTCTGAATCCCTCCTTGCGAGTAATAGGACCAAAACCCTGCGGATCTGAGTTGCTGTAGGTCTAAAGGTCAAAGGTCAGCATCACCAACTACGGTCAAATTCACGCCAGGCACGGACCGTACATTGGTAATTTGAGGACCTGGCCATCAAGCGCACATCGAGGGTCCTGTGCCATTCTCTTCTGTTGTCCGCAGCATCCAGAAACATCCAATGTCAACCATCGAGTGTTTCATGCGTAGCCCCTCGACACGGCTATCTCAATTGCTGCACTGTCAGCTCGAGCAACGAGAAGGATCGTGAGGAGGTGATGCAGGCCTGCAGCGGACTGTTTTATCAGAACACGACGGCTACCACTGTATTCAAACGTTAGAAGGACGAGGATTCAGGGGCTGATACACGGGTGACATGCCTGTTTCGCTCGTATTGCAAAGTCTTTAAAGTGTCTTTGATCTTTCTACCACGCTGCGCGCATCTGAATCTTCACCAGTACCGATTCGTGGAAATACTGCCAATGTATGCTCGAGCAGCAATCTTGACAATCCACAAAATAATATAATAACAGAACGTGATACTGCCCCGGTCGTCCATCTTTCACGCTGTACCAGGGTCTCGAACCCAGAGGGTAATTCTCCCAGCCTGCTCGAGCAAATCTCTTGATGTCCTGTAGTGACTATCTGAGCAGCCTGCAGGCTATCATATAGGATGCTTACTTAGTCAGGGCAAATGCTGTAAAGCCAATGGAACAGTATACGAAAATGAAGCAGCTGGCTGAGGCAGAATGGGATGGCGCCTTGAAGGACCTGGGGCTACTTGTCAGTAAGAGATCGTTTGAACCCTTTCTATACTCGTGTCTGTTTAGGCCCGAGGATAGCAGTACTGCAGAGTGATAGACCACTAAGAGGTTCAGGACCCGCACTGCCGTTTTGATGAGTGCCACTTGGAGTGACGAGAGTTCAGATTCTCCTACGATGAATCTGATACCAGAAACCATAATATTCCTCAGATTCTAGGGCCTTCAACTGCTGCCGGAGTAAAAGGCATAGAGGGACTCGTCGTTACGTTATCGAAGAGCGCTAGTGGGCCGCTCGATATTTACCTGAATTTCCGGCACATTTTCTCACTCACCTCACCTGTCTTTTCTCACATATGTCAGCTGATAACTTCTCTTCTCAACCATGTCTTCACCCAATGCCCCTCCTGAAAGTGAGTATTGGCGCAAGGAGGTCCTTGGAATCCAGAAGTTCCTAGCCTCCAAGTCATTGAACCTATCACGAGCCCTGGCACCAGGCGACCTTCAAGCAATGACAGAGCCTGTGGAAGAAGGACCAACACTCATAAGCAAGCTCGAAGACCTGACCAAGCTACAAGAACAATGGCTGAACGATATTGACAATTTTCACAAGGCGCCGTGGCTGCCAACGAGTCAGAGTAAAGAAACTGGATAAAGATCACGAGGCCGTGCAGAAGCATATTGATGTTCTCAATCAAAGGACATCCTTCAAAAACGAACAGGTCACGAAAGCAGAGGTCGTCGCTCAGAAAGCTTCTGAGGACAAGGATAGACTGGCCCACGAACTTCAAGGCATGCAGAAGCAGAAGGAGGACCTGGAACGACGGAGTGCCGATGCGAACGAGACCCTGTACGTATGATTCTCTGTTGAGATGTCTTACCCATTCTGCTCTCTCATGAGTCGCCAGACATATATAAGAGTTCTCTGTTCCTAAGATATGTCTCGCGGCCGAATTGTCTACCGAAAGAACAATGCTGACTCCGAAATCATCAAGGATCATCGTCACCTGACAAGGTTCGCAGTTGTACAAACGCTCGTGTGGACAAGAAAAAGTCTCACTGGGATGATGGTATAGAGTATGCCTGCGCTTTGTGTGAACAGAGAATGCGTCTGTGCACGGTGGTCGACAGTGAGCAGCGTGTGCTGTTGTTGCCTCGCAAGGCAGCCGAAAACGAGGGCCGCGGGCCTACAGAAGCGACATATTGGACGAGATGATGGTCCTGCATTAGCTATACAGTCATTCACAATACCCAATCATCAAGTCCTTTGATTCCACTCCTCAAACTCATAGATTCCAACCTCGTCGTCGAGACGGACCTCCATCCGTGCTCCATACGGTCCGTTTTCAATACACAAAACCCATTCCCACCCCCACACCTTAACCCTGCACCGATCAAGACCCCCCGTGCCACACTGATCCTCGTATGATCACTCTGCTCCACGATAACCAAACCCCTACGCTCGCTACAGCATCTCTGAGCTCGTACCAAGACGATTTTGCCCTCCTCTATCCCTTTGAATTCCCGCACCTCCTGCGCACCACAGCTGCTCGCTAGATCCTCCGTCAGGTCCTGGATCCTGGTTTCCCTCTGGCTCAGACTGCCGATGAACGTCTCCTGCGTCTTGCGTAGCTCAGCGTTGGCGGTAGTGAGGTCCTGGATCGTGGTCTCCTTCTGGCCAATGCGCCGATCCCGGGAATCTGGCTCGTCGGTTGACGCCTGTTGCTCTCGGCTAAGCTGGGCTTTCAGCCCCCGAATCGTGGCTTTTCCCTAGCTGAACCTTCATTCTCGAGATGCTGGCTTGTGATTCAACGCTTGCTGCTCCTGGAGGAGCTTGGCGTTGGTGGTTCTGAGGTCTTGGATCGTGACCTCGCTGCGGATACTGCTCTTTGCTACTTTGTTATCCGACGCTTATTGCGCTTGGAGAAGTCGGGCATTGGTGGTTTTTAGGTCCTGGGAACGTGGCTTCCCTCTGGCTAATGCTCTTTGCTAATTTGTTCGTCAACGCTTGTTATCACTTGGTGAAGCCGGGCATTGGCCGTTTCCAGTCCCTGGATTGTTGCCTCGTGTTGCCGGAAGAGAGTAACAAAAGTCATGCATCTCTAGAGTGTGAACACCCCTAATGAGATTGTACAATTCAGGCACCTTACCCCACAAAAGCGACGATTTTTGTAGAATTTTCCTTAAGAACCGTCAATTCACCTGCAACGGGGGACTTGTAAGAGTCATACAATTCGGGCGCAGCGCCATGACAAAGGCGACAATTGCACAACCTTTGCCTAAGCACTGTCACATTACCTGTACAGTTCAGGTGTAATGCCAGAAAAGTGACATTACCTGCAAGGGAGAGCGTCCAGAAGTCGTACAGTTCAGGTGCAGTGCCAGAAAAAAAGCGATATTCCTCGGGAACTATCCCCCAACAAAATCCGCGACTCTACCTGCAAGGAAATCGTCCGTTTCACTCAGGACCCCAACTTCGGTAGGATGGTCAAATTCCCAATCGCCACCAAACCGCGCACGCCCGTCACCTCGACCTCGAAATCAAACGCCATCGACTCGAATACTCTCGTGAACCGTGTCACCAACAGCATTGAATAATAGAACATGCTCCACGTCATTGCCGCCCGAGGAAGCACACTGAGGATGACGTGCCTGGAGGTATCTGTGTTCGTGTACACCAGCTCGCTCTGTCGGATTGCTTGGTTCCAATGGCTTCGGTGATCGATCCAGGCGTCGTTCGTTGCGACGGCGATGCAATAAAAAGCTAGTTGCGGAAGGATATCGTCGCCGTAGTGGGAGAAGGTGATGCTAATGAAGCCCGGGCCGTCCCAGCCTGAGCTCATTTCAAGGTTTTCGTGGGGACGTGCGCTGGTAAGATTTGATTAGTGTGAGTTCGGAAGCCTTGGAGAAAGTCAAGAAAGTCATGACTCACCTCAAAGAAGGGTTCGTTGGGGTGTTTTTCGACGGGACGGTGATGTTGGAAATAGCCAGAGATGACAAGGAGAGAGGTGAGCTTGTTAAGACGAATCTGAAGAGCGCGGCTAGAAGAACAAAACAAGTCAACTTGAAAGGCATTTTGATTCCTCGCTGCAGCGTCGGAGAAAGAAGTTGGAGTCAACCGCTTTTCACAGTGGTCGGGTAGCGCTTTTGAGCGTTTGTTTGGCCTCCCGTCCTTGATCCGCTTGGGTCGCTTGATGTTGCTTTCGATGCTATTGCCGGTATGTAAATTCACCACGTCATGTCAGCTTAGCTCCGCTTGCTGCTCCTTCTGATCGTACTCCACAGATTTGATAAGAAAGAGAATTTAGGCATATGAAGTGTATGACCACGCATCTGCAAGAAACTGATAAGACGGTCACAGAGGACAAGACGCAGAGCCACCGAGGGCGTGACGAGTGAGGACATCCGAGGCAAGGCAGAACAGATGGGTTTCTACCACCGTTGACTTGAGTTTCTGCTCAGATTGCTTATTTCGGTAAGCCCGCCCTTTGAACTCCACGTGCGTGGCTCTATGTACATCGATCCCTGCAATAAGCCAGGACTCCACGTTTGCAGTGAATGCATGAATCCGTTGCAGCACGCAGAAGACCCCACGGGATGAACCCTACCAAGAACCTTCCTTGAAGACTGGAATCTATGAGCGGGTTTTTAGGCTCACTGAATTGAGTCTTTCTTTCAGTGAATGCCCTAGTATTAGCAGGCTGTTAGTTACTTCGAGCCAAGTGAAGGTCACTTAGGTCATAACATTCATCATGCATGAAGCAAAGCCGTTAGTGAATCGAGCCTAGTGAACCACACTTAGGTCATAGCATTCATCATGCATGGCCGTTAGTGAATTTGAAAGTGCACCATCCATAAATCTTATAACGTTCTCACAGATGCTTGGAAAAGAATCCAGCCAGCTGGGTATACCTACACCACCAAACGTCAGTAACCCGAGGCCTATGAGGAACCATTGAGCTGCGGATATTTACCCTCTCTCGAACTCCTTCAAGTTCTCTTTGTCACCCAGGTTTGCTCTTGCACCCATCCATCCGTGATGCATAGAGCCGTACTTCTCTACCACATTCTCATCGTTCTTCTCCAGTGCCTGCCCGTACTCTTGCATCAATTCTGGCGTTCCGTCTTCTTTGGAGAAAAGGCAGATGAACGGTATGGTCAGCTTCTCGGCGTCTTCTTTCACAAGACGGCTGTGGTTCGCGGTCAGAGACTGGAAAGTGCTCACGGTCATGGTACATACCCAGGATGCGCCGTGCCAGCAGCTTTGAACTCCGTCCCTGCACCAGAATTCAACACAGCAAGTTTCCCACCCCAGCACAACCCATAGCATCCCCAGCATTTTACATCCCCATATGCACCCTTCGCCTCCACCACCATCTTTCCCAATGTCTTTGAATTCACGTCAATATTCGCAGTTCCCTGCATGAACTCGCCGGCAATTTTCTTTTTCTCATCCGTGTCCGGCGGGTAGAGACTCAGCGGCAGCGGTTTCCCTTTGAAGAAATCGGGCACTAGAACAAGAGCATCGAGGGAATGGGAGAGTAAGTCGGCGCCTTGTAGAGTTTGGGGTGTGGAGCCGAAGACGTCGTAGACGGCTATGAGGGCGCGGGTGGAGTTGGGTGGGCCCGTTTGATCTGAGAGTGAAAGATTGATGTTAAAGGGGTTTTATTGGAGAGAAGGTGGGAAGCCGGGTTGGACTCACAGACATCGAGACCTGCGAGCTTAGTGTAGGTGCCATTGGGCTTGTAATCATGCGTTGTAACTGCTGGGAGAGAGCAGCATGCTTTGTCAACTTCCGCCATTGTGTATACTTTGAATTGAGCTCGAGTGTCTTCTGCAAAGGGCTCAATGGTTTTGCTTTCATTTTTGGTAGTTCATGCTTTGGATCTTGTACGAGTACAGAGGTACGGAGTACTTCAGAAGTAAAAGAAGTTTGCTGCACGTCGGCTCCGAGAATCGGAGATACCGGCTACAACGAGGTCAGACAAGGATCGGACCCCACATGCAATCTACCGTGTTCACTAGGATCTGCAATCACCGATAAGTCCGATCAGCCAAAATGTCAGCAAAATTGTATGGCAACTTGATACAAAACTATTGAACAAATGCCTTTTTTTTGGATTTTAGCTCCGTTCAGAGGCTTAACGCACCTTTATATACAGCTAGCGACTACTTCAGGTGGCGGTTGATGAATTTGTTAGACTGCATAGCCCAGTAGTTTGCATTTGGGGTGGAAACGAGTAGCGTCAATGCCTGAGCTCCTTGGGGTTTGATGGTGGAGCAAAGGTGTAACTCTGTAGGCCCGCTGCCAGATGAAGTGTCAGTCGACAATGGTAGATATTGACAAAAAAAGCACAAAGTACGAGATTTGTGGCCCATGAAACACTCATTTTGGACTGTTTCTGCACATCGACTGTCAGGTCTTCTCTCAGTCCTTTACCTCAGGGGTACACGATACTTAGAAGCTGCCACTTTTCTAGGAGCTTGCCCGCTCTGTGGAAAAGGAGGCGCGTTAGGACTTAGTCCGGTAGAGGGAGATTTTGAGAACCTCACAAGTCCGCATCGACGGCTCAAGGGCCCGTTCGGGGTCAATTGACCTTGTTAGGCTCTGCTGCAGGGGCGATATGACTCGCTGCTATGAAATCTAATTGGGTCTGCTCTTCTGCCTCTGGAACGTGGGTCTCGGCCACTTTCTCTTCTTGCACTTGCTCATCTACCACAGGAGACTCGTGAATTTGCCCAACTTGCATTACATCCAGGTCCGATTTCGCTTCCTTTGTTCCTGCCTTCTCGCCCTTGGCCTTCTCTTTTCGATGTTCTTTTTCCTTCTTATCTTTGCGCCATCCAGGACCGTACTTCATTAATAGCCACAAGCTAGGGCTCAAGGCAATCCAGACGAGAGAAGCGAAAGTATAAGCCCATCCAACACCCATCTTATCGATCATTGGTACCACAACAGCAGTCGATCCTGCTCCAAGCAAGCAACGGAATAGGTTATTGGCTGCGGTCGCCGACGCCGCGTTTCCGGGATTGATATCGACCATCAAAATTTGCATGACTTGAAAGGCAGCCATGGAGCCGTAGCCGAACACAAATAACAGAATGAGGGGACCAGCCAGGTTTGTTCTGTAGTCCAGAGTCCAACCATAAGCAATCGAGCCTATGTTGCCAATGTATAGCAAGGGTAGGGCAACCTCAAGGCGCGCTTTCTCAATCGGAAAGTTAGTAAGATCTTGGTGGCGATTCTTGGTCAATGGAAACCCGTTTTTCTTGGCGTGTCTTCGATAATTCCAATCGATAGCCTTCCCTGTGGAAAGTGCAGAAACCACACTACCGGCACCGAAGGGGATGTAGACCAGACCCAGCTGCAGCTCATCGAAGCCGTAGATCTTTCCAAACAGGTAGGGTATACCCGTTGTGGTTGCATAAAGAATGGCAAATAGCAAGCCACTGCAGAAAAGAATGAGCCCGGATTCTTTGTCCCCAGCGATGACCAGCGTCGACAGTGGATTGGGAAACTTCAGTCTATAATTCTTGCGAACAGCTTCCTGCTGGGCGGCATCCACAATAATCCCAGCTTTGATCCGGCGCCTTTCCCGTATGATGCCTGTCAGTGACTGATTCAACTTTGGTGGCGGGATCGAGCCGTCTCCCACCACTTTTCTACATGTCTCTGGTAGAAACAAGAAGAAGAACACGAAATATGTGGCAGAAGAGATGGTCAAGAACCAGAAGATCCACCACCACCCAAGATACTGGGCAATGACACCACCTATGATGGGACCCGCGATGGGGCCGAGGATTGAGGCAACCGAGGTGTAGCCAACATACATCCCTCTATCCGCACTCGTAACAAGATCGGCAACAACTCCGTTGCAAAGAGCAACGGTTCCACTGCTACCAGCGCTCTGAAGACACCGCAGCACCAACAGCGCAGCGAAGTTTCTTTGCAAAGCCAGCCCAATGTTTGCCGCGATATAGACGATAAAGCAGTAGATGTACGCTGGTCTTCTGCCGGCACCATCGGAGAAACCAGCGATCATCATTGGGGCCAGTCCCTGAAGAATCTATACAGGCATTAGTATTCATCGAGCGCGGTCTGAATGCAGGAATACCTACTAAGAACGTGGTAACCGTCAGGTTTATTTTCGAAATGCTCACGTGGAGATCCCCAGCTATCTCGTTCAAGGCTGGCAGATATATGGTGGTGGACATAGGAGAAAAGACAGCTCCCAGCGCCGCTGAGAGGACTATGGCCTTCTTCTGGGGACCTGTGAAGGCAGAGTATGCCACATCGGAGGTAACAGGTTGCTCACTGACGGGCTCAACGCTGGATTCCAGCTCCTCCGCTACTCGTTCTGGCACTGGCACTTGGTCTGGCTTCGTTTTTGCCATTGTGCCTTGGTCGTTCTAAGTCCTTGGAGGAAATGGTGAGCTCTCTTTCGCTGTGCAGCACTTATATACCGCTGTAGGGAAAAGAGAAGTGGCACCAGGGAACGCAGCAGGAAAAGTCACAAAGGCGTTCTTTTCGCGTTGGATGGCCATGGTTGCATGAGGGAACAGCTGAATTTTACCCTTATATATATCCGGCCACCAAGGCATGAGAAATGTGGCACACTCACTCGAAACCGCGTGCAGTGGGCGATTACAATAATACTGTAAGCTTATTAAGATAATCAAGATCTGCCAGAAGTAATAGGAGTCAAAGTCTTTTACACCTTACTCTTTTATTCCCATAGGGCTGTCAGGGTCGAAGGTAGTAACCGTGACAGTTGCCCACCAAAAGGGAAAAATGATTGCGTGTTTGCTGTCCACCGTACCACTACTCAATTGTCATGGGGATGAGGACATCCAATCTCTTTGCAGCTGTGTGTATGGTCCACATAGTAAGCAACCTCTTCCAAGTCGTCATTATCGTGGTTGTTGCCGAAGACACAAAGGGTAGGGCAGATTACCGAATCATACCCCAAAATTTTTGTATAGGGGTATGACTCGGTAGTTCGCCCACAGGAGTATTGTGATTGGGACGGTGCAGGGCGATCTCCAGATTTACTGGCTCGGTGATCGACGGCGTACCGATCGTAATACAATACAAGACCAACGCTCAGTGTGAGTATATCACTGAGGTCTTTGGTGATTCATATCGGTGACGATGATGAGACTTCGCAGGGTCTTTAGCAGTATCAAAGGAATGGTTGTCATGTCTTCTTCCACTGACTTCATTGAGCCTGGGGCCATTTTATCCTTTGCGCATTATACGAGAGAAAGCGATAAGTTCTATTCTCACTTCATATGCGAAATAACGAGGCGGAGAGTGTCATGGTTTTTTAGTCTCAGTAATTCAGACTCACGGCTAGCCGGGGTACCTATGGCCAGCCCTACACTCGTGCCTCGCTTCGGGGGCCAATCATATCGCAAGCTCATTACGGCATACCCCTCCCTTAGAGTCTGAGTAGGAAACCCCCGAATCGCTACATGGACCGTTAATTTGTATGGGCCCACCGCAATAATCACCCCGTTATCGACTTCCTCCATTTTTCCAGCCATCACCACATTATCTTTTAACATCAATTGAGGGGCCAATAGACCTTTCGAGGTCGCTGAACAAGTACATAAACTTTTTATTATGATCGGATAGCTCGTTGTTGTCGCATAAGCTCATCCGAACACATATTCTCCGCTAACGATTATAGCACCTACCTTTAGCCGATCACCCCCCAATGATTAAATTCCAGACGATGACGTATCGTATTCAGCATTATTAAAAGATTATATAACGAGTCGAGTGTAATGATTGAATCACAAGTTTGACTATATCACTATCTAATGGAAATCGAGCACTGAAGCTATCCCCCTATATACAGATTTATCAACTCGAAGATATATTACTTAGAAGTTAAAGAGAGTATAAAATATATATCTTAAATAGTTTTAACGCGCTTAACGCGTTTAAAACGAATTAAAGTAGATAAGAAAACTATAAGAGGCGCTTAGATACGCGATTTTCTCTTTAACGACGATAGCGAGATATTTTCGAATTATATATACTAACCTCTTTATAGCTTATAAAAATATCCTTTCTTCTAACGAATACGAAGTTTTAAGATATTTAGCAAATCAATTCTAGAGAAAAGAAAAAAAGTTATATATTTAATACTCGGGTATAAAAGTAGAGAGAAGAATATTTTAACGTTTATTATTATTATAACGACGATATAGACCTTTCTATATTTAAAGACGTCTTTTTCTACGTTCTATATACTTATAAGAGACTTCAACGCCGTACGAGATATCTTTATTCATCGATATCGCCGCTATTAATATCTAACTTTATATTAAAAGAATAAATTATCTCCGCTTCGCTCTCCGCTCTACTCTCCGCAAGTTCGATCGCTTATTTATTTATATATATCGCTATAGCGATACTCTACTTACTTACTTACTTACTTACTTACTTACTTATTTATTTATTTATATTTATTACCGCGACGACTCTTATAAGTCTAGTCGTTTAAAAAATAAGAGAAGACTACGGCGTTTAATCGAAGTAATTTACTTCTTAATTACTATATTATAACTTCTAATTTAACGAGAACTTATTTAATTATATTATTTAACTTTTTTTAAGAATTTCAAAAAAGGCTTTTTTGTTAAGAATTATATGTACGTAGAGTGTGAATATTATATATCGGGCGATACATTAAAAAATTAAGTCTTAATAGAGTTTTTTACTTAGACTTATCTTAAGGTCGATAGAATTAAGTTAAGACTAATAGTTTTTAATTAATTAATTAATTACATTATATTACTCTAAAGTCTTATCTTAATAGTCGACTATACGAGACGCGTAACTAATCTATCTAATCGTTTTTAAACTAGTCGAAAGCTAAAAGAGAGTCTCTTATAATCGTAGAGCCTCTAACTTAAGTATTATATTCTTCTTTTTAACTCGTAATTCTTATATATATATATATGCTTATAGACTAAATAAAGAACTTTACTAAGCTCGAGAGTTTTATAGAAAATAATATCTAAATTCTAACTCTTTTATTAATTATTTTACTTGACGGGATTACTCTAATAATTATTAAGGATTATTACTCTTTAGTAATTTATTACTTAATAGATAAAGTCGAGATTTAAGATTCGATACTATTATATCGAATACGTTTTAATAAAGCGAGGTTAAACGATTTATATTATATATCTTAAGATATCTCTAGAAGACGCGAAGAAAGATAAAGATTCTCTCGCGTTATAGGCTAATTGCTAGTCGATAAAGAAAAAAAAGATATATTTTTTAAGAGAGATATAGTATAATAATATAATATAAATTAGCGAATTAATATAAAGTGAAGTATAAGTATAATATAGTTATTATAGTATATTAAGATATTAAGATCTAATATATATAAAGACGTTAAAGCTAAAATAATTAAAATAATATATAGCGTCTAATACTCGTATCGAGAGAGTAGAATTAATATTATTATTACTAATGATAATAATAATATTACTTATAGAAGAGAAAGATTAATATATAATAGTAATAATTAACTATTAAGTCTAGTTAAAAGAAAGACTTCGTAATCTAACTATCGAAAAAGGCGTATAATATTACGATATTTAGAGGGTTATTAGTCCCGAGGCCCATAGTCGTATAATCGCTTTATTATTGATATGGGCCCTATATTAAATAATGAGCTGATTATTATACTAAAGGCCTTAGGTCTATAGAATATGTGATTGTAATGTGATTTTAATAATAAGGTGTGCGCGTTATGCGAAAGTGAGTGTTATAATTTCAATTAACATTCCTTCTCTAGACTTACGCTAGGCTCTATTCGGGCTAGCTCTTGGCGGCTTGCCCCCTAAAATCCCCCACCACATATTTTACAAACCTTATAATTAATAATTCCTTCTTATAAAACCCATAATAAAATTAATTATTATATAAAATATTTTTTTTTAAA